ACCCCCCCCCCCCCCCCGGGCCCCGCCCCAAAAGGGGGGGGGGGCAAAGGGCAAAAGGACACGGGCAAACAAAAAAGGAAGGCTGCCCCCCCCCCCCCCCCCCCCCTGTCCTTTCCTCGCATGTCAAACGGCACGCGCACTTTCTCACAACATGTACACACCCCACTAATACGTGTACACGCAAAAACTAGTGCTGTGGCAATGTACTTTAGATGGCGAGGACCTACGCCCTAATTATTGCCGAGTGGCACCTCCCGGGCCTGCGCTGCCTCCCTCTCCCCCATGCAAAATTATAGGTACCATGCTCCCTTTACTCACGAGTGACTTTCACATAAATTACCATGATGAGGCTCACTTGGCGGGTTTTACCCTACGCCCTTCCACTTCTGTCTGGCACAGCCAACAAGTTTAAGCGCAAGGAGAGCAAGAGTACCAAAAGCGTGCCTACGGACATGTGGGTTATGGCACCGAACACCCTCCCCTACTCCCTGTTTCCACCCGACCCCAGTATCTAGCATGATTTGGTGATGGGTGTTCTCTGGCCCTTGTAGCTTGAGAATGACAATAACCCCCAACTCACGCATCTTGAGAGACGTTTTGGAACGACCACCTCCTCCCAGAAAACAAAACAGAATGCCGTCGACTTTCAAACAGGAATGCAATCGAGTTGACCGACTTCCTTCTCTTGATAGCCTACGACATCGGTGTGTACGCCTACACAGCTGGGCACCGAAACGCACTTTGTCCAAATAGCGTCTTTGGAGTCTATTCCGAACAGCAGTGTTCCTCCTTCGCAGTCTCCTTCAGCACCAACAGGAAAAAAAAATCGACACATGCTACTATCGCTGCAACACGGCAATTTGCCTCGGCCTCTCAAAATACGACACAATATAAGATCAGAAACCTATTAACTAAAGAGAGATGTTTTGAAAAAGGAATCGACAGGAGTGTTCTATAATACAATTAACGCACCGTAACCACAAGGCGTAAAAAACAGCATCCTGTGGATATAACTGTCCGCCCACCCTGCCGCCGAACAACGTCCTCTCCTCCGCCCAGCCAGTGACCACAAAACCTCCGCCGTAATTACTTGAGCACCCCCCCCGGTGAAAGTCGTTTTTCCGCTGCCACCGTACCCCCGCCCTTACGGCTCGCCTCCTGTTTACTCCAGCGGCTCGGGGGACTTTACCTTGGGAAACCACATTCTCCGTCTAGCCTCCTGTACAGTACCGCCAGCACAGAGGTGGAGGTCAATTGAACGGGTTGAAGACGGGAATCAGCGTTAGGTCCGGGGAGACGGAGTCTGGGGTCTAAAGGGGAGGGGGAGAGTACAAGGTAGAAGGCGTTCAACGGCAGGAGAAAAGAGGGCAGGAGAAGGCGTGGTACGCGAGACGGAAAACAACACGCCCAAACCGTGGGTACCGGTGCTGTTTTTCCTTCCTCAAGCATACCAGGGTATCTATTGTTAGATGAACCAAACGCGCAAGTATTGTTGCGCGTGCGGCAAGCTTCTGCTGCAAGCCGGTCGGTAGGTCTCGATGCAGGGTCGTGTATCGACAACAAAGCCCGGCACCCCCAAAGCCTTCGACCCGCAAGCACGCAGCAACGCTGGGATTGCTGCTGTTAAGGGTACTCAAGGTGAGATGAGCGCCTCCGCCTTCTCTCGACACTTCCCCCTGCCCCCTCTGCAAAAACACGTGTGCCCTATCTCCAACCCCTTCCATACCTCACACAAAAAGTACACAAGGCGGCACGCATCAATTAGCGCTCAAAACTCGCAGAGCACATACGAACGGCGCGCCTCATCTCCTGAAATGCGAGGTCGAACATCAAACAAAAAAAAAGAAATAAGACAGAACCAAATGAGGACCCCGCCCTCCCGCCCTCCTTTCCGACCCTCCCCTTCCCTATGCTCCGTCCTCTCAAGGACACGTGGTCACCTCCCCCCCCCCCGCCCCTTTCTTCTGCCTAAAAACCTGGGAAAGACGCTTGGCCTCCTTTTTGTCGCACCCCACCAACACCTCCTCCAGGTGGGGAAAGAAAGCCTTGGCCCTGTCGCCGTGGTGCCATAAGAACTTTTGGGGGAACCACTCCTTCCGCCTTTGGACCTTGGCCAGGAGGGTGAGGGAGGGGTCCCCTTCCTGGGAGTCCTTCCCCCTGAAATTTTTTTTTTTTTTGATTTAGAGAAAGCAGCCCCCGGTTACAGAGTGGCAAGGCTCATGACGCCCAAAAAAAAAAAGGGCGAGACCGACTTCTGCCACCGCCAACAACCCCCCCCCCCGATCCTGCAATGGTGGTCGTGGTCGAGTGGAAGTTGTTTGGCGGGGTCGAGAACCCTCACTCCGCGCAAAGGGGATAACCGCACCAGTTTGTGTTATCTAAATTGGTCAAGCACCCTCGAGGCAGTTACACAGTGCTCATAACTGCTGTCTCTTGAAGGGAAAGCGCACCAGAAAATAATTTAGTCATTCGCAGCTGTCATCCGTATGCAAGGAAGCAAGCAAAGATGCCGAACACCCTTAGCAGGATGCAGCTCACCCTTCATGCGACTCGCCTAATACCTCACGGCGCTTCGCGCTTGGTGATGTGAGACCCTGGTCCGGTGAGAGCCCGGCGTGCTCCGTCCCGGCTTTGTAGGGATGCGAGGTCAACGGTCAAACGACCCTACGGCATGCACGACTATGAGTACACCCCCCGCCCTGTGTTGACCACTCCGAGTAACTTTAGGAACACAATGCAGTCCACCCACAATCAGATTTGCGGCATAAAACGAAGACAGAGAACACGGATCAATATTTCCCTGCGACTTCTACACGCCCGCCACAGCTCAGACAAGGGTCAATCCGCCCTACAATAATACACGACACGCCCGGAACTTTCAAGATAACAAGAGAGCACATCAAACGAACGAAAACAACTTCTGGCTGTGACTTCGGGTACTCACTTCCGCAGCTCCGTCGACAGCCTCTCCAACTCGCCCCATCCCCGCGCTTGCGACACGGCCAGCTCCACCCCCGGAAACTCAAGCAGCTCCAGCACGAAGTTCCTCGCACGTATAGCTGGATGCCACCAAAAAAAGCGGCAGAAAAAAGAAAAAAGAAATCAGTCAGCAGGAAAACAGGCCGCCGAAAGCACCGGAAACATGTGTCAAAAAATAACAATACAATCACAATTGTATATACTTTCAAACGATTACGAGATACTGCTGTACAGAGGTGTTGTGTGTTAGTAGTTGGCGTTGGCGTCATTAATTACTTAACCAGCTGCGCAACGTCTTGGACCATTGACCTTGCCGTACGGGCGATAGCGGAATGTTCCCGGTGCGATACCATCTGTAGTAGACGGCGCCAAAACGACGGCGCCAAAACTTAAAAGTAACACCATGGCCTCTCAACCGCCGTGCCTGGAGCCTACAACACAGCACCCGTATCGTCTTGCGATTCCTCGGAAGAAAAACCCGTCCGTTAACGATCTACGGGATCTACGGTCGTCCCTGCCAGAGGGCAGTCAGTCTCAATCAACCAACCAGCACCCAGCCTACAAAACGAAAGGCACCTGCAACGATGTCCACGGTGCTTTGCGAATGCAGCCGTGCCCGAGAAGCCTTCTCCTCGTCGCCGTAGAGATCGCGGTTCTTGCCCTTCATGTCGGCCACGAATGCCTCCGCTCTAGACATCACCTCCACCGCGTCAGAAAACTCGTACAGCTGCATTTTTTTTTTCCGTTGTTGGTCGTGTTTTTTTGGGGGGGTCGTAGTATACCAGCGAGAATGGCGACGGCAGCAGAGGCGGAGCAGGGTCGAGAGCAGAGGTCAGGCAAGAACGGTACTGTAACTAACCAACAAGCGGGAGTGCCGTGGCTCGTTGTTGCTCGTCACCCTTGCCGCACGGGGGGCGCCACTTCCGCCGTTTCACATATTGCCCGATTTGCGAGGGGGACGGGGAACGGCAGGGGGGGCGGGGGGGCATCCTTTGGGCCGGTCAGGACAAGCATGACCGATCGGGAGTGGTCTGAGGATTCACCTCGTTTACATGCCTGGTTCATCGGTGGTATGTAGCTGTATTGTTGCTTCGCCCCCTTCGGTGGCATCACCCGGGTGCGCCCGTCTCAACTATTTATTTGCATTTCTTTTTACCGCGCCGGGCGCGGCGGGGACCGCTCGTGGGTTTCCGGGGACACCCTCCCTCGAAACTCTGGAAATTTCCACATCGGGTCCCTTGTAGAGGCCGTCGTCTGCCCTCGTTCATACGCTGTGTCACAAAAAAAAAACACCACCCACGTTCAGGGACACTTCTCCTCACCAACGAAGAAACCTCTCGCTGTTGTCGACACAGAGAATCTCTCGAAGCGTTTTCTACGTGAGGGGCAAGAAGCAGACGGGAAGGCGAAACCGTCGTAACGGTTGCCCGTATGTCTGACAAGCAAGGATTGCTATGTAGAAGCAACAGCTACACAGGCCTCCAAACGGCCTTCAAGTCTATCTAGCTCGGCCCGAAACGGCCTTCCTTACCCGTCGGAGGGCTCTCGACAGGACGGCGGACGCGGCTCCGTCCCTCGTGGGGTCGAAGGCATCCTTCTTGCTGGCGGGCTTGCTCTCCTCCGACACCAGCAGAATCACCTCGTGCACCTGATCACCATGTCGTTCGTTGTTACCCCGGCCGGAATATTAACATTTTTATGTACATTCATACGTACAGAGCGGAGAGATACTGACACAGACAAACGACTGCAATGACATAATTCGGGAGTTCATGTTATTATTTATTCTATGTATTATGTTTTCAGCTCTGGGGACGCAGGACCCACGGAAAAGGACAAAAACACGCGCATGCAGGGGCGACGGTCGACGGAACGGGACGGGAAACTCAACTCATGGATCCATCCCACCAAGCACCCTGCGGGTTGGGTGGTGGTTGGTTGGCAAATTAATCAGGAGATAAGATCATCCCAGCGTTGTTGTATCATGCCTGCCTCTTGAAAGACGGAGGAGCAGCCCAGGTCCGACAACCGCACGATGCACACGCCATACAAGAAGACAAACGAGCGACAACGAATCAACCAGTCGTGTCTGTGTGTGTGTGGTGTACAGGTGAAGGTGTACGGAGCGTCAGCATCGTCTATCTACCCTTTCCCTGCAGTGCAAGGGCTCTCGATAGAAGCTTCCCCATCAATCATTGGCCGATTCGATGGCAAGCACGTCGGCACAGGGGCTGCTGCTTATTCTTGGGAGGATGGTGGATGTGCGGACCGCTCTCGGTAGTCATTTGTTTTCAAGATGACACTCCGTCAGAAAATGAATTATGATTCCACGGACAATGATTGCCGTTTTCAGCTCGTAAAGTACCGTGCGCGTGAATCAAAGTAGAGCGGGGTGTTCCGAATGTTCGTTACGTCAAGTACACGGCGGCGGAACCGAACGCCCGAAAGACTTTTAAGCAAAATGCACGACCGTCGCTGACACCGGAGAATACTCAAGAGAGTCTCGAAGTGTCCACCCGTCAATACACCAACCACACAAACAAAGTACCTTGCGGGGCTTATCGGTGCTGTCAGCGATGTGGAGGCTCGAGAGGGACTTGTGAGGCGGGGGGTTTAGCAGGGTCCTCAGGTTGAACCGGATGAGGGCCGACAGCATGATGGCCAGCCTCTGCCTGAGCGGACACCTGGTAGCGGCGACCTGTTTGCATCATCACCACAGGGCCGAACCGTTTTGACTATTGAGGACGGCGACACAGCTATTCAGTTCAGACAGTATTCGCTGCAGCAAACCTTCACGCGTCATCGATGAGTGACTGACCGAGGAAAAAATTGCCGAGGGATCAACAGGTTGGGGGATCGAAGATGCACGCGTTTAGACGAGGGGAGGAGGGCCAGAGAAAGGTCGCGTTGGCCGACTAGATAAGAACAACACGCTAACACCAGCTGCCAGGATGACACGGTTTACCGGAAACACAATGCATATCACATCATCTACAAGACAACGACAGCTTTATCGCCGAGCCACCGCATCCCGAGGCTCACTTCAAATTGGTTCATTACCACTAACGCACGTTTCTCCGGCCGCCCCCTTCCGTGGCAACAGCCTTCGGCGGGGCATCGACAAGGGCAAGCCAAGACTCTGCATCATTAAGTTACCACGACGGACAGCCCCCCCCTCCGCCCGCCAACCCTTTCCCAGCTGCGTACCTCGGCTCCTCCCTCCAGGGCCTCGAACGACTCTAGCAGCAGCGCCGCAGCCCGCTTGACAACCTCCGTCGAGATCTCGGTCCCGAGCTCGCGACACGCGCCTCTTGCGCTGGCGACCAGGGGGCACGAGTCAGGCTCGGCGACGCCCGCGACCGTTTTTAGCCCGCGCATGAACGCCTTCACGACAGACGCTAGCCCGCCGCCGATCCCGCCGTCCGCAACCGCTGCCGCTTTCCCGGCCCCACCGGCGCCGCTCGCGCGCTTCGGCATGCCCTCCTGGAGGAGCTTTGACGAGGCGACCACGCGTGCCAGACACTGCGCGACTTCCTTGGCTGCGACGCGGGTCACGTCCAAGGGCGGGGGAAAGGGTGGAAGTTAGATGAATAACGAGAGAAAAACCACCTTTTCGGCGCAGCCGATCGGAGAGGGCGGACACCCGTTTCGAGAACGGGCAGGGCTGTCGTGTGTTCGCTCTGGCTGTGTACTCTACAATGTCCCTACGTTTCCGCGGTCAAGATGTAGTGCTAATCCTGGCACAAACACGTCCCCACATCACGCTTCGAGCGGCACGTAAAAAAATAAATCTACATTATCAACCGCAGCAGCAGCAGCAGCAGCAGCAGCAGCAGCGGCAGCAACAACAACCTACCTGCCGCGTCGGAATCCTCGATGGCGTCCGTGGGCATGTCGACGGTCGACAGATCGAAAGCGCAGAAGCGCACCCCCTTCTTCTTCTTTCCCCCGGCTGCCTTCGCCGCCGCCGCCGCCGCCGCCGCCGCCACCCCCGCCCCCGCTGAGGGCGGCACCGTTTCCCCCGCTTCCGTTCCTGCCCGAAGCTCGTGCTTCATGGCACACGCCTCCGTCGCTACTATCGCCGTCAGGAAGGATTCGAACTGCCGCATCGCTTCGGGCGGCACCGCCGATTGCAACGAAGATGCTCTCCCCGGCCCCGACGCCTGGACGTGCCGAGCGAGAGAGCACAAAGCACAGCAGGGGGTACGCAGAGGCGGGGGCGCGTTCAGAGGGTATATTCCTTGTCGGCTGGATTTTGGCAACGTGGCAGGTGGTATGGGTCGGTGGCGGGCGGGCGCACGTTGTGCGCGCTTCGGTATATCCGCGCTTTATCCGTTCGCATTTTCGATCAATCACAGGCAAGTCGACTTCTTTACTTTGGCAACACCTGGGGGGTCTAAGAACAGCGTAGGGGGGGACGGCCGGAGGGGGAAGGATTGGGAGACAGCAGTATTCAGCGCAACCATACATCACCGTGCCAAAAAGTGCATTCGACGTTGAAATTTGTCCACGTTCACCTTCTGCATCAAGACGCGCGCCGTTGCTAGCACTCCCGTCAGCGCACCCCGCGGGCCCCCGTCCGCCCCGCCCCCGTCACCGAGCCAAGACCTCGAGGAGGCCGCCTCAAAGATGTCTTTCGCGGTAACACCGTCCGTTACCTCAGCCCCATACGGCAGCAAACGCTCCGCCACCACCGCCTCAGTCACCGCTACCTCTGCCTCCCTAGCATTCGGTTTCGCCTTGGAAGCTCGTTCCCCCCCTGTTGGTACCCCTTCCCCTGCGCAGCCCCCTCTGGCCTTCTCCCTGCCGCCGCCGCTTACGGCCGTCTTCGTCGCCGCTGCCTGTTGCGACGGCGGCGTAGCTGCCGAGAGCTGCAGAACGGCGGTGTCGAACAAGTCGTCTACGGCCATTTTAGCCGCCGTGGCGGTGGCGGAGATGCTATCCGTCGGCGACGTGGTGGCAGCCCCTTCAGCGGCGGCGGCGGCGGCGGCGACCAAGAAATCGCTCGTGGCCTTGGGATGATTCTCACGAGAAATCGGGGGAGCAGCAGCAGCAGCAGCAGCAGTGGCACAGGTGGCAGCAGTCGCCCCCCCACGGAAGCGGTTGGCTCTGATCCACTTCGTCGAGTTCGCAAGAGCCGCAGGCTTGCGCTTGGCGAACGGCGGCGCTTGCTGCTGCGAGGCGGTAGCGTCGGCCGTAGTCCGACCACGCGGATGTTGAGCCGCAGCAGCAGCACCACCAGCCCCCCCCACCGCTTCCGCTGTAGGTTTGGCGGTCTCGGCAGAGGCAGAGGCTGCAACCTGAGAAGCAGCCGCCGGAATGATAGCCGCGGAGGTTGCCACTTTCGCAGCAGCCGCGGTACCACCCTCCGAGAAAGGGACATGAGAAACGGAAGCGTTGTCGACGGAACATGAATCCCGGCCGGAACTTTCCGAGCCTTGCCCGCTCGCAGCGGTGCCCGCAAGTGTTGGTTCCAGCTTTGGTGCTAGGCCCTTGCTCTGGTCTAGCTTTGGCTCCGGGCTCAGGGGACCGCCGGCTCCGGGTTCTTCGTCACCGAATTTGACCGGGGCCTTCACCAGCCTACCCAGCGGGGCGAGCCAAGATTCCAGCGAGAGGGTGGCAACGTACGGATCGGGTCAACACAACACGCCAGAAAAGGGGTGGTACGTGACTACCGATGGCCATGCTCCTAGGGGCACGCAAAGGACAGTTCGACATAGGACAAAAAGGCTGATAGGGGGAGATGGTTCGTAACTATTGCAAGAGGAGAACTGCAACTACAATACAGGACAACCAGGATATGCGCGACGGTACAGAAAGAATACAGGCAGGATATTAGGGACCAACGAAAAAATCATTGTTTGTTGCCCTCGGCGCTCTTTACTCACCCACGCTATCAGCACTTCCTACGGGGAAGAAACACTCACCTCATCGATCGCCTCCTCTTTTTCTTCTTCGATTCCTTGCCACTCCCCTCGTCGCCACTCTCCCCGCCCTCGACGCTCCGTGCCCCCATGTTCAACGGCTCCACGACGGCTTCAGGCTTGCGCGACCTGCCCTTGCCCCTCTTTTTTTTCTCGCCGGGACCGGAGTCCAACGCCGCGCCGCTGCCGCTTCCAACCGCCGCGATCGAGCCGTCCGCCTGGTGCGACCAAGCCCCGACCATGCCATACCCGTCGCCGCCGCCACTGCCGCCGCCACCGCCTACGATAAGCCCGACCGAGTTGCTGCCGCCCACACCGCCTACATCGGCGCAGAAAAATCCGTCGTCAATGTCTCCCGCGGGCATGGGTACCTCTTCGACGACAGCTCCCCCCACCTCGTCAAGGTCTGTCGTCGCCGCCGCTGCCGCCACTGCATGTACCGACGCTGCGTTCGGGAGTTCTGCCTTATCCGCGGGAGCGGCATCGGAAGAGGAGGAGGAGACGTTAACGGAGTGCTTCCTATTTCTTGCTTCAGTACCGCCCACGGCCCGCTTCTGCCCGTGCGGTTGCCCCGCATGCTGCTGTGGCAGCGGCGCTTGCTTGACTGGTTTGGCCCGCTTGCTCTTGGTGTTGTGCGCTCTCAGCGGTTTCGTTTCCCCCCGTTGCTCCTGCTCCTGCTCCTGCGATAGAGATGGCACCGAAGGTGACGACAACACCGCTGCCGGTGCCGTTGCTGCTGCGGCTGCCGCTACTGCTGCCGCTGCGGTAGCCGCTTCCGTCTCGGCCGCCTTCTTCCTAGCCTCGTCGGCCTGCTGACGGGCAGCGGCTTCGGCGGCCTTCTGAAGAGCGGCCTCCTGCTTGCGCTTCTTCCTAGCCTCGCGTTGGCGCTCCGCCCTCTCTCTCTCCTTCTCTTCCTGGATGCGTTCCTTCTCCCTGGCTTCCCTCTCCTTCTCCGCACGCCGAGCGTTAAGCATCTCTCTGCGGGTGGTGGTAGGTCGTGCGGTAGGCACCACCGACTCGGGAGGGGTCGTCATAGCGGCTGCAGCATCGGCAGGGGCGGCGGATAGTGAATCCCCATCGGGGGCAGGAGCAGGGGTGGCGGTCGCGGCAGCAGGGGGAGGCAAGACCAAGGCGGTGGGTTTTCCCAGCTTCACAGCCGTTGCCTCTCGCGATTTTTTCTTCGCCCTCTCGGTGGCCGTAACGCGCGGGGGCGGCGGCATATCGCCCCTCTCGACTCCGTCGCTGTTATCCACCCCTCCTCGCCCGCCCGCGGAAGGGGTGGTCTGTATGAGCCCGACCAGCGCGTCCAGAGGCAGGCCTTGCGCCGTGTAGGCCGCCAGGAACCCGCAGAACCCTTTAGTCAGCTCCGGCAGCTCCACATAGCCTCCGACGCCGCCGGTCGTGCCGCCTCCGCGGCGGCATTGTGCTCCAGCCGGCGCCGTAGCCTCGTCCGTTGGCTCCACGGCGGTTGTTCGGGGTCCGATTCCCGGTGTTGCGCTTCCCCGGCCCCTCTTCTTTCCCGTGGTCGGCTGGGAAGAGGTGTCCGTCGTCCGAGCGGCAGAGCCCCCTGCAGCGAGGGCCTCTAGGCTCGCCGCAAGGGACAGCACGTCCGACCGCCGGCGGAGTGAGTTTTCGCTCTCGGCTTGTTGCGCAGCCGCGGCGGCAGCGGCGGAGGCGGCGGCGGCAACGTCAGCAGCGGCGGAAGCCCTGGCGGCTGCAGCCGCTTGATTAGCAGCAGCAGCGGTGGCTTTTGCGGTGGCAGCGGCCTGGGTAGCAGCCTTGGCGGCCGCAGCAGCCTTGGCAGCCTTGGCGGCCTCTGCCTTGAGGGCTTTGGTTGCCTTGCGAGCGGCATCTTCGGCTTGGGCGACGGCCTCCCTCTGCTGCACGCCGAGCTTCTCGGCCGCTTCGGCTCTCGCCGTGGCCGCCTCGGCCTCGGCGCGGGTCTGCGCGAGGGCGCTAGCGGCCTCTTCGACTGCGGTCGTCGCCTCACGCCGCAAGCTCGCTGACTCCGCCTTCGCGGTCTCGGCCTTGCGCTTCAGGCTCGCGATCTCCGCGCTGGCAGTCTTGGCATCGTGCCGTAAGCTCGCCGTCTCCGTGCTCGCCATCTTGGCGTCGCGACGCAGGCCCGCTATCTCCGTGCTCTTGGATTTTGCCTCGCCACGCAATCCTTCTGCCTCCGCGCTAGCTCTGTCTGCCCGTGCGTTTGACTCCTCCAGCTCGGCTCGCGCCCTGGTGTTCTGTTCCCGCAGCTGACGGTTCTGCTCCTGCAGCTGGCTATTCCGTTCCTGCAGCTGGCTAGTCGCTGCCTCGGAGCTCTGAACCATGCTCTCCAGCTCCTGCTGCCGGCGTTTGAGCTCGAAGTTTTGGTTGACCATCTGGGTCGCGGTGGACCCTCCACCTCCACCTCGCCCGCCACCGCCGCTGCCCCCTTGCCGAGAAGGAGAGGTAGACGCAGGGCAAGCCGCTGGGGCGGCAGGCATCGCCGTCTGGTTTTCATGAACGCAGAAGAATCGGGCGAAAAAGGGGAGATACATGTGTCTGGGATTGATTGCGTGGACGCAGTGCTACCAACATCCCCCACGCCTATGGGAAGCATTATTCTTTGCAGAGCGATCCTAAGTGCTAGGCTATGATGCAGGCAGCAGCAGCAGCAGCAGCAAATAGCGGCAATCGCTTCCGGCAACCCGAGGTTCACCCGGCGGATACCTCTGATAATAAATTCTTGCCAACCATTGTTGTGCCGTAAGGGTTAATTCGCTACTTTCGCGACCGTCCCCAACAGACGTCCCCTTCACACCAACGTTCGGTTTCTACGCACACACCTGGAGGAAAGCCTGCTGATTCTGAAGTGGCCCCTTCCCCATGGGCCCCCGGTGTCCTCTCGGCGTCAAGGGAGGCATGGCGTTCTCGTCATTGCGCGATCGATCTGCGAGAGAGATTCGCCTCGACGGCTTCTTTTTATTCGCTCCTCCTGTTTTCGCCAACGCCTCTTGTTGGCCAAACGAAAACATGGCACGCCCTTCCCTCGCCCTTGCTCAGGTGGCGGCCCGTGCAAGCTTTGGCGTATACCTGTCCGATTCGCGCACAATGTGACCGTTGCTAATTGCGCGCGTTTTTCCTCTCATATGCAGCCACGGAGCCCCTTGGGTACCCTTGGGTACCTCAAGTTCGTTCCGCGGAGCCCGGCCAGCGGCATCATCATGAGCAGCCATGCAGTCGAGCAGGCCACGGGACAGATACACGCACCGCTCACCAGAGTGTGGCAAGCGAGATCGACATGGACCACTGCGGAAATCACAGCAGTAAATGTGGGGCGTTTCTTCTTTCTCTACTGGTGTTGATCGGGGATGTCCAAGCAACCACTTGCCGTCGTGCTGATGCTGGACCAAACACGAAGTCAGCACGTGCCGCACGAGCTACTACTGCCGCTTTTGTTGCGAGTGGACATAGCATCGGTGGCGTTGCGCCCGGAAGAGCAAACGACCGGCGCGCCGCTCAGCACCAGTATGTAAAACGCCACCACCTCCACGTCTCGAGGGACGCCGAGGACCGCAGCCTGTACAGAAAACGCGGTCGGTTTCGTCGACGGCCGAGCGGAATTTTGGGCAGCAGGATGGCAGCAGCGGTTGACGATGAGGATCAACAGCAACAGCAACTGCAGCAGCTGCGAGAGCCAAAGGAGAACCGTGTCGAGATTGCAGAGGAGGCTCGCGTCGGAGGCCTGTCCCGAGCATCTTTTGTGCAGACCGCGGCAGGCTCGGCTGCAGCCGTCCTGGCACTCTCGCTGGTGAGTTACTTGTAGACGTCCCGTCGATGGCGACGGAGATGGTACAGAACCGGCGGGTTGCCTGCTCGGCATGACATGTGGCGACACACCGCCGTAATTAAGGACTGCCTTTGAAGACAAGAGACAGCTGCGGGGGCGCAACTTGAGAGAGAGAGAGAGAGAGAGAGAGAGAGAGAGGGAAGCACGGTGTTGCGCATCTGCATGCAACTCACTCTGTTTCTGTCGTCTCTCTCACAGCTTGCAAAACATGGCGCTTCATGTACAAATTGCTGGCTGTTGCGCATCAATTGAAGATTCTGGGGCACACGCGTACAGCGGACGAGGGAGCCAAACGATAGCAGTCTTTCAGTAGAAAGCGTGCACGCACGTTGCTGGCATCGTAATTTCGGAAGCATGTGCTGTACTGCTGTAGCTCAACACCAAGCAGGAAATTCACTGCTGGTTACTCCCCTCCCGCAACTTGCAGTAACTTGGTGCTCAGCGGTATGTTGTATGTTGGTTGATGCGCTATTTTAGGAGCTTTGGTTGCTGTTGGCCAGTGCTGTGACGTAATTTCCCCGCTGTCAAAACAAGACTTCAACATCCGTTCGACTGGGATTATCTTGAACGTCTACGTAGTCCTTCGGTGATTGCATGTGTACACCTCCAGTGTTTTCTAATTATTCGAGGCAATTTGATGCCTCTGTTGACTGGAGTTCGAGAAACACGTTTCGACGGTATGAATGTAGAATTGCCAGAGGAGAGTGCCACTCCTGAGACCGGCCTCGAACGGGTGCTTTTGAAGTCCTTTTGGCAGCGGCGAGGGCTTAATGACGCCGGCTCCCGGGCCCCGCCCTGCATTTCAGTAGTGGGCAACGAAATTCCTGCAACTCTTTTAACGAACACCATACTTGATCATCTGATTGGCCTCTGCACCGAACGGCTTACCTTTGGGGGGGAATGGCCCGCAGGTATGGTGCCCGCACCTACCAGCGCGCCCGTGCCTCCCATGGGTAAGCCGTTCGGTGTAGAGGCCAGTCAGATGCGGAAGTAATCGAGCTTGTCCGTAAAAGAGTTGCAAACAAAGAGTCTACCCTACCACTCACAGCCGTATGCAGGTCCGGGCCCGGGAGATGAGTTGGTCGAAAAAACGCGCGTTTTGGAGTCTACCGGACGCCCGGCTAAATAGGCAGTTTCCTCGATTCCCCCACCAACTCTACCCCCCCGTGGCATCTGCTCATAACGCCTTGTCAGGCTGCGCTGCTACCTGAATTATCGGCCCTTGACCCAGCGACAGTTGTAGACGACCACCGAGAAGTAGTATTGAAGCTGTTTCGACTCAACTTACACGGGACGCCGCGTGTAGAAAGGTGTTGTACAACCCGTGCTGCCGTTCACTCTTGCGGCCTCTTGGTGTTCTCCTCCCATCGCCGAATGTTCTGCAACGTTTGGGTACACTGTCGGCCGTTTTCGTCGCCGCTGTACACAGCGCAAGCTTGCGTCGCCATGTCGCTACACCGGTGTTGCGTGGTAAGAAGCAAAACAGCGGTCGTTCCGTTCCCGTGATGGCGAGGAGATACGTACTTCCACGTTATTTTCTGTTTTGATGGAGGGTGGCTTTGACACACCAACGTGCCGTGCCGGCTGGCCCTCTGCAGGCACCGAAGAAGGCGTTTTCCGCGTTCGAGGAGAGCATAGACATGACCTGGACGTCGGTCACCACCTTCGAGAAGAGCGCCGGGGTCGCTCAGGAGACGTACTCCCCGCGGTTCGTGGCCTACCTCGCGCGATTCCTGGTGAACTACGACAGGTGCGCGCACCGTGTGTTTTGTCCGCGGGAGGAGGGTAACGACGGATGAGGCTGACACAGCAGCGGGCTCTCAAGTTTTGCTGTTGTTCTACCGCTTGTGTTTGCCTGCGGGCGAAGAATTAGCAACCAACAGAGGAAGGAGGAGGTTGCCACAGCAGGGTTTCAATTGTGCGTTTGTTGAACTGGTCCAGCGGATCTTTGCGCTTGCGCCTTCAAAGGAGCACATGGAGGTGCATATTGGAATACGAGCTGTTCTTTCTGTCTGGTCTCGATGTCGTCGCTGCTACTGCTGTTGTGCCGCGCGAGAGGAAGATGCTGCTTAGGCGCGATCTATTGCGAACTGCAAATCAGGCGTGTCATGTGTTGCTTGTTTGGTGTGCGTGCGGGCCCGCTTCGAAGCTCAACCGACGCTTCGCTCGGGAGGCAACATGCGTTCGACTTGCCGTCTTACCTGCCGCGATATGTTCGTGAAAGCATAGTAGCTACGAGGAGCAGGAGCAGATAGGCGTTCCCCTTCTTTGGATGCCCCTTCTCCCCTCCCTTGCCTCTTCGCCCACACACATTGCCCCCCCCTGTCACCTTCCACCTCGCTACCCCCCCCCAACCCTTTTAGCGTGAGCGCGCACTGGTGGAGGAATCAGCAGACTTCCGTCTCCCAGGCGAGCGCGCAGGACTTCGCCAAGAAACTGGTGGAGCAGGGGGCGGCGGCTGTGTTCAAGGCATCCGATCTGGATGGCGACGGGACCCTGAACGAGGAGGAATTTAGCCTGGCCATCGCGGACCAGCAGATCGGCTTCGCAAAGTTTGAGGTGCGGGGTTGGTGCACCCTGCGAGCCGACGGTGGCATTGTTGTAAAAATCGTAGTTCTCTTCGGTTCGATTCGAAGGTTCGGTTCGCTTGGAAGGTTCGACTATTCGCTTCGGCTATTCGATTCGCTTCGGATGGAAACGGTCTCTTAGTGTCAAGGCTTCGTTGCACGGCTTGGCGGGCGTGCTTGTGCGTGTTGCTTGCTTTGTGTCCACCAGCCTGGCCGAGACTGTGAATTGAAAGTCAGTAGCGGCAACAAAGCCACAACGTGAGAGCGTGGCATTGTCCTCCGCGGGTCCCCTGCTAGGGAGAGGGGGACTGGAGCCATGAGCCCCCAGCATGTTTCTGGTTTGGTGTTTCGACGTGTAGGTGTGACCCATGTCTGCCCTTGCTACGTGGACCGCGCTTGCCGATTGGCCAAGAAAGGAAAAGGACGAGGAGTGAAACGCTTGTTTGTGTGTGCGGTACTAGCTACAGGTGGCCATCAACGAGCACCGTGCTCGCGTGGGTTGTGTGTTTTACGTTGATACATCGGTCGAGAGCGACGATTCCTGCTATGTCAACGAGGCGCTCGTTTGTCGGCGTTTTTTGCCAACCTTCTCCTAGCCAATGAAGAATGGGACGGTGGTAACAAATGAGTGCGTGCACCGAGGAAGAGCCGTGCGAAGTTGGGTGAAAGGGTGCATGGACTCAGATGAATCTTCGGTGTATGGTTGGAAAAGAAAGTTTTTTGTCTCCCCTAGGAATGTGAGATCAATAGTCTAACGACCACGGCATGCACGGCTATGAGTGCTTCGTCCTCTCGAGGACGCGTGGTCAATGGTCTAACCGCTTAGGCATGCAATACATAAGAGTACCCCCCCCCCTACCACTCCTGTGACCCCCCGGCTCAACCATGCCACACGAACACGCACACGCTGAACGAAACAACGGAACCGAAACCACGAGATCGCCTGTCCACTAGGCGAGCGTGAACTTCGGCCTGCGCAAGTACGGGGGCAAGTCCGGGGTCAAGAAGCTGTTCAAGCTGCTGGTGGAGGAGTTCGGGGAGGAGACCGCGGGGAAGCGGCAGATCGCGCTACTGTTTGCGCTGCTAGACTCGGACCAGCCGGTGGAGAACATCAAGGCCCTCATGGGGGAGACGGACAACTCTTCCATCTTGAGGTAGGTCATGGGAGAGAGGGACCATCTTGAGGTAGTTTTGTTGGTGCGGTACGCTCGGGGAGAAGGGGTAAGCAAGCCTAAGGAACGGGAGTGCAAGCAGGGGGGGCGAGGGGCTGAGAAGGGCTAAATGCGGGGCCGAACAAAAAATCGGAACAACATGCCTTGAAAAGTCGGCGTTTTATTGGTGTCACGGGAACGAGCTGATAATTTTTGCGGTAGCCCGTAGAGCATCAAAAGTGGTAAGGACCGGGGTCGGCGCGATGCCTACGGCGAGGTTTCCATTTTCAGGCGTTCTAAATGGGTGACCGCCACGAGAGGAGACACGGTTTGAAGGGAACGGGGGAGGTGTGTGGCATAGGAGGGAAAGGGGAGGCGCAGTCGTGAACAAAAACGGTGTGGGTCTGTCCGTTCGTGCATGCGTGATGTTCTCACTTCTCATTTTTTTTAAACAGCCCGGGAAGGGCGTCGAGCCTTTGGCGCAGGCGATAGAATTATACATCCGTCGTACCACATACGCGTAGCATTCCAAGCAAACGGCAGAGGAGTGTATGGATCGATGTGGTGCGGAAAGAGTATCCTGTTGGCTCACAGCGTAGACCACGGCATCCCCCAAAACACGGCGTGCTGTCGACAAACTTGCCACTCCTACTCCCTCCCCCCACACGGTTGCGGTTCACCCCCTATAAACCTAAACCCATGCCATCTCGCATATCCGCCTGCCGCACGATCCGCACCGGGAAACCTGAATCCTCTCCACCTGCTCGACCTTCTTCTTCTTCTTCTTCTTCCTCCTCCTCCCCTTTCGTACGCGCGGTCAGCTATAAAGTGACCAACGGGGGCCGGGGGTACGAGGCGGGGCACCCTCCGGCCGTGAAGATCGAGGCGCCGCCCTACCTGACAGACACGGCGAGGGCGACCGCGACGCTGAGGCGGTCGGGCAGCGTCTTCAGGGTGGCGTTACGGTCGCCGGGGAAAGGGTACCAGACGGCCCCGACGGTGACGATATCGCCCCCAAGGTTAGGAAGAGAGCTACGAACGCGGGGGAGGTGGAACGTTTTGACGGCGTGCGGCCCTCCTGTCGTGGTGGTTGTTCGTCAGTGGGGTTTGGGGTGGTTGACTGCTCGGGAGTTACCCCAGGGCCGGGGGCAGCGTGCTTGGTTCTTTTCTGTTTTTGTGGTGGGGGTGCTGTGCATAGGTTTTCACGTGACGTTTAAACCCGGGGTGGGGGTATCGGGGAGGTGGCGGTGATTGGTGCTGGCGCTGGCAGTACTGTTGACCTGTAGAAGTTTTAAACGTCGTGACATCTTGCTCGACAGAAGGAGGGAGGGGAGTGAGAGAGGGCAGAAAGAGGGAGCAAGAGGGAGAGAGAGAGAGAGAGAGAGAGAGAGAGACAGAGACAGAGACAGAGAGAGACAGGCAGACAGTGATATGCAAAGACAAAGACGAGTGTAGGTAAATAGCTGTGTTCGCCGTTGACTGATGAACGACAACGCATCTACGTGCAGATCCGGAAGCGAAAGTTAGAATGTGGCAGAGATTAAGCACAACAGGCCGAGGAGAGGCGAGAGCGTTCTCGTGTCTCCAACAGGGATCGCACAATACCCGAGCTTGTCGGCCGGTGTCACGGACCCTGCGCGAGGTGTTTGTGCACCTTACGAGTGTGTATTTTCCGTTCGCGCTGGCCTTGGCACATGCCGACAGGAACCCGGACGGTGTGACTGCGACTGCGGTGGCGGCGCTCAAGGGGGGCAAGGTCGTTGGCATCGTGGTGACGAACGGAGGGAGTGGCTACTCCGAGGTGAGCTCGATAGTTCCGGCGCGTACGTGGCGTGTATATTCAAGTCCGCCCCGCGCGACGAATGTACCCTCTCTACTCTGTGACACAACCGAGATGGTAGATAGTGATACTGCACCTGGATACTATCTTTGTGGGATTCATTGGCACCCCACTCGTCGACACTCGACCCGAGGGGCGTTGGTGGTGATGGTGCACGTCGTCGTGTGCCGTGCGTTTGAGGGAACTCTGAAGGCGAAATCGGGGCCGTGTTGATACACGACATGTTGTGCCAAGCATTCCCTACACAGTGCAGAGGTTGATTTTCGTGTGTGAGCCGAGAGAGTGGGTCGAAGAAACGCAATGGGGTACCCAGATATTAGAATGCGAAGAAAGCATCACCAACTGCAGCACCGAATAAGCAGTGGATTTCTGCAATTGCTGGTGTATTGAGCTAGCCCTACGCAGATGAAACGAAAATGTATCATGCCATGTTGTAGGTGCGGGCATAAAAATCCAAAGACGGACAGTAACTCCGCTTGTGCCTTGCGTGCAAACCCTAACCGTTTCTGTTGCGCGCCGACCTTAGGACGACGATGTGAGGGTGATGATAGACCAGCCCGAAGCTGAGTCGGGTGGCAACGCGGTCGGCTTCGTCGAAGGGAGGATGAATTGCGCCGCCGCGGTAGCTGTCATGGACATGGAGGTATATACCACGACAAGTCAGCGACGCACGAATCATACGGTGTCATTTGACATCGCAAAGGAGCGGTGGAAGACGCCGAGTGATAATATCACGTTTTTGTTTGTGACAAAGAGATAATCAATAGTCCTGGACAGACAGGCGCTGGGGAGATTGTAAACCCGTTGTGAAGGGGATCTTCAGATTGTACCCTTCACGTGAAGGGGGTCTCCATGTTTTTGGTCGAAGGCAACAACAGGGGGAGAAATGGTTCCTCGACCCGCAGTCGCCTCCTCCCCGCGACCCCTTTCCCATTTCGTGCGTAATGTGTTTGTCTCTTGGCCTTGTTTTTTCCTCTTGTCTTTCCTTTCGCTCTTCCGCGGCAGGTGTCGGAGGTGCGGGTCGTGCACAAGGGCAGCGGGTACGCGAGCCCTCTTCCGGCCAAGGTTACCATAGACCCGCCGCCGCCGAGGGTGAGACTCTGATGCCACCGTGCCTCCGTGTAGCGCCCTTTTTTTAAAGACTTTATATAGATGAGGTTCGCGGGGCTCTTTATGGAGAAAAACACGTCATCGGCTGTGTGAGCTGTTGAGCTTGGGAAACGTCATCGCCGGCAGCCAGCTGTGGGCTGGTTCTGCTGCTGCTTTTGGTTCGTCTTGCATCACCCCCCTTGATGGCAGTGCTGTGATCTCATGTGCCGCACTCCAGAGGGATCCTGTTCGTTCCTTGAACCCACTTTCCCGCCCTCCTCAACGTGGTGCCCGAAATACGCGCGATCTAGCACAGGCTGCGTTTGACGAAAACGCAATAAAGAAAAATCCAGTTTTGTCGGTAGTTTTGTTTCATATAAACCAGCTCGTAGGTTTGCTGGCTTTAGTTGAGGCATAGGTTTTGGGTCGAGGAAATTTTCTCTATAGCCCTCTCCCTCGAACGTTTTGTCCCTGTTTCCCCCCTCTCTGCCCCCCCCCCCCCCCCCTCTTTCTCTCTTCTTGTGCCTCTCATCTCTATCGCAGGTAGAATACGCTGTCCCCGGGGCTAGCGCGGAGGCCCAAGCGGTGCTCTCGCCGCCTCCGGAGAAGGAGGTCTTGAGGTCGTGGCTGCCCCCGCAGCAGCTGCGGAGGGAGGTGACCGAGCTGCTCCCGGACAACCTCGTGCCCATGCTGGACCCCTGCCTGGCCAAGTTCTACCTCTCCCCCATCGACGTGGCGGACCCCAACTACTGCGTCTACTTCGACAATTCCGAGTTTCAGGTGTGAGAGCAGCGCAAACAAAGCCAGGAGCTGCTGCTGCGTTTTTTTTTTTTTTTGACGACACCGGCGACAACTTTTGATTTGCCCATTTCTTGTTGCCGTCGTCTCGTTATGCTGCCGTCGTCCCCCAACCCCTTCCAGGATTTCCATTGCGGTACATTGGTTATCTACGCAGCTGTTAAGCTAACCCCAATCCCACCCCCAACGCTGGCTGATTTTCATGCCTCCTTTTTATCCCGTACCTCGCGTCAGGTTTACCCCAGCCAAAAGCTGGCTAGGTATTTCTCCTTCCTCGATGGGCCCCGTACAAGGTAAGAGTGCCAGGGAGCAAGAATGTAAAACAACGAAAATGAAGCGTTGCACCATTGGAGAGAAGAACGTGCGACGGAAAGCCTCGAGCTCGGCGGGCGCATCATGTCCTGTTCAAGGCGGAACCAGTTGCCTGAACACCAATCGGAAGCTATGTCTTCAATTTCGGGATGAATCGCACACGAGGCGGGGTGCCTGTTTTGTTTTGTTGAGAAACGCTCGTGTGACTTTGGCGCAACAGCCTCGGGTTCTCCTTGCCATATCAAAGCTACTGCTGTATTGGCGCATTCTCTAGATGAAACCAACCGGTACGTTGCCTGTTGCTGATTTTGCTGTTGCTGATAGTATTGTTTGCTCGCCTCTTGAAATCACACCTGCTGTTATGCCTGGGACGAACACGAGCCTCGGCTTGTGAACGTACGGTTCCTTCGAAAACAGTCTTAGCCACCTTTTTGATAAAAGACCTCTTTGACAAAGAACTAACTGCCGGCGGGCGCTGCGGTGCTCCCCTACCCCGGCACACGATAGGGTTTCGTTGCAAGGGGGACGCACAGACGGGAACGCACATTACACTCCCCCATCCCACTCCACCGCACAGAGTAAAGAAACACACAGGGGTCACAGGTGTATTGTATGTCGTCAAGGCAAAAGCAGTGTCTCCACTCGACCAACAACGACGGCCACAGCGGCAGACATGTACACGCATGCCAAGCTACCAAACATCCCGACCACGCCACCAACAGCCGCGACCTAACTCTTACGGGACCACCGAAAATTTCCTGGAAATTTCTTTATTTCCCACCTCAGATACCCGGTGGAGAAGGAACGCTCGCTGGACGCCTCGGTGTTCCTGCGCTTCGCCGCGTGCGGGGCCGCCTGTGGGTCCACCGCGCACGCCTTCCTGATCCCGATCGACGTGGTGAAGACGAGGATGCAGTCGGAACCCAAGAGGTACCCGGACACCATGTCCACGTTCAGGACGCTCGTGAAGGAGGAGGTGCGTGTGTTGCGTGCACGCCTTCGTGCGTTTGCGCGTGTGTCTGGCATCTCGCTCTCAAGAGAGCGGTAGAGGAAGAGAATGGGAGGGAGAGATACAGGAGAGAGGGGGGGGGGGGGGGTACTCATAGTCGTGCATGCCGTAGTCGTTAGACCATTGACCTCGCATCCCTACAAAGCCGGGACGGAGCACGCCGGGTTCTCACCGGACCAGGCTAGGGGGGGGGGATTGAGAGAGAGATACACATTTATGCATATAAAAAGAGAGACTGAGGTTAGTATGCAACAGTGTCTGGATGAAGGTTCTAAGGGGGCACCGGGAAGGGGGGCGACGGGGAAAGGGAGGGTGCTGCGATAGCGCGTTGTGTGTGAATGCGAGTACTTGTGTGCATGCATTTAGTGCCTGGTCAGATCGTACGACGTGCGCGTTAGTCGCTGGGAAATGTGTCAGGGTAGACGCAGAGGGTCGGGTGTGAGTTTGTTTGCTACATCTCGTTTCCCAGCGAGCGTACCCACGCTCGGCCCACCATCCGCGAGCTACTGTAGCTACGTGGTTGGGGGAGAGGAGGGCCGTTCGGGCATGACCTTCCCTGTCTCCGATCACGATTCTGCTCGAAGCGCGTGATGTGCGAAGTGCTGCAACTACGGGCTAGCGCCACGTGCTTCGATCCTTTTTGAGACGATTTACGTTTGTGTTTTTACTCCAACAAGGTCGTCGTACATGCTGGGGTGTTACAAAACGATAGTTGAATAACGCTCACCCTTCTTCGTTCCCATGCACCTACCACTGCTGCTGTTGTTGCTGCTACGACGGCGGCCGTGCTGTTGCTCGCTTTCTACCTTTCCGTTTTCATGCATCCACTACTCCGCCGCCGCCGCCGCCGCCGCCGCTTTGCTACCACTGTTGGTATGTCGTCACGTTCCATCGTTTCAATTTACTCGGGGTTTCCTATGTTAATCCAGGGCGTCGAGGCTTTCTTGCTCGGGACGGGGGCGACGATCGTGGGGTACGTATTTTACGGGGGCTTTTCTTTCGGGCTCACGGAGTTCCTCAAGCGGCGCTTCGTTGAGCTGGCGGGCCCGGACTTGGCGGCGCTGTACCCCATTCCAATTCTACTGGGCGCAAGGTGTGTATGCAGGGCGGGGGTGAAGCGCAAGGGGGGGGAGGTATGTCGGGGTGTGCGCGGGCGGGGGGAACGAGGGCCAGCGGATGTTGCGCGTCCATTCCAGCTGAACATCACTGAGCGAATGCTTGGTTTGGTCCCTGCGTGAAACCACTCTCTTGCTGCTGCTGTCTGTTTTGTTGCGTGGTTGTTGTTTATCGTGTTTGGTGTGTTGATGCCCCCGCTCCTGTGGTTGCTGTTGCTGTTGCTGCTTTTGTTGTTGTTGTTGTTGTTGTTATTGTTGTTGCTATTGGCAGCGCCGTATCCGCCTGCTTCGCGGCCACAGCCGTCACCCCGTTCGAGACCCTCCGCATCAAGACCGTCACGGTTCCCAACTTCCCCAAGACCCTGGCGGGTGCGATGTCGGAGATGGTGTCCACGGGCCGCGCTGGAGACCTCATTGCAGGTGCGTCGGACGAAAAAAAACGCCCCATGTGTCCATTGATTCGATTTCATATGCGATGTTACTAGGTAAAGGGCGTTATTACCCCCCTTTCCGCCCCCAGGGCGTATTGGTTGCAAATTGATGGTAAACGTGTACATAGAGTGGGCAAATCCTTGCACATGCACGCAAACAAGGCCTCGAGCTAGCCTGCGCTTCGCAGAAGAAGGAGGTCCGAAGTGCCAAACCTTGTGGTTGTGTCGTGGTCTGGGACAGCCGCCTGATGTTTTTTTTTCGCGAGTGCGCTTGGTTCTTTCGTCGCTGTGCACTTGATAGCAGTCTGCCCAGGTGTTGCTGTTGTTATTGTAGTCGGTGGAGGTGCAGCCGCTGGCCAAGCTCCCGTTCGCGACGACCGAGTTCGCCACGGCTTGCGACCCGTGTTACCTTTTTCAGATCAATCAACATATCCCCTTGGCAGGCGCAATGAAAGCGTACGTACTCGAGGCGCATCTTCCGCACGGGGGGAAAAATCTTTGCCCTCTTTTGCGCCGCACGCGTCTTTATGTTTAAACCTCGTAGAACGCGCCATGTGTCACGAACGTGCGCGCTTTCATCGTGCAGGTGTCCCGGTCTTGCTGCTGGCCGAGATCCCCTTCATGATGGCCAAGTTCGCCGTGTTCGATGCCTTCTCCAAGCTGGCCTACAACGTCTTCCCGCAGGCGAACGAGTCCGTGGCGGCGTCTCTGGCGATCTCCCTCATCAGCGGCATGGTCGGTGAGTTGCGGCCTTGCGCGGCGTGGCCCGTGTGTGCGGGGTAGATGCCGGTGGGGGTTGAGGTCTCCTCGTTTTTGTTGGTGGCCTTCGTTCGTGCGATGGTCGACGACGCACACTCCGTGACTCTGCAATGTTGAAGTACTCCTATTCGGCGTACGTATGCATACATATGTAGGTTTTCTGCTGTTTTCTGCTGGTGTTGTATGTTTTTTGATCCTCTCTTTTTTTCTCGTTTTTTCTTTTTGCCGCTTTTTTTTTCTTCTTCTTTTTGCCTTTGTGAAGCTGGAGTGGCGGCGTCGTTGGTCTCTCAGCCGTCGGACACCGTCTTCGTCGAAGTCAGCGACAAGGAGGGAGGTAGCGTCGGCATCATCGAAACGGTCAAACAGGTGTACAACGAGGGTGGGGCGGCGGCGTTCTACAAGGGGGCTCTCCCGAGGGCGGCCAAGTCGGCCCTCAACATCGCGCTGCAGTTCTTCCTGTACGACTCTCTCAAGCGACTCGCCAACGTCGCCCCGGACGACTTGAAGGTGGGCGTGGTTGAGGTTTGCGTGTGCGGTGGCCTGCTGGACGCGATGAGAGGCGGTGGGAGGGTGTGCCCGTTTGCCGCTCTCCTGTGTTGTTGAATGATCATTGGTATCTCTTCGTTCTTACTGTGAAGCGAGCTTCCCCAACAGTTGGAAATGACAACTGTTTTTTGTTAGGGAGAGGAAGGAGCGGGGCGTTCCAATCACATTTCCACAGCAGTTTTGACTCTGTTTTACGTTTTCGGCTAAAAGCAGGTTCCACCGTGCTGGCTTGCGCTCCTGCATGGAGTTTAGATTGTCTATTGCGATGTCTGTCCTCAGATGTATCGCGTCTCAAAATTGGCTCAGGATCTGAAGCCCATTTTTTCCCGTAAGAGCTGGGACAGTGCTATGATAGCTAGCATTACAATGCCGACTCGATGTTGTCAAGGCTCCTCTGACCATAGTTTGACGCCTGCAAGCTCGGTTTTTTCGACGAACGACTGGTGCCCCATATTAGGTGTGTGTATGAGGGTGTCCATGTGTCACAACCGACCGGTGAAATCCTCGAGGCCAAGCAGATGATGAAATGCTCCGCTGCTTTTGGTTTGGTTCCGTCCGTTCTGTTAGGTTTTCTTCGACGTCATGTCCGGCTTGGAAATGGGGGGCAAGAGCGCGGCCGACATTGCTCCGACCATCGATAGCTTCAGATAGCGCCCGGGTTGTCCAAGTAACATTCGTTCGGATGACTCGTCAGGAGCGCGTGGCGAGACTTTGGGTCGTCTCTTGTCTCTCTGGTCCTCCTGCCTGCCAATTGGTGAAGAGCACCACTTGATGGCCCCGACATACCGTGGGCACAAGCGCGGATTGCTCGTCGATCTCCGCTAGAACAAGAACGCCGATAGATGGTGGTTCTTCATTGTTTATGGGTCTCTCTTTTCCTCCAATCTCTTCTCCTTGCGTCATAGACGGCAGGAAGCGTCTCACAGACCATTGCTTTTGACGGGTGCATGCTGGTGTGCATTGTTTGAAAACAAGAGTCGCTTCTCGATTTTCCCTGTTCGTATTTAGGCACGCCGTGTTGAAGGGTTGCGCCGCACCAAGCGTCAATGGGACACACGAGTTCCGCCGCGCACAAGCAAAGAACTGGACACATACCAGATAAAATTAATTGACAATGAACGCGCGGTGTGGACTTGCGTTTGCTTCACCCGGCCGAGTGGTTTGTTGGGCTACGCTCACGTCGTTTGGTCGTGTTGGCTGGCGCAGCAAGTGTTTGGCGGAGTACGATTTCGAGGAACAATCATAGCCGTTCGATGGCCAACGCTGCCAAAGTGGAAAAGTTGCGCTGCGTTCGCGGCCGAAGACTGTAGGGTGTTGCTTTCAAGATGCCCTTATCTCGGAATCGGGTTGCTGTTCTCCGGAACAAGAGCGATAGCGTTGTTTGTGTACGGTGCGTTTGTGCGGAAACTGGCTCTGGTTGGGTGTGGACGGCCACCGTGTGTCTCGCTTGTCGGCGTGTCGAGAGAGTGTGTGTGTATGTTTGAGTGCGAACTCGCATCTAGGGCTAGCTTGTACCGATGCCTTGGGAGACGAGTTGCCTGGAAATGTGTCTGCGGCGTACGGAAATTGTCGGGGGCAGTCAACAAGTGTTGGCTGCAGGATGACGAAATAGACCTGGAGCGAGGGTGTGCACGTGGAGGTTTTCCGATTGTTTCCTTTTGGATGGAAACCGACGTTGCCTACACGTCCAGTGTCATAATCGGAATGTGGTGATTAGATGATACGGTGGAGGGTGGAGAGGGCACACGTTAAGGCAACGTAATACTCTCACTTTTAGGAGTTGTGTTTCTTTTCTGTCCTCCATACCCTCCTTGTTCTTGCATAACGAAACGACTAGGATATTGGGTGGTGGCAGGAAGACAGTTTTGACAGCGGAGTGCGAACACAAAGGGGCACAAAACTTCTTGCTGGCGGCATGACTGACCAGCCGCTCGACAGGGCGGAGTTCCCGAACAGGTTGCCATTTATTGGCGGACTTTTCCCTCCCCCTCTGTTTTTGTTGCTACGCAGACGAGTGAGAATATATTGGTATACCGATATATATAGCGAAGACCTTTGTAGAGAGCGAGGAGAGAAGTATAGGCAGCACGTATATGTAGAAAGTAGGCACTGCGTCAAGATAAGTGATGAACAGGGGGGGGGTGGCAGGAAATTTCGGAGGCTCGATGAAACTCCGCGCACGTATTTTGGCGTCGTTATATCGTGCTTCCAGTGGAGGGGTGATTTTGTGTCCATGTGTTTTAAATAGGTGCGCAACAGTTATATTCAGGTGGTGCGCAGGGCTAGGGCGGTGATGTTTGCCGCAACATTCATCCATGTCTGTTGGTGCGAAGAGGCGAAGTGGCAAGCGATGGTCGGCAGTGATGTAATGGCGAAATGCGTAACAGAAAACAACGAGTTGTGGATCTTGGTTACGAAAGGCTGGCATTCTTTTGAGAGGGATTCAGGTAATGCTTTGTCTTGGCCATCAAAACAGAAACCGACCCTTGGAACGAAGGAATCGTGATCAGCGAGCCATCGTGGAGTGTTAAAAGAACAACAGAGTTCCCGCTACTGTCGCTTTTCATTCTATGCGCGCGTCCAAGCAATATCACGACAGTCCCCTACTCTGTTGAACCTGGGAGCATTGGGAAACCTCAATTGGTTCAAGTGTCTGGGGGCCCTCCACCCCCCACAGCGGAATTAATACTACCTTGAGAGGCAAGGACACGCCAGGTGCAGAGGAATTGCATCTACTCTGTCGCTTTTCATTCTATGCCCGCGTCCAAGCAATATCACGACAGGCCCCTAATCCTTTGAATGAACCTGGGAGCATTGGGAAACCTCAATTGGTTCAAGTGTCTGGGGATCCTCCACCCCCAACAGCGGAATTTTTACTACCTTGAGAGGCAAGGACACGCCAGGTGCAGAGAAATTGCATCTATCTGATTCTCTTCCAAATAGTCTACTCAGCTAGCCTTCCATCCATCCATTGTCCGGTCATACAACTACTGTACACAGTAGTCACAGAAAGTTGAAGTGGGTGTGTTGAAATCGTTGCATGCAGCCTTGTTTCCCCAAAATTCGTCCGTTTCACAAAATGTGAGTTTGCTCACTCAGTAAAGACAGGCAAGCAGTTGTATGTCCCCTGTGGAACAGTTGTATCTCCCCCGTGGGGCATGGGGCATGGGGCATGGACTCCAAGAAAAAGATAAGAAAAACGCGGCGGAACTATGCGGCGGGGTAACGGTTCGGCTTCAAACCCCACGACCCACGACACCATGACACCCGCCCGTGTCATCGATTTCGCTCTGACTTCGAACCCCATTCTCACATACGTAGGAGCGAGATCCACCCTGTCCACCACCCCGATCGAGGAACATGCGTGTCAGGACCCACTGCGACGCGTCGATTTGAAGAGAACATCGTGAGTGGGCGTGGGACAACCATGGGTCGTAGGTCCAAAACTCGGGTGGCGGTGCCGCCGGCTACTTTGTAGCCTTTCTATGCATAGTCTACGTCAACTTCATACGTAGGTGCAGAGAGCCAGCTAGAGGAAGTGCAAGGGCACCCTCGTGTGGGTGCCGAGGTTTGGGTGCGTGCTAAGCTTTGTTCAGGCAGAAGGAGATGCCGCTGCTAGTTCCATGAGCAGGTTGCAGTTGGAGTCGCTGCCTGCGGCTTGGGCTGCTGCTGCAGGGTCGAAACATGTTTGGCTCCACCGGTCCACAGGGTATGGATATGTAAAATCTCTTGTACCCTGTACAACTACGGCATAGAAGAGACAACAACAAGTAGACTACAACGTAGAGTCCAGATGACGCTGAAAAGTGGATCGCCGAGTTGTCGCCCAACACCCGTCGCCTCATCTTGCTGAGGCACCAGGGCCATCTAGTCGCGACCCCGACGGGGCGATGATGGTATGATATCTTCGCATCTGTGGTGCCATGTATGTATTCGGAAAAATAAATACACACACAGAAAGACTACCCGTTCGAGATATAGTCTACCCACAGTCGAACGGTGCTACAGTGCAGATTCTCAAGGTCGTGCCTCACATAGCAGGGCTGGGTAAAACGACATACAGGTGACCCAGGCAGGATTCCTGTCTTCTATACTCAATACACAAATTGCCTAGTCTACCCGTTCGAGTCAACTCGCTCAGAGGGGGGCGTTGAAAATGTTTTTCAGTAAAAGGGTTGAGTAGCACCTGCTGGAGCTATGCCTCATGTAGCAGCTTGGTGTGCCGCATAACGAAGAGATTCCTGATGACGCACTAAAGTACTTGGATCACTTTTAGCGCTGCATATCACGAATCGACAGCATGGGTTTGTTGGTGTGAAAAGCGGCCGCCCTCTCATGAAGACCGCTTTCCAAATGTCTACTTCGTTGGCAGTGCTGCATGATTATCCTGGAGGCGGAGTAAGATGGACCGAACACAAGGCCAGTGCAGTCCCACCGGCGGCAATGAAGATCACGCTAGGCAAGTTTCCACGTAGAGCATATTGTAGGGGGCTGTTTGAGTTGGTGTGTAGAACTGGTGTTGGCGTTGATACTGGAATTGGTTTGCGTTGTTTCTTGGTGATGGTGCTGGTAGGTGTGTGGTATTCGTATAAGTCACGGTTGGTGGGGCTGATGGCCTTGGACAGGACAAACATAAGCAGGACCAGAACAAGATAATAGATATGTTGGCCGCTGGCATGTATCCTACCACCTTGCCGAAGACAGATGTCAATCGCGCAACCGCTTGGCCCACCCGTCCCGCCCTACGCCACCTCCCCCGCTTTGAACCTCCCTCTTTCGCCCTCGCAACGCTTACCGATTGCAGAAGTGGCCAGGCCGCAGAATCTGAGGAAGTTGATGTCATGGTACACTCTCCTAACCATGTCGACGGAAGGAATCTCTTTATTCCCAGCCTCCCTATTGCGATTGCGGTGAACGATACAATTTCTGAGAGGTGGGCACGACGTACCGTAGAGTAGAATTAGGGAGCTTTGATCGTTGAGGCACCCTGCTCTGATCCACATTCTTGTCTACCATATATCTGGAGGGTCTAATCTCTAAGGTTGATCGCGCTGAGCAACTTGTGGGTAATCTAGGAAGGCGTCGAACGTCTTAAGGACTCCGCCCGACGCCGATATCGTGCTAAACCTCCGCCACTCCCTAACGTTTGCTTGTGTCGGTGATGGTTCGCACCTGGACCCTCACAGCCAAGCAGAGGCGCAATGCGCCATCAACGATGGTGCGGCCTCGGCCCTCTGCCGACAGCAGCGCCAACCAAGCCAACGCAGTGGTGGTGCCCCCGCCGCTGCTGCTTCTACCGCTGCCGTCGCTACCGCCGCCGCCGCTACAGCTACCGCCATTGCCACCACTGCTGCAGCCGCTGCCGCCGCGGCCGCTACCGCTGCTGCCGCGGCCACTTCTGCCGCGTCCACTGCTACTACCGCCGCCGCCCCCGCTACTGCACCATTCGTGATCCGTCCTCCACTCATGACCCGTCCTGACGCAACCGTAACGCCACCTTCCGACGGGCCACCGGATCCAACTCGTACCTGGGGCGGTGGCATGGCTCGAAAATTGGGACGAACGGGACGCGACGAAGTCGGGATTATTGGAGGCAGGACAGAAGGCGATGGCATCGGTGGTGAGAAAACCGTTGGATTGATTCGAAACCCTGCGAACCAAGTCGGCCGGTGCGTGGGCTACATGCTGGGTGGACCGGAAGACAATGGCATGTGAGTGCTCCTTCATGGGGTCCTTGAGCAAGAGAGAGGAACCACTAAGGAAATGTGTTAAGCTGCTTTTGTGGCGTGAAGACTACCACGGTGGGTTTCGCATGAAATACCTCGCCACAAGGCTTCGAGCCCCTTTCACGACATGACTTTGGAGAATCAATATCTCAAGGTCTTGCTATCCGAAAGGGAGGAACGCCAACGTTTCCACCCGCAATTCGCCACCCTGTTGTGAACGCCTCCCCGTTTTAGTAACCCACCCCCTTTGTCTGCACGTCCCTTGATGCACTTCCCCCTTCACCAACGCCCCCAAGAATGTTCTCGATGCACGACGACGACGAGCGCGACGCGGACAAAGTGAGTGCAACCGTCGTCTTGAGTCTTTAATACATTTCCTTTCTACACCGTTGCGTGGTAGGTGGTTTGGCAGTCCTCGTTTCCGCGTCACTTGCATATGCACAACATTTTGGGGTGTCATGTGGTGGCGAATGAGGTTACGAACGAGACGCCTCCCCCCGCCCCTCGAGGCTGAACATGTCAATCCCCCAATCACCTTCCGCACCCCCCTCCGCGCGCAAAACATCATGTAAGTGCGATAGATTTAGACTCAACTGACCACTTCCTCTCAAGGGTAGTCACCGACCGAACTAGGAAAAAGTATTCCATTGGAGAGTAGAGCGTTTGGAAGGCGAGGGGGCACGTGTTGAATTCAGAAAGGGACTGGCTGGTAGTGCAGCTCAGGAAATTGATGAGCAGCGTTGAAGAATGTATCGACGAATTGGTAGGATTACGAGCTGAAAGAGGAAAGAGTGGAACATGGAGAAGTCTTTAGACAAACTTGAGTGATGAGTCCAACACTGCTTTTTATGAGAGTGCAAAGTTGCGAGAAAAGTTAAAGTTTGCATTTTTTTCTGGCAACTTTTCTCATGGACTCTATTATGGGAACAAAAAGTTGCGCGAAAAGTTTGGAAACGTTTGCTATTGACAGTAATCGCGCGATCTGGAGCAAGATTTTGCAATTGTTTCTCGAGATAAATGTGTCGAACAAAAGTTCCGCGGCGAGACTTCCGCCAATCCACGTCAAGCACCTGCCCCTACCACACACGTAGACCTTCTCCCACCACACACGCGCGCACGATCCACGCGACAGATGAACGACCCAACGAACGACGAGTTGGAATTGTCCGTGATGGCGGCACCTGTGTAGGACACGTAGACTATAGATAGTAGAGTCTAAGGTCTTCCGAGCTTCGATTGGAACGCACAAGCCAGGTTTTATACGACAAACTCGTTTCCCCAGCTTTTGTTGCTCGCTCTGGTCTGTTCGCGGTGTGGTATGAAGGGGTGTGCCTGCTTCTCGCCGTTACTGAACGAACAATAAATGATCACACCTTCGCATTCCACCAGCCCCGTGATGAAAAATTTCTTCGCCCGATAGTGAGCTTGTGACAAAAGTCTTTTCGACTAAAGTTCCCGACCAAAAGTTAACTTTTGCCGCAACTTATGCTCCCATAAAAAACGGCGTAAGGGGGGTTGGAAAAAGTTAGGATCAAGAGAAAACAGACAGGTGAAAAGATTAGCAAGAAGAAGAAATGCATTGGGATGAAACAGTGCAGAAGGCAAGGGAGGCCTGGAGAGAAACTTGAAGCAGATACGGCAAGGGATTTGTGGCATGGTAAGCAGAGTGCGCGAGGCCGTGATACAGCGGTAGCAACAATGCGAGATGTGGACGGTAGACTCGTCAGCAGTGAGAAGGGAAAGAGGGAGGAACTGATAGGACGATATAGGGGACTTGGAGTACCGTCGGAAAATTAAGCGTTTGACCAATTTTTCTAGGGAAAGATGGACACATGGGCCCCGGGAGAAGAAGAGGCATCGAAGGCAGAGGTTGGGCACTTAGACGTAGAGCTAGAGGAGGAATGCACTGAGAACGAGATTGAGAGTTATGTGAACAACCTGCAGTGTCATAAAGCAGCAGGGGCGTATGGGATAGTTGACCGATTTACAAAGCTTGGGTGGAAAGGGGTGGTCCGGATGATGGTGCTGCTGCACAATTGGGTGTGGACAAGGAATACAGCGAGTAGATGGAGGGGAGGGGTGGTTGTGAACTTATTTGAGAACGGAGATAAGACTGACCCTGGAAACTGTAGGGGGATCACACTATTGAACACGATAGAAAGCGTTACGTAAGCTTGGACCAGTAGACACATCTCGGAGTAGAGACCGCGAAAAACTGCACATGGAATGCACGCATGATTAGAGAAGCGGAAAAGGGTAAAGAGCTAGCAGGGAAATTGCACCCACTACTCGCAAACCGGCACCAGGGTAAATACATCAAATTGACAATTTTGAAGAGCGTAATCGTCCCGCCGCTTGAGTACACCGGAGAAGTATGGGGAGGAAACTAGAAAAGAGCTCGAGGTGGCATAGATGAACAGTCAAAACGATCCTAGGATGCTCCAAGCGCACCAGTAATGCAGCAGGTCACGATTATAAAGCAGTAGGGGCAAAAGTGGGATCCAATCCCTACAATATGAAACGGAAGAGACGCAAGGAAGATAGAATGGCAGTGTCGTGTGCACGATATAGGAGATGAAGGGTTGCCGCAAATAGTTTGGGAGGACGAGTGGCAAAACAAGACAAGGGGTAGACAACCCACAGAGTGGGCTGATGATGTGAAGAAAATATGGACGGGGTTCGAAATTGACGAATCTGATACGTAGTTTGAAAACTGAAAGCCTAGAGGGGTTCAGGAGAGACACATCAGTTGCTGTTACCGAGAGAGAAGAATGGAATCTACTGAAAGAAACTATGGAAAAGGGGGGTCTAGAAGTATACGGAATGTTCAAGGAGTACGTACAGTATGGACCAATGGGTGCAAGGAAGAAGCTGGAGGTCAAATTTAGGACTGGAGACATTTACAAGTGGGCTGAAGATGCCGGAAATGATGCCGATAGGATACGTAGGATAGGGAATATGTTTTTAGCCACCTTTTGGCAAAGTAGGAAGGAACGATTGACCATCGATGATCGGTCCTGTGGCAACAATGCTCCGTCTCCTAACCTCTAACAACTGAGGCATTCAAAACATGTGTACGCCCCCCCCCCACCTTTCCCCGCGCGCGAAATACATGTGTTCATCCCTTGCTATTGTCAGCTTCAATTTCTTTTTGACAAAAGTTTGTTGTCGTGCTTGTCTCCGCCCTTGTGTACTAAATGCCACCTTTTCGCTGTTCTTCATGACCTATGCATCATTGATTCTGTTCTTGGGCGTCGGGCGTGGTGGGTGGAGGTGAGGGAGAAGATGGTCCTCGAAACCAAGCAGCCGATACTAGACCAGATGAAGAAAGCTAAGGAGGCGAAACCGCCGACCAGCCCCCTGATCTTACAGCTGCTGATCCCTAAAGGGATGGCACAGGTGAGTCTGACGATAGAGTTGTTTTCTCACGTAGCACTACTTCAATCCTCATTAAACCCAGAGATGCACGGCCCGTTCCGTCGTGACAAAACCCATCTCAGCCTGCTCCGGCCGTGGGGTATGTCCTCAGCCAAGGTAGGTGTGCCGCAGATTACGTCCAAGATTTTTTGCGCGCCTCTGTTCCGTCTTCGGCCATACGTTTGAAATCGCAGAGCACCTTTCAGCTGCCTGTGGTGGACGCTGGAACCCGCGAGTTCTTGCCGCTGGACGAGGAGGTCAACAGACGGCTGTTGAAGCAAATCGACTGGTCGCCGCCCGGCTCTGAGCCTCTAACAAGGTGCGGGTGTTTTTCCGTGCCCTTGTTCGGCTTGACTCGGTGCTCACGAGTTGTGGCGCTCGCAAGAGAGGAACACCGCTTTGTTTTGTCCCAACCGTAGCCCCTCGCTCCGGGCCGACCCACGCGCGTACAGAGGGCTCCGCCCTTTGAAGACAAGGCTGTTCGCGATGAGGGCAAAGGGAGATGGGAACTGTCTGCCTCACGCTGTTTCACTGTCGCTGTGGGGCCATGGAGACAACACGCTGGTGAGCGGTGTGTTCATCGAGATGTGCGGAGAGGGAATGGAGAACTGATCATCCGTTGTTTGTCTCAGTTGGGAGACCGTTTGACTACGCCCACCTACCGAGAGACAACAGGTGTTGGCACCTTTCCCCATTCTACTCTACAAGCCTACTTTCGCTTGTCACGTCACGCCATGGCTTCCTGTGCATGGCTTCCTGTGCCAGGAAGCTTGTTGCGGGCCCGCGTCTGTGTGGCTTTGCGTGCTATGTAGGAGGCCTACACCTCGTCAATCTCTCCTGAATTCCCTCCGTCCGCTGTACCAGGTACTACGGTCGTTGTTGAAGGAAGTCTTCCAGGACAGGCCCAGCGAGGCTATCTTGTTTTCCGTTTGGTGCAAGGAGCAAAAGCGGGTAAACGAGGCGGCCGGAGGAAGCGCCTCCATCAAAATGACAGCCGGCGAGGTCAGCGGTTACATTTTCTGGAGAAATGCCAATCTATCACATTGGGGGGTGTTACCATTGTGAGGGGGTGGCGTGTCAGCCAGTAGACAGAAACCCTCCACATTGAACTTGGTAGTGATACAAACCAAGCTGTCTCCCTTACGCTAACCGGACACGTTACCGCTACCCTTTCCTCGAGCAGTTGCAGGCGGAATGGCGCATGCTCATGGAGGCAGTCAAGACGCCGTCAGCCCACCTCTCCTCTTTCCACGTCTTCGTGTTCGCCCACGTCCTACGACGCCCGATAGTGGTCTACGGGGAAACATATGTTTACGGTGCCAACAACAGCGAGGCGTTTGTTCCGTCTGACATGCCCGGGTAAGTGAGAGATAGTTAACATTCTCGCCATTTGGTTCGAGCAGGGAGGGGGAGGCGAGGGGGGTGAGAGGTGAAAGAAGACGACACCCCTTGCCGCGTGGCCGGGTGGAGGAAATAACAACACCGCGCCTGCCCAGGAGGAGGAACTGCGGACCTCGCGCCTCTTTACAAGAAGTCTCGGCACGACACACTGACGTGCGGTGAGGGTTGCGAGGTTGACATTCAACGAAGAGGCAAAAACGAACAAGACCATAAAAAAGCTCGTTTTTCGTACACCCCCGCGCACGCTCACGCTTGGAGGATACGTGGTCAACGTCTAAATAAGTACACCTCCATGTATCCTCCAAGCGTGAGCGTGCGCGGGGGTGTACGAAAAACGAGCTTTTTTTTGGTCTTGTTCGTTTTTGCCTCTTCGTTGAATGTCAACCTCGCAACCCTCACCGCACGTCAGTGTTCCGTGCCGAGAAACAGGCGCGAGGTCCGCGGTTCCTTGCCGGCACGAAAACCGAAGAAAATTGCAACCGAGACCAAAAGGTGCAGAACCAGGTTGAATGTCATGAACTACCTCTTGAAGGTATCAATAGATGTACATTCGCCCCCCTCCTTCAAACAACGCTTTTGAGCATCAAGTTTCCTGCCCCCGACCCCCACATCAAAACTGGCAGGATCTACCTCCCGACTTTGCAGCACCAAGACAAGTGCTACAAGTCAGCGATTGCGGTGGCTTACACCTGCCCCGTTGTCGGTAGGGCTGGCCACTTTTCTCCTCTCGTCGGGATGTCCAAGCAGCTGAAATATCTTCCCTTGGTAGACGAGCACGGAAAAAACTTGCCCGTTAGGTAAGCATCGTTGGGTTGAAGTGGCCCGGTATCGGTGGCATGCTGGGGGCGGACAGGGGATTAATAACGTGGCACTGCTGTTGCTGTAGCATGTCGACCTTAGCGTATGTAGTTTGGGTATTTGTCGATGTTGCCTGCTAGTCCTCTCTTGACTATGTAGCATGAAGGATAGCTGTGAACGGTGACGCACGTCGACCCCGGGAGTGACTAGAAAGTTTCGCCGGTTTGGATTTTAGACGGGGGAGGGGCGCGCTCTTCGCAGGACGAACTGTGCGTGTGGTATCGTTGCTTCGTTGCCAGTCTGGGAACAGCATTGGGAAGCCGTACCCAGCCCCGCCGCCTGTTACTTCCAAACGAACGCCCTGTTGTCGAAACGCCAACGTTTTAGACAGCAAAGGGAACACGGGTCACTAATTTTCACAGTTGACAATTTTTGAACGAACGAGCACAGGTACGCACTTTGAAGTTGTCTGCCTCGATGGCCACTGACTGATGTCGCGCCACGCAGAGGTGTATTTGTGCACCGAACCTTTTGCTCCTTATTTTTACGATGTACTGATATCTACAGGTATGGCATCCCATCCCCGACCGTGAGAAGCCCCCAACCTGAGAAGTACGCTTTGTGGATGTACATGACGTCATGTGATTATCATCATAGAGACGGTAAGATTGCTTGTGTTGCTTGACTTGAAGTCATTTATACTTGATGACAAGATAAACAAAGTCAAACCTGGAAATTCCGGGTAAAATACACAAAAGTTCGGGTGACTCAACCAAGCTCCAGGTCAGTGGCCAAGGGGAAAACACGACAAAGAAAGTATGGGTGGGACCACAGGCCGGAGGTGGAGGCCTCATCCAAAATTCAATACTTACATTGAATTATCTTAGGCCAAGAGTACAACATTATTCGGCAGTCTCAGCAGCGTGCCCGCCATCGTGTGAATACCGTTCCACCTCGACCAAGACCGGGATACTCGCAGCATGAAGCTACCGATAGAAAGTACCGTGGAGAGTCTGACCCACGTGCGGTGGTAGGCTCGTGATATTTGCTTGATAAGTCGGGCGTCTGAGGGTCGGGGAGGCACTAATGCCCAACGTCACCTTTGTGGATCAAGAAGAAGGTGTTGAGAGATGCTCCCTTTCACCGCCTTGTTTTTGCCTAGCCATATTACTGTTGGGTACCTAAGACTGATCGCGGAAGTAGTGTTTTGCGTATCATCCAGGACGTCCTGTCGTCTTCTGGTAAGATCTCAGGATACGGGGGGGGAAGGAGTCTAAGACGGCATCCCCAATATAAGCGAAAATTAACGACCTCTTGTGAGGGGCAGTTGATGTAAAACTATGACCGTCAGTCGACCGATACACGGATTGCATGTGGACAACCAAAATTGTTGGCGGCGGGTCCCGTAACTACTTTGTCACGTAGATGCGGTCAAGGGGTTGGTGGCACAAACACGATTAATTGCCTCCATGGCGGCCTTACAACCTCTTTTGACGACTGCGATCCTACCTGGTATGCATCCCACGAGTACATGCTGGTCTACCTGCGGACTTCTATCAACCTCACGACCGAGATATGAGCCCATCAGGACGGACCACCAACACCTACTCAACTGACCCATCCAGCCCATCCGGTCCAACCCAGTCGTGAAAGGACCACCTTATGTCAGGTTTTCTGTCAACCCGTCGGAGAGAACTGCTTGAGGCTTTTCCTCGCGTTTACTTGTATTGTATCTTGTCATCGCCAGTTTTCTTTGGGGTTCTGTCGCGTGTACATTGTTACTTCTTTTGTAGCTCGTCATCGTCGGCACCATGGTTCCAAGGTCTTCGTTGTGCACATACATCTTTGTTGGGTCTGGAAGGTTGTGGAGGGCCAACCAAAAAGGGATCCTTGAAAAATAGCACCGTATGAGGTGTCCTGCGTATAAGAAACAAGAAAGCGAGCTTGGAACTAGCAATGCCGATATTATTGGCTTGCTAGAACAATTTTCTTCCTTCGTTCTTTCTGTGTCCCATGCTCGAGAGTGTTACTCTCTAAGCTGTTGCGGCTTCCCGTGAAAAAAAAAGGAAAAATTTAGACAGGCAACGCCGACGACAGCTGTCGAGTTGCTATATCATGACAAGATAACCAAAGTCAAACCTGGAAATTCCGGGCAAACTTGGCTCTGGAATCGGACAATGGCCTGACTTGACTAACGGTTTGACAATACATAGAATTTCGACGTTTCTTTTGGTGAGACCGCTTCGCTTTTACGTGCGGCTATTCTTGGTTTTGCATACTTTCTCACGAGGTTTTTAGTTGTCACGATCGTTTGAATGATTGTGTAATACAAGAGGGAATCGTGCTCGGCAGACGTTGGGAGATCTCCACAATTTCCTCGTTGCCGGCACACAGCTCTTCACCAGGAGTTCGGATGGACGAATTTCCGTTACTTAGTCTAAAAATGATTGAGAGAACAATATCGTGTTCGGAGGGAACCTGTCCTCCCCTTTAGGCCTGTTGGTCGGTAAGGTGTGTTCCCATGGCTAGATAGTATTACCTTATGCACCTCGTGCGTTGTACTATAAGCTTCCCGCACTTTCACCGTCTGTGCGTATGCGGGCACGCAAGCATCGACGCGCCCCTACATGCACTACTATATGACGGTCTGGCCTATACAATTCTTGATGCGGAATCAGACACCGCTCGCTTGACACCGTTGTCGCTGGGTAAGAAAGCACCGTCGTCTCGAAGGGGTTGGGTCTGACCTACTTTCATTTCCGGCTACGTTTCTTTCGCGGAACTGTTGTCTTCCTCTCTTTATTGTTGCTCGTCGGTGTCGTCGTTGTTGTTGGGCAGGAAACAGGTACCGCGTGGCGGCCATGCGATCGCTCAGCATGACCACGGGGGCGCTGGCTCGTCAGCTGAAAACAGCGAATGCCGCGACGGCTACGTCCAAACGTTTGGCACAGGCGCAGGTGAAGACAAGGCAGAGAAGCAGCGGTAGTAGCAGCTGTGAAAAGAGGCCGATGTTTTCGAGGATTATAACCTTGATGGATGGCTACCAGCAAATAAGCTATCTGTATGTTGTGGTAATCATCGCTGTCTTCGTCTCGAAACTACCGCCTGTACTGCTACTGTACTCTTGGGGTTTTCAAGGCGAAAGCTTTAGATCTGGGATACACGTCGTCGTCAACGGAGGAGGAGAGCGACTCTGCTATGTCACCGCTACCGCCGTCACCATTGAGCGAGCCCCGCGCCAGCGCAGTGCACGATCCAATCGCCGGCAGCACCGATGGCGCCGAAGTTAAATCGGCCCCACCGCCTCCGCCTACAATACCCCCATCACCTGCGAGCGCGCACAATGGTGTTGCCGCCGCTGCCACCGCTGCCGGTACGGGAGGAGAGAACACGGTGTCGGCTGAATATGCCAGGGGGGGACGAGTTGAAAAACCGACCCCTGGATTGGTGGTGTGGGCTAAACGTGGCGCCGGTGAGTGTAGTCAGGGTACCTCTTGATTGGCTCTTCTTCGTTACGACCCACCAAGTATATCCTTTTTTTTCTTGTGCTTGGGTCTCTTGTTGGCCCACACCTGAGGGTAGGATGTGCAGATGCTCATGCTCCTGCTTGCTTTATGGTTTGGCACGATAGATTCTGCTTCTTTGGTGTTGCCGCTACTTTCCCATACGGATGTCTTGGCGCCTACGTTCCCGCCAGAACAACACCGCCCTCGCCCCCCCCACATCTTTTCGCAGAGCTGTGGCCTTCGTTAATCCGGCAAAAGGTTGGGTACGACAAGTGGACCGTCGTACACCTTGGTCCAGTGGTCAGGCAGACTAGGGGTTCCTCTTCTCCCACCGAACCTGCATTTTCTGTAAAAGAAGTGATGTCATCTTCACTTCTTCAGTTTCCGGGGGGGGTCCCACTAATGGCGCTGAAGGAGAAGCTGAAACGACCGCCCGAGAGCACAGAGAAGAAGGCTAAGCGAGCTCATGTCCGTGACGAGTTTTCGCTCCTCGCCAACAAAGAACGCCAGGTACAACAACGTATCACGATGACCGACGTGTTTGTGATCCCTTGATGGGGTCAGGCTGTGGTTGTTGCGTTCTCGTCGCTGACATTGATTTTCTGTTGAGCATTGTGAAAACAGTTGATGCTGTGAAGGAGTTTGCTCCTCTACAATGTTCTTGAGTCTTGTGCCAGCGGCAGCAGCACCGGGTCATTTTGGATGTTTTGGTTCGTTCAATGTTCACTGCCGTACACGGGGACATTCTATGTGGCAGAAACCACGGTGAACATTTGTGTGAAAGCCTGTTCGTGGACCTGTGTGAGAAAAGAATGGAGAGGAGGAGGGGGTTGTGCGCTCGTCAGGCAGACGACGGCCGCAGGGCGCGGGACGTGCTTCAGGGTAGTCGCCGCACTTCTCCTGCGAAAGAAAAGGCCTACCGCCTGGCCTTCACGACCTACTTAAGAGCAGCATGGCAGAAGGCATGGCAATCCTGCCATCTCCGGATTTTTTTCCCGCCCCCTCCGCTTTGATGATCGATCCTGTGGGAACAATGCTCCGTCCTCTCGAGGACGCGTGGTCAATCGTCTAACCGCTAAGGCGTGAAAAAACATTAGGGTACGCCCCCCCCCCCCCCCCTCCGCTTTGTTTCCGTCCCCGCTCTATCCCTAGCACATATCCATGCCAGGGCTAAGGCCTAGTTCCAGGAATGCATACATTGCGCGCCGCCCTGGAGCGAATTCGACCAAGTACACCTTGCTAGGTTCACTTGGACAAATAGGAAGGCGCCTGAAGGCGGCTCCAATCACACAATTCCTCGAGAAAAAAACATGCCACGTTGTCAAGTAAACAATCGAAAATTTCCAAAGTTCAGCTCAATGTATCAACGCGAGCTCCCCTTGTGTTTGTCTAGGCCACATTTTGTGATCCTCGCATAACCTGCAGCTCAGTATCCAGCCATGAGTCACATGAAAATTAGATAGGATTGACCCTACTTAGTTGGGCAAGCGCGGGGAGACAGTGCTAGGGTTTCGGCGACGGGCATGATCCCATTTGAAAATGTCCGGGTGGGTGCAAACCGCAACATATAATAGTTCTACACGGCGTGTGCCATGGTCTATCTATTTACCGTTGTTTTGTTAACCTGACCTCGACCCCTCTGGTAATAGCCTGTGTCGCTTCTTGTTTATCAACAGGTACTTCAGCTTGCTATCGACCACGCGGTGCACCTTTGCGTGGTTTACGCCTGGGGCAACGACGCCAACATGGTAAACGTGCTCGATGGTGTTCCTCTCGACGATTTAGGGCTTACGGCGGAGGGTGCCCAAAACGGAAGGGTGAGGAAGTGGGAACACATACTTGTGGAGGGTTGGTTGGTGTGTTGTTCAGAGGTTGTCGTTATTGTTTTGACGTTTTGTCGTTCCCGGTAGCAGCAGCATGTCGTTGATATGATTGTAGGTGTTGGTGGTGTCGTGGCGGTCGTCGTAATGCTCGTGTCTTTTGGGTCCACATCTGGTGCTTTGCCTGAAGCTACCGCTATTGTCAACTAGAAGTAGATCTTCGATGCGATGTCCAACAGATTGCACGACCTTCCTCGCGCCTTCTCCCTCTTCCTGTTTACCCCTCTTCCCGAAGAAACGCTTGCGGAAGTTGATGGCACGTCAAGACCGGTGGGCCATGACCCCTGACACGTGGAGATCGTGGGAGAGGCTCCGGCTGATCGTGAATCTGGGGGACACAAGTGTGGGCTCGCTTTGCCAGAACCTACGCTACGTCTACCAGGAGGTTGAGAACTGGATCAACGGTTCTCCGAAAAGGTAATGCACCCTCTTTTCTCTCTTATGCGTTCTGGCCCGTTGGCTTCTGTGTTCACGAAGGGGTCGATTAAATAGTGCCGTTGACTCATGAAAATTATGCTTTGGTGGTGGCAAAGACATTGGCATGGTGGCAACGGCTTCGGACGAGTGCTGGTTCACGCGCTGTCTGATGGGTAACATCGACACTCGTGAGCACACCTCCTTGGTTGATGGAATATATTATTAGGTGTTCCCAAACTACGCGAATCAGACCAGAAGTGCATCCTTTCTCAGCCAACTCTGGCGATCTCGAACGCACTTTCTCGTAGATCCACAACAACATTCCGCCGCCCCCTGCCCCCATCTCGTTTTGAAAGAAGCGAACGGTCTTTATCCTCGACTCCCTCATCGCCCTCCTCCGCTAGATCAACACAACCCACCAAGACTCTGACATGGCGATCACAGCAGCATAGAAAAGGGTTGACGAGCGGTGGCGGCGGTGCCACAGAGGGCGCTGCTGTAGTCTGCGCTACACGTCCCGCCGCCGCCACTCCGCTTACGGACGGCACGGGGCATGTAAGCACCAATATGCTGCTGCCGAGATCCCTACCTTGTGCGCGGTCAAACTCCACGAAAAAAGATGGTGGCAGAGCAAGGAAAAGTAACGGCGCCAACGCCAACGCCCGCAGCAACCGCGACGGACCTCGGGATGGTTCCGGGGCCACAGTTGTGAAGCCGACCGGGTGCGCCAAGTTCAACAAGCGTAACGGAGAAGCGAAGCGAGGTAGGAATGTGGCGGCACCACAACAAGGGGACGGTGGCGGAAGACGTGCCTGTGCTTCGACGAAAGTACGGCGGAAGATTCAAGGGTGGGGCCACGCGGACGCTTCTGCCGGCGCCGGAAAGAAGAAAAACATGGGACCGGCCACCGAGAGACCTACAACTACCCCAGCGACGACGAAGGTGACCCTCACAGATCGTGAGCGACGGGTACGATCGGAGTCTGAAGACCGGGAGGCCAAGAAACACGCCAACTCGGCGAAACCGAAGATGACGATGAAGATAGCGACCTCGTGTTGGAAGCGACGGCAAATTGAATATGAACGGGACGAAGAGAATGGCCGTCAACCGCGGGTTGCAAGCTCAACGCTGAAGGCGACAACCTTAGGTCGGAAAAGACGAATATTTGAATCTGACGATGAAGAAGAGCACGCTGTGCATGCGACAACGGTGAACAAGGTTGTGCGCAAGGGTAGTGACAAGAGTGTGTGCGACCGCTGGAACGTCCAAGGTTGGCAATGGCGGGATGGGACGCCGACCATTCCAATAGGGAGTTAACGAGAAGTCACCGTGAGTATCCCCCTACCCCACCCTCCCTACGAAAAACCACTGCGTCGCGAGGCCGTAGTGCATATGTAGAAATCAGTGCCACGATGTTTGGTGCACCTTATAGTGAGTACCGAGGTGCTGCTTCCCTGGACACTTGGGACTGAATCATGCATCGCCGATATGATCGATTGACAATCAATTGCATGCAGAGCATCCGGGAAGGTTCGAGTTAATTCGAGCGGATAGAGTGCTCCGTTTTCGGTCTCCATGTAGCACCACTGGGGTGAAATGCCCCTATTATAAAGTGTCGTTTTCGTGTAGGTTCTTAACGATGTGTGTTCGAAATAGTACGTTGTAAGTCATCGAAGTCGATACGTTTAATCAGCCGGCCCATGCCTGCGTATTGAAGTATGGAACCCCCGCTTGCCCCTCCTTCAATATGCACCCATCAACATACCCTTTGTCAGCTCTACAGTAGTACACCGAAGGACAAAAGTTCCCGTCCATCTGAATAGCAACCACCACCCAAAGGGATGGTCGCAATGATCCCGCCAGCAGCAAGGGAGGTGGTCCCTTCAGATTCACAGGTCCGCCGCGATAACCCAGCCGATCTTATGGCGAGACGCCGTCCGGAGTGGCAGGAATCGGGAAATCAAGGACAGACAATGACATGGCATTGACCACGCCGGATTGGCCTCCGCCGCACGTCTTCGGGCTAGCTTCAACTAAGACGGATGGGAAAAATGTCTACCTGGGAGGAGATTCAAACCATTTTCAAACTGTGGTACTTGCGTGTGTGGCAGTGACAGATTCTAGGGAAAACGTTGGAGTGGGGCTTAGCTTTGGAGACATGCGGCCTTTATGTCTTTAGGGGCTCCTTGGCCTGTGGTCAGCCTTCATTCTGCACCTGATTGTGTTTCCAAAGTTTCCTGTAAAGTTCAACAAAGTAACAAAACCGCTGAAGGGGAGCCAGCGCCAGGGAGTTAGAGGCGTTGGAGTCTGCCGCTTTCGTTTGTGTAGCCGTTCTCGATGCATCAAGAGAACCCGCTGCCTTCTCCTCGGCAAACATGTTTTGTTATTGTTGATTTGTTGAAAAATTGAACGTCATTCCAGCATATGCTAAAAGTGTACGTTCGTGATTGTTTGTGGTATAGGAAGAAGAGACTGCCCCCCGCGAGGTATTTGCACCCCGAATGCGCGATCTTGCGAAATTACTGTCGTATCTCGCCTGGAATGTTCAAACGCCCTCTGGGCTAAACTCAAAGGATACGACACCCTCCACACGAGGCGACTCTATTTGGGGCGGTACTTCGATGGGGTTTGGGTATTTTTTCGCGTTGTTGCAGCAACTTTGCACACGTTATCCACAGCAGCAGTGCGTGATATTTCTGTATTGACGTGTGTCCCTCGGGTCTGGTGGGTAGTTTTGTAAGAATGGCAGTCTGCATGTGGTGTGTGAAGTCCCAAAAGATCGCGCGGCTGCGAGGAAACCGGCACTCCTGTTGTGCCACGATGCAACCGCGTACAACGTGATGAGTATCTGGGATTTCATCGGGTTCATCTGGAACTGCAATAGTTTGTGCTGTCGGCAAGACACACCAGACAGGGAGAGAGAGAGAGAGAGAGCACAAACTTCTCCCGAGCCACGAGGTGAGTGCCAAGCACCGCGCATAACGTGAGCTCGAACACCGTCCGTCTCCCGGTCTCCAATACATGTACACTGGAGCTGTTGTGGGGTATCCACCACACGACGTAAGCGAACCGCTTCTGCCCTGGCGTCTCCGCGCGTACTCTGTAGCCCTCCCTCGCACTTGTACGCGACTTTCTAGAGCTTGCGAGTGCTCTTCTCTATGGGAAGACCGGGACTGCATGGCACGACGCGCAACTCCACCGAAGCTCTGAGGGAGGGGTTTACTCGGTTGACACTCCTTTCGCCGGATGCTAACCCCGCGAAGGAAACAAACGGTAAGGAGCAGCGGGAACGAGCCCTGGAAAGAGTGCACAGCTGGTCCGGTTCGCCGTTCCAATGAGACACCGCTCAATAAACAAAACTCATGTGATATTACTGCCATGACAAACAACACACAACCGTACAACTACAACTTGTCTGCTCGAGCCTGCACGAACATGACAGTTTGTGCATGTCACAAGAAAAGGACGGGGTGAGTATCCCATCCATCAGGTGCACCCGAGAAGCTCGTACTACATACATAAAGCTCTTTTGTTTCGCTGCTCGAATTCTCGACAGAAGATTGGACACAACGTCCATGTGATACAGTTGGGCCGCCCGGAAAACTACACGGACACCGCAACTGGTTTATCTGCGCTGACCCGGTGCCCGGTCTCCACGCCCTCCCCACTTCCTCTTGTTCCCTCCACCCCGCTCTTCACCACCACCTCTCCCTCCCCCTCCCCCTCCCCCTCCCCCACCCCCACCCCCACCCCCCCCGCCGCCACCACCACCGCCACCGCCACGACGGTTACCACGCTCCTTTTTCCCTTGCTCCTCGCCCGCACCTCTTCCACCGCCGCCGCCTCCTTTTTTCTCGCCTCGCTTGCCACCGCTGCCGCGCCCGCCGCCACGACCGCCACCCCTTTTCCCTGAGAAAGCAGCAGCAGCGGCAGCTTTGTCGAATTCCTTACGGGTCTTCCAGACCGGCCCGCCGCGGGCATCGCTCACGCGCCCGCCACGATCAGAAACCTCGGCGATGTCGGCGGTTGGTAAGACAGCCTTCTTTGTCTTCGTGGAATGCTCGCCGTGGCCGCCACCGTCGCCGTCGTATTCCTTTTGGGTTAAAATACAAAAACCGGAAACAAGTGTCAGGTGGGGGGGCATGGAGAGAGGGGGAAAACAAAGCGGGGGGCAGATGTATGACAGAGAAGGGATATCCTTGTCGCCCTTATGGGACTAGAGCGCTGATTGAATGAGCGAAATCAGATCAAAATAGTGGATGGTAGCACATAGAAAAATATAGCGTACTCACTTCTGCTGTCTTGTGGGTATGCTGCCGAGCCACCGAAGTCGGAGCGATCAGCGCGTCATCTACCGTGATTTCCCGAGGCTTGTCCAAGAGCGCCTGTCGCTTTGTCTGCAAAGGATTGCGAAGCGTCACCAGTGGGGGGGCAACCATCACGATCACATACATGTATCGTCTTCTTGCAACGTCAACTTGAACAATCGTTAGACAGGGGGTGCTACTGTTAATCGATCGCACACAACCATTGTACCAAACACTTGAGAGAATATTATTGTACATGAAACAATTACCACTACTGTTGAGTGTACGTGCGTCTGTGCTTCCTGAATCTCCATATCCTGACCTCCACACTGCTCTGCGAATACAATGATCCTTCCCATCTCAACATACAGGGGTCGTCTCTCACTCTCAAGGCGGGCGGAAGGTCGGCAAACTTCTCTTCGTCGCCACCACCACCACTATCCGCAGCTCCTCCTGCCTCTCCTTGTCCCCCCTTCCCCCCTGCGCTCTCTCCACCGTGCTTTCTTTCTCCGACACCGCTGCCGCCGCTGATGCTGTCACGCAGGAAGGACCGCACGGTCACGTCACAGCGCCTTAGCAGCATGAGCCGTCGGAGGGCGAAGTCCGCGGCGATGGCCGCGTGAACTCTGTCCACCGTCTGCTTCTGTGCGGCCGTCAGTTCCAGTCCGTCGAGCAGGGGCTTGCTCTTTCGAGGTCGGGTGGATGTGTGGGTATGGGGGCGGATCAGGGGGGGGCGAGCGTGCGGGCGTTGTGACGCGCATGCTGTTGCTGTCGAATATCAGTATTCCTTTTGCCACGAGGAAACGGAACGCCGTGGGGAGTTTCACCTCGTGAGAGCCAGGTTTACGTTGGCGGTGCTCTACTAGTCTACTGCAGAAAACCTTGCATACATGTACGCAGTGTATCACACCGCGTGCCGTTTCTGCACGTTTTTCAGCGCACCACGAAACACTGGTTCCTGATCAACTTTCCCTTGCACCGCACAGAAGGAGGAGGCTTGCGTGGGTGTTTCGCGTTTCTCACCTCTTTACGTCTCCGATGCGCTTCTATGCACAGGAGCTGAAGTTCGGAGCGCATGAAGTTCAGTGCCTCAGCCCTAGAAGAACGGGTACAATAGGAAAACGAATCGCACAGCGAGCGAGCGAGTTTAGGGACGAAAGGGGCAAAACAGCAATGAAAGGGAAGACACGCAGACACAGAGCACACAAGGGAACTTTGATGCTCTTGGTGAGCCTCTTCAAAATCAACCTCTGCGGTGAACGGTGTATCCATGTGTGGTAAATAGGATGTCCTCTTGCGGACCTCACACCTAATACTGTCCATGTGTACAGTAAACCTAACCCTCAATTACACGGCAAGGTTCCCAACCTAGAGGCAGGCGCATCATTGCCGTGCACACATCAAAAGACACACACTCTTTGTGTAGGAACCACTGCTCTAGGGCACTCCGCAGGGCGCTCCAGGTACAGATACCCAAATCCTTCCCTTTTGCGCTGTTGGTATCCTCGCACAACCTCATCTTTTCGGGAAAGGTAAATCTCTCCTATGCTCTGCGCCTATCTACGTGTGCACGATATGCAGTGGGGACGTAATAAATAGCGCGGTGCAGGTCTGGTGTCGTGTGCCGCAGTAGATTGGCAACATGAAGCTTGCAGTGTTTGCGCTACTGCTGTGCATACCAGCAGCAGCTCAACACCGATTGACAGACGAAATGGATATACGATGATATATTCAGTACCTTGACGTTGAATCATCGGTGTTTCCGTCTGGTCTCGGCATACCGCGTGCTATCGCAACATTCACGATCCCCGCTCCGCCCCCAGTATCATCCGCCTCTTCCGGCCGGCCATCCTGCTGCCGAGCTAAAGCTGCCTCGAGAGCCCGTACTTGCTCTGTTACCACGACGGAGGATTTTTTTAAGTTGTCCTCGCCATCCTGATGCCCGACCACGCCAAGATCAAGGTCGGACAGGAGAAAATTAACATCTTCCAGAGCGACGTCCATTGCACGCGAGAGACGCGGGGGTGGACGACCTGCCTGCTGTGTGTTCGAGGAGACCAAGCAAAATGAAGGCGGAGTGAAGACGCCGGTTGGATGGTGTGCATGTCCCCTTCGCGTCCCCCCGTTGAAACTGACAGTCCCGTGGCAAGTCACGTCTATCGCGTTGCTTCCAGAGCAGCTTGGTCTCTCTCTCCTTTCCACCAAACATGCGTCGGTGTAGACCTTGCGCCCTTGCAGCAGCGGCAACGACATGCTGCTGCTTGAGGTTCAGCCAAGGGTGGAACCCCGTTGCCACTCTGAACCCCGGTTTGACCTCTGCGGCAGCGAGAGCTACACCATGGTCTCGTGCGGCTCGGGTGGCTTCAGCTCGGCCATCCCAACATACCCGAGCGAGAGCAGCAATAGCAGCAGCGGTAGCGCCACGTGATCCCTGGGAAGCAGCTGGCCAGGAAGCGAAGGAGGGCGACGAGAAAGGGAAAAAGAAGGCTATGCCACGGTGAGTGTGAGGGTTCGTGTACATCGTTGAACTTGGTGCGTATTCTGGTTGGCTCCGGCAGCAACTTCCTAACCGCCTCAACAAGGGCCCACAGCTCGATATCACCGTTGCGAAGGCGCTGCCGCTCGCCACTGCAATACTGGTACAATGATAGTAAGAAGTACGAGGCAAGCGTGGTGAAACCAGGGCGGTGTTGGTCCAGAATGCTGCGTCGCGCTCGCTGTTGGCTTCACTGGATGTGATTGCTGTAAGGTGTTCGTGGCTGCTGACCTGACCGCATCCTTGCGCCGTCCAAGCCGTATGCCACTGCTGCGAACGCGTCGCACCAGGCGCGTCCAATGTTGACATGAATGGATTGCAGGACCCCACATGCAATAACCTACCTGATATTGTCAGAAAGAATGGAACCTTCTACATGTTCGTATGTTTACGGTGTAAAGTCCTCAACTTGTTTGACGGAATTCAGTCACGCTGTCTCGCTCTGTTGACGTCGTTTCGCGTTGTCGTCATACAGGGGGCCAGCGCCTCCGCAGCTGGTCTCATAGAACAACCCCCCCGTGTTCCACACCGTGCCATCACCCCCTCCTCACACAACAAAACAAATGTGAAACCAGCTTGAAGATGGACGACTCTCCCATCCCGGAATACCTGATCGACATGCTCAAAGAGTCGGGAGACGTCGACGAAGACGGCAAACCCGTGAACGATTTCTTCGATCCGGATGAGGACGACACGTTCGGCACTCAGAGAGAACGGGATCGCCTCAAGGAAGAGGTAAATGGTACTTGAGTATCACATTTTGTTTGTGAATGAAGCGCTTCGAAATTTGAGGGCGTGCCGAGCGGGCTATGTTGTTACTGCTGTTTTTGGAGGTTTTTGTCCTTAGTTGGTATTAGTAGGGCGCGATGTAGCTGACAGCTTCGCATTAACCCCGACGCACGAAACGAGGAATTCCTGACGATGGGCTCGACGGCGTGATAGTGAAACTGCTGCACACTTTGAGAGGGTGACTGGGAGAGCATCAACGGGGTGTTCCGTCCCACATTCCGATGTACGTGGCATGCTTCCCAATTTCGTGGATTCTGCTCCGTTCGGCCTTTCCAACAATAAACAATGCCCACCGCACGCGGATGGCAGGAACTCTACTACAACGACGTGCCGTTTGGGGACATGCTCTTCGAGGGCAAGGCTGGCGGCGAGAATGCGCAGGACACGGGCAGTCTCATGGATACCTCCATCAACAACGCGGTCTTCGAATATGGTTTTCCGGTGGAATTCTTCCTCGACATGCTCTGCAGGTATATACGATGCCACAAAGAGCCCGTTCTCCTCTCAAGAGGTGCTGCGAATGGCAAAGGACGTCATCGTTACTGAGACCCTTTGCTGTGGCTGAGAAAAATCGGGCGCGGAAACACAACCACAATGCAGCTGTAACTCAGCTTGGCGAGGCGATTGTTTGGCCCCATAGACACCAAACACTATGGGGTCATTTAAGCCACGTGGACGGTTTCGCACCCCCCCCTTTTCCATATTGCTGTTGTATTTCTGCTGTGTTTGCCGAAGGTGGGGAGTTACCCTGCCGATCAATCAAGACCGTCGGCTGGGGGATATGATCGACGCGGAGCAGGCGGCGGCACTTTGCGAAGCTCTCACGGGCTTGGATGCTGCGGATGTAAGCCTAAAGTAGTGGCGGCAAGAGGCAATCGAGAGAGGAACAGATAGACAGAGATGCGAGGGACGGGGAGTACCGAGAGAGGGAGACAAGAGACAAGGGCGCATGAGACAAGCGTTAGAGAGTTTAGTGGGAGCAGGCAAACAGAGAGAATACGACAGTTTATACATATTGTCGAGGGAGCCTAATAATACGGGTGAGTCACAACAGCTACCACAATACCCATTTTTTGTACTTCTTTACTTGGAGATTTCAGTGAGGTACACGCGAGATCATTTCGTTGTCTTCCTTGCGCTCGCCTTTTCTTGCTCTTCGCTCTTGGGTCCGTTGACTGGCATCGTCTCCAAACAAGGTTCGAGATAATTACCTCGACGACTCCCTGGAAGACCTGTCGTTCGACCTGGACATCCCTCTGCCGGATCTTTTCCAGGCTTGCGCCGCACAAAAGTGAGCGTCACTGACGGCTTGCTTGCTTTGTCGGCCTGGTTGGTGAACGGCCATGTATCGGTGGGATGCCACTCCCAGAACCACGATCTGGAGCGGCTCGCGTACATTGCTCGATCACGCGGTAATGCTCAAGTGCCACGTGTCACTTGCTGGTAGGCCTGGCTCGCACGAAAGGATTGTGTCCATGCGTGTTTGCATGGAAAAGATCGTAGTTCGAGGCCGAAATATTCACGTTGAACCTGGGCACAGGTTTTGCCCGAATCCTGTACCGCGTCCTCACGCGTATTCACAACTTTGTCGTCGTCTTCCAAGATTCTGGTTGACACGTGTTGTCAACCACCCCAACCCAACCCATTTCAAAACGCTGGATCCCAACGTACCAATCCACCTTCCGGACTCATCAACCCTAAGTTTCACCGCTGCTCTCCACACAAATAGCACCCCCTTATGATTATGTGTTTCAAGTGACTCTTTCCAGGACAAGAGCTGGCCCATGATCCGCTCCTTAACACTAGGTTTGATGTTCGGACCTACACCCCCGCTCACCCCGCTCTGCCTCGAGCAGAATCAACCTCCCGAAGGGCGGGGACACGCACATCACGATCGACGAGTACAAGCTTCTCCTCGATACCGTGGTCGATGGCGGGGAGACGAGCCGCGCCCGCAAGCTCTTCGACGAGAGCCGCGTGACCAACCGCTGGACCGGGCAGAAGGAGGCCAACAGCAGGGAGCTCAACCAGGAGGACATCGCGAGGGAGATACAGAAGAACAACGCCGGGTTCGGCTGGAGAGAAGGTCCCCCCATCCTGGGAGATGGGGAGGGAGAGCTCCCCCTCGAGCAGGCCCACATCGGGGGCAGGATTTTCGGGGAAGAGATCTTCGCGTCGGGGTACGCAGATTCGCAGCACCCCGGGGGGTGGGAGGAAGGGGAGGATGAGGATGGAGACGACGGTTTTTTTTTTGACGACTTCGGTGCATAGAGTCAGATGGAGAGGTGCATGCAGCTACAACGGAGTTCCTCGTTTCGGATACAAGTACACATGCAGGGGCAAGTGGCCTTGGGACGGGAGCTTTTTGATTTGAGGTTCCCGATTTTACGCGGGCGACCTTGTGTTTGATGGAGGCCCGGATGACTGGATGCACGACGCTACCCTTGGCGTGCGTTATCAAATTGGTTGTCTCCATGGGCTTTGCGGCAGAACAAGCAGTGTCCGGATTCTATGTAGTGTCGGGATTCTAGTATATACTTTCATAGACTTAGTTGTGAGTTTGGTGTATCATTATTAGATAGCACGTGGTGTTTTCTTTCTCTTGCGTTCACGAGGCTTGTTCAGCCAACAACGTCAGTACTGACCCAGCGGGCATCGTAGTGCAAGCACTTCTGACGTTCTGCCTCGCATCACCTCTCCGAAACGTAGGATCCCCCCAGCGGGGGTGTGCCCCAGTCTCCCCGCGGACGCGAGTCGTCTTTTCAACGTATCTCCATTGCCCACGTCCGCCAGCGCCCGCATTCGCCGTAGTCATCCGTCGCCGCCCGCCCAGCAACCGAGCCGGCTGCTGTTCATGGGACGCATGGCTTCTCCAGCAGCCTCCGCCTCCTCGCCTGCGGCCAGGGCCGTCGGGGACTAATTGGGAAAAATGTCTTGGTCGCACAGCAGTAAGGCAACAGACTCTGACCTTGTCCAAAATATGGTCGAGAAACGCAGAAACCACCTTACAGGGACACAACAAACAAACTACTGTACACCCAAGACACCCGCCCGTGAAACATCAGCGCCAACAGCATGTCATTTGCGCGGTGTATGTTCTTCAACCTTATAGAAGTACAGATGTTGATTTCGCGATGAACGAGGCGGTCCACGTTGTTCAAAACCTGAGGAGGAGCCCAAACCGTATCGTGAAGAATGTGATCGTGGGCGTGCGTAGTGTAGTGCAGGTGTCCGGAGAGTCCTCTCGCTCCGGGTTGAACACAGGTTCTGCTGGCTTCCAGTCACAGCTGCTCTCTTCGATCCTGATCCTGAAGAAAATGATCGTCAGGACGTTCTCAACGAAGAGAAACCACGGGGCCGCTCTTCCTCGGCCCGGCACCAAGGTCGCCATAACTCCGATCGAAGTGACCGTGGCCTTGATGCCGGGCCAAGGAAGAGCAGCCCTTGACCACCATGTTCTTCAGGATCAGCTGTGATTCCGCGCGGCCTTGACGCTGGGTTGTCCCACGAGCGGAACCTGTGAAACCCAGAGCGAGAGGAGTCCCGGGACCCGTTAGCAGGGGAGTCAGACAAAGACGTGGCACGACGCAGGGAGGCCTCCAGCTGCACGGCACTCTGCTTCTGGAAGGTCTGCAATGTGGCAGTGTAACGACGGTCCACCAGTTGGGCGACTGCGTTTTCTGGAGTGGCTTGAGCTTGAAGTCCTCGAGGCCAGTGTGTCTACAGGCAGCCAGGCTACACGGCCGACGGCGTCGTCATCGGGATGGAACTTGATGGAGTCGGCGGGCGATCCAACGCTGCGGTGCAAAAGGAAAGTCTCCAGAGCGTATCACGTACTACAGCGACGGGCCGGATTGGTCTGTGACGCGGCGGGTTCAGCATCATCAGTGTACATACTGCCATGTTGTAGTTTGGACCCAGATGTGCGGGCTTTTCGGACCGCGCACCTACAACCTTCGAAAACGCGGCCCCAGCACCAAATCTTCGTGCCAACGCCCATACCACTCCTCCATGACGTTTTCCACGCTGGAACTGGTGTTCAAGTCGGGACTCCGAAAGCCGGATCGTTGTTCATTTGCATTTCTATGCATGCATATCTTGGATTGAGACAGATGACAAGATCACAAGCCAAGTTCATAGTATTCACACTTTTGGAGAGGATCGACCCAGACCAAACATCCCTGATATTTATCCATGTTCACCCAGGCCTCTTGTGTGCAGTATGCAACCGCGTTCGCGGAGAATCTACGGTGGCGCCATCATTAAGGAACAATAAAAACACACACAGAAAGACTACCCATTCGAGATATACCCACAGTCGAACGGGATGTGGTGGAGTCTTTTCAGTGAGTGGAGGGAAACCGGCTGGGTACTGGACTTATTTCGAGTCTTTTAAAATCATGTATCAGCATGTCAGCTGTCATGCATGATGGATCTTGACATGTTCCCCTGCCCCCCCCACCCACCAACGGAACAATGGTTCTTCCCTATCTGCGGATCCCCTGGGCCGACTCCCTTGTCCCAAGGCGCGTGTCTGTCTGCCTGTCTCTCTGTCTGTCTCTGTCTGTCTCTCTCCTGCCTTCACTTCTGGAGAAACTATGAGGCGATCTGTTTCGTCCATGCTTCAGAACAGGTCTTCCTTCGCTCGAATAGACATACGGCGAGGATCAAAGACAACCACCACATCACAACGTCAAGTTGATGTCGGTCAAGTGATGTGGTCTCCCTCTCAACAGCGGATCAGGGACAGCCGCATGGATGCGTTCGCTAGGCTGGCGGGCGAGCGGAGCGGACGAGACCTTAGAAGGTCGGGTGAAGACGGGGACGACGGGGTAAATAAGATATAGTCTAGTCCAGTAATTGGGTCGCAGGATATAATCAGCATACTTTGGTTGTGCGGCAAGCCATGCCACAACAGGAAGACAGACAGCCCTCCTTGAACTTGCCCGTCCCCAGCTGGTAGCAGTCAATCTTTTTTTCTCCATTTCGTTAGACGCCAACCTACGGATGGTACTTGCCGCAGTACTTATGGATATCAACCGCCAGGGCGCGTTTAATCTCATCTTGTTGACATGTTGTACCCTGCGCCAGGATATAGATATCTTTCTCGTGCATCTGAACCGGTACGTGCACCAAATCATATTATTGGATCTGCTATGATAGAAGAAGGGTTCCGAGCTCCGGGTAAGGTGCGTAGCTTGTAGCCGGCTACGGAGGGCGGGCAAGTTTTCTCCGTTGATCTTTTCGCGCAGAGAGAGGGCCCAGAAAGAGAGTGAGCATGGGGGGTGCCACACGTGGTCCGTCCGCCCGCTCACGCCAGCAAGGGACATATATTCAAGTAGAATATCTGTGTTTTCTCGGAACGCTTCTAAGGATCGGTTCTTCCAACACTTTGAACGAGTCCGTCCGCGTGGGTCCTGCGTCTTTGCATCTTACTCTGAAGAACATCGTTACCTGCCACGATAGCACAAGTGCCATCGTCAAAATGCTCCAGCATCCTGTGCATCGTTGAACCCTCAGCCAGTTCCGATAAAAGCCAGTAGAAAAATTGATGGGCATCGGCGTTGTTCTGCCCTGCTCCTCCCCGTTCGACCGGTTATTGCCACCACCAGAGCGAGCGAAGCGAACTGAACCTTAAAGTAGCTTTACAGAGCGATTGCTCACACCCGACACCTGATTGGCTGGGCGGATATGTCCCACACACCTACACGACCTTTGGTCACGTTCCACAGGCACTTTTAGACCGGTCTCAGGACCAAGAGGGCGTTCGTGTGACCTCTCTCACGAACTACAGCAGTAGCTTAAGATGCATGAGATGGATGTCTACTGTCCGCTGTGCACCACACGAATTTCGCCGTGCGAATTAAATTATTCACATCTGGAAGCGGCACCAGATGTAGAGGTTGCTGGTGGCAACTGGTGGCAACATGCGACGAGCACCGGTGTACACCGGTTGGTGGTGTAGACTAACAAAGGCTTGACCGAAACGGCAGGCTGACAAATTCCAGCTCGTTGCCCCAAGCCTCGCAGCGGTGTGTGTAGATGGTTTGCTCCATTCTCATCGAGTGGTACTTTACAAACAAAGGCACGTTATCATGATTTCGCAGGCAAGAAACACAGACAAGACCTTTATCTCGGTTCGGGGTTGTCCTCTCGACGACTGCGGCACATAAGTGTGTCATCCTCAACCCATGGTGTGCCTGGACGGATATCTCGCGATCCGCGTGCAGGGGCATGGGGGATCGTCCGGTGGTCGGTGTGATCGGCTGTATCTCGGCTTGGCGCTAACCAGGACGAACTGCATGAGTGTTCTGAATTGTGTTGGGTTGCAGCCTTTATCAGCCGTCAATTGTGATATCGAAAGTAATGGACCAAACGCCGTTTTTCCGGAAAAACATACTCTGTACGCTTAGTGGGAACTTAACCCCCCGATTTCCGTTGTCCTGTGCTCTCTATCCCCGTTCCGCAACGTGCCGATTCACCAAATTAGCTGGCCTGACCTCCACCGATGGTCCGTTTCCGAGGTGGGGGAGTTTTGGCAGACGGTGTCAGATTTCTGCGGCATAAAATGGCTCGACCGCGGGATCGGATCCGCGTACACTCCTCCTCGTCCTTCTCCGAAGCCGGGCGTGGGGGGAACGGAAATGGGACAAAGGGGAGTGCGAGATCGGGGTCAGGAGCGGGGTGGTGCGATGACGGATGCTCTGTGGTTCGAGGGTGCCAAGCTTAACTTCGCGCACAACCTAATGCCGCTCCCGACAGATGATGAGGTGTGTCCGTCGTGTCGGTTTGGTGTTAGTTTTATAGCGTCCCGCGCTCCAACACAATGACCTCACAGGTATTGTTCTCTGATTGTGGTGATTGGTGGCGTAGTGCCTTCGGACATGATCGCCATTGGCATCGGGTGCGACTCCCTCCTCGTGCATCCCAGTTCTGGGACGCAACACATCTGGCATCTCCAATCAACAATATCCTTGTCATTACTGTAGGAGCTAGCAGCTGGATTCTGCACTTTGTTCATGATGTTCAAGAGTTTGGAGATGTATTTCGTCCAAGTTATGATCCTCAAGAAGTTTGGTCTATTCCCAGCTGAAGGTTTTGGCCCCGCTCCTCATGTTTTCGTGAAAGTTCCGCAGGAAACGACCTGTGTAGCTGCTGGTGTAACCTATCATCTTTGCGACCCAGCTTTCACATGGAACAATGGGTGTCACTTATAGTGGTGCGACTTTCTCTTTCGCCAATTGTTGTGATATGTTTTAGAGCTTTCCTTTCTTCGCGAATGGTGGAACTCCTTTGTTTTTTTTGTATGCGTTCTACCTTTTTCGAGCTAGCTTCTAACCTCAAAAATCAGACAGCAAGAAGAAGGCTGGGGGGTCAGAAAAAATTAAGTTTTTGAAGACACCAGCAACGACGATCGAGTTCAACGGCTTGTTTGACCTCGGCGATTCATTTTGGCACGCCCCTTTCACCCGAAAAATCCCACTTGCTGGCGGGAGCCCGCCCATGGGTCTCGTGCACCCCGTCAGATGCCAGCCTTATCGCACGCCCTCGATGTCTATCGTTATTTCGGCAACAGGTCATCGTGTCCGTTTCGGAGTCAGCCGAACTGGCGTCGAGAAGGCTCACCGGCAAGGAGCTTCATGTGTTGGTGGCGAGGTGAGCCGAGCAAGCACTGTGTGTACTTCACGCGAAGTTGTCATGATGCGGGAACACACTCTGTTCTTCCATTGTTCGACTCTTCATGCTCTCTCTCTCTCTCCCTGTTCTCTCGCATTTTTCCACTCGGCAGATGCGCGCGGGCATTGCGGTCGGCCGGTGTTCGCAAAGGAGACAGGGTGGCGGGTGTGCTAGTCAACTCCCAGGAAGCTCTGGTATGCATGCTGGGGGTGACGGCGATTGGAGCTGTGTGGAGGTGAGGTCGACGCTAAGCACTTGTTCCTGTTCGAGAAGCGTGTGGACGATCATATCTTGTTTTGTCGGCCAGTTTTCCGCGTATGACTGCCGTCCCATCCACGCTGATTCGTGTCGTTCGCTGGTTGTTGCCTCGCCAAGCCAGGCGTGTTCGTGCGTGTGTGAGTGTGCGCGTGCGTGCGTGCGCACATGCCTGCATCGGGTGTGTTTGTCTCTTGTTCGAGGGGCCTCACCTCACGCTTAACAACAACGTCGGGTCCACGTGTGCCACGGGTGGGCGGGTGCGAGGAGGGGTGGGGAAGGGCTCCGCTTTCCCCACACCCGACCTTGCCAAAACATGCCATCTTGTTGTCTACATTGTCCCTTGTGAGAACTTTGCTGTCCTTACCCCCTCCCAACCGATCGCCCCGCTCTCTCTCTCGTTTTCATTTTTCGCCCAACTTGGCTCCAAGCTCCTGTTCCCCAGACTTCGGGGTGGGCGGGGTGTCCGACCGCCTAGGTCAGATCTCGCCGAAGCTGGTGTTCTTCAGCCTCGGCTACTTGTACGGCGGGCGGTGGCACGACTGCCGGGGCCTGGCCAAGGACGTGCTGTCGCGACTGCCCGGTGTGATGCAGTGCCCTTTTCGCCGTTTGTTCTGTATCTGTGTCACATGTTTTGAGTCCAAAGGCGACAAAGGTTTATTTGCATTGTGTGTCTGCCTGTCGTGTCTTGAAGAAAGTGAAATGTGTGCACGTAGTGTTCGGCCTGTGCGTGGGCCTTCTAGTACGCAACTTGCATCGTGTTTGTCTGCTACAATCGGAACTGCTTGGGGAGCCATGATGTGGCTTTCCGTTCGTTGCCGACGAGTCTGCCCCTTCTCCTAGGGGCGTCTCGTTTCCCTCTTTGTAGGAGGCCGCGGCCGTGTCGAATCGGCGCCACTTCTCTTAGCCCACGTTTTAGGCGAAACGCAAGTTCCCGACGAACATACTGCCCTAGATGGCTCATTCAATGTATACATGAACAGCATACAGTAGTAGAAGAAACTTGACCTCGCTTATGCCTCAACCAGACCTGATCAAGAAGAGCAGCTTGTCTGCTACACGACTTGTGAATATCCCACCATAAACCGTAGCCTCACGCAACCAAGAGATAGATACCTGCTGCAGCCTTCCCAGACCAAGAATGTAGTAGGACCCACCCGAACGACAGCAGCAGTTGAACCCCTCCACCAACCAGCGAAGGACCGCTGCCTTTTCCCACGTGCTCCAGATACTGAGCAAGGGCCTCCCTTGGGAGTAGGTGTGCCGTACTGGACCACCTTGGGCGACGAAGGAGGCGGCAGCGTCAACCGCGCCGACGTCGGCGGTGACAGCAGAAGCTATCCGGACCCTCTGTCCGTCTCTGATCTCCCGGCGCCTCTCGTGCCGTTCGAAGAGTTTCTCAGCGGCAGTGCGACCGAGATCGAGTTTGAGCCCACCGCGTTCGACCACCCGGTGTTCATCATGTTTTCGTCGGGTACCACTGGGCTGCCCAAGTGCATGGTACACGGGGCTGGGGGTAAGCGGGTTGGCGTCGTTTGTTTGTGTCGGCCGTAATTGTCGAGATGGGCACACAAAAACAATCGCTCGTGCGTGTGCGGTTTGGTTCTTCCCGAGGCGAACCTAGCCGCCTGAATTCCACGGCCTGTGTTTGCAACTACGAGGTTGTCTGCTGCTGGGCGTGTGTATGGCAGCTTGGCCGTTTTTGTCCCCCCCTTCTTCTCTCCCTTCCCCCACACGTCGCTCCCTCTGCTTACGACCATCCGGCACTCATTCCGGTGCTTGGAACGAGCTGACGCTGTTGACGTCGTAGATAGCGCGCGCCGGTCGAAAAAGCGCCGCTATTTTTGTCACCTGGCCGATCTACAAATTCCCGATCCATCGGCGCTCGTCCCCCCGCGGGGGTGTACGCTCTCTATCGGGCAGGCACACTTCTCCAACAGAAGAAGGAACTGGAGCTACACTGCGACATCCAGCGCGGCGATCGACTCCTTTTCTTCTCTACGCTGGGTTGGGTGAGTAAGGAGACGGAAGTTGTTGCCCTTTGGTGCGGGTCCGCTGCTTTGACGAACTCACTCCAATCTTCTGTATACCTCATTGGGTTTGTTATAGGTACAGCAGTACCACTCGTTCTCGTTTGTGTTTATTTTGGCAGCGCTCCCCTGGTTCTTCGCTTGGCGTTACAGACGGAATGTCGGCCGTCGTGCGCGGCGACTGTAGTTGGGTGGTTTGGTGTGTGGCTCTTGTTGTCTTGTCCCAACTTCCAAAATGCGAAGGTCGCACCATCTGCTCCAAAATATAACAATCTGAGCACGCACTTCTACGCGCGGGATGAGGGTTTCCAGCTGCTTGAGGTATTGAAGCGACAATCTAAATCACGTGTGCTTTTATCAAAGCGAACGGACGCGACCACAGGCAGCTGCACTAACGTCGCCGAGCAACACTAGTTGGCGCCCGCAGCTTTGACATGCTCCAAGCGTGTTTGCCATGCTGCTACAACGTACTGCAGCTGTTTTGCCGCTTACAGTTCTGCTTTCACACTTCAAGATAATACTATCACGTAAATAGGTTTCTAATTAATTTTCTGATTTAGTGATATCTCTGGTAAATAGTGCATGTATTGCTCCCTTTGTGTTGACGTCGTCGCTCGTCTTCGTGTATGCACAGATGATGTGGAACTGGGCGGCCGCCGTCCTGTCAATCGAGGGGGCTTCGCTCGTGTCGTTCGATGGGAGCCCCGGGCACCCGGACCTCGCGGCATTGTGGAAGGTTTCTGCCGAAGAAGGCGTGACTCACCTGGGGGCTAGCCCAAAGTAAGACGGATACACTGTTTCGTTCACTCGCAGCGATTTTCGAGAGGGTTTAGACCAAGACGCGAGGTGGGGAGGGGGGGGGTTGAAGACGTTACACGCAGCTAACTCATTGCGGGGGTGATGGGATGCGGATCACTCTTCTTGTATCTGTCTAATGGTTGTCACTCTGGATAGGTGTCAGGCATGAGGTTTTGTCCGTCGGAGTGTTAAACACAACCCATCGTTAGCAGACGGTATGGATGTTCAACACTACGCTTCGGACCATGTGGTGATATGGCCCCATTCGTCGTTGCGCCTAGACGCCAATGTACGGAACATATGGTATGTTTTTTTGTGATACGTCTTGCATACCGCGCCGTGGCATGTTTCGACTCGCACAACAATTATCCGGTAATATCAGTTTGGGTGTGCCCTGTTCTTCTCGAGAGGGAATACTTCCGTCTTTCTTCCTTGCCCATGTCGTTTTTAATCCGGCTTCTTCATCGCTTTGGCGTCCTTGCCATCCGCCGAAGGTACTTCGGCGCGTGCAAGCAAAAGGGCGTTGTTCCTGGGGTTGACTGCGCGGCATCCGGGAGCGACGGTCTCAAGAAGCTTCGCACGATCCTGTCGACAGGTTCTCCGTTGTTGCCGGAACACTTTCAGTGGATTTACCAGGTGTGATACACACGTAGCGTACAAGCGGTGCGGGGGTTGTTGTTCTCGCTTGTTGTTCCGGTTGTCTTTACGCACATATTTACCTTTTCCCGACTTCCTTGTCTTCCGTACGTGTTCAAACCGCAAGAAACGAGTTGTGTGGTCAATAGCTTGGTAGAGTAAAGTTGGGACTTTGTGAACGTGCTTCGAAACCTTCAATCACGAAAAATACGGATTTTAATAGTTTTTTTTGCGAGAAGAGTGGCCCGTATTGGGGTGCGCTTTTTGTTTTGCACAAAAAAGCTGATTCAAAGGGATCGTGTGCATGATGTGTATGCGCAAAAAAACGGAACAATCATGTTGTGCGGGGTCGAGAACCCTCACTCCGCGCAACGGGAATGATCGCACCACGTTGTGTTAAAATGGTCAAGCATCCTCGAGGCAGTTACACAGTACACAGTGCTTACAACTACCTTTGGAAGTGAAAGCACCAGAAAATGAATTAAGTCACAGGCAGCTGTCATCCGTACGCAAGGAAGTAAGCACAAGATGCCGAACACCCTTAGCAGGATGCAGCGCACCCTTCATGCGACTCGCCGAATACCTCACGGCGCTTCGCGCTTGGTGATGTGAGAGCCTGGTCCGGTGAGAACCCGGCGTGCTCCGTCCCGGCTTTGTAGGGATGCGAGGTCAATGGTCTAACGACTACGGCATGCACGACTATGAGTACCCCCCCCCCCCCCGGTGTTTGCCATCGTGGTTGAGTTTTCGTCGCTTGGCAATGACGTTGTAAAACAAGCCGCCCCCCACGGTGTTTGCCTTCGGGGTTGGGTTTTCGTCGCTTGGCCACGACGTTGTGAATCAAGCCGATCGCCTCCTGAGCTCGACGACCAGATTACCGCTTTTTTTGCTGCCCTTGTTTATTTTTTTGCGGTAACCATAATGGTGGTCGATGTTGTGCGGGGTCGAGAACCCTCACCCCGCGCAAAGGGGATTATCGCACCACGTTGTGATAAATTGGTCAAGCACCCTCGAGGCAGTTACACACTGCTTATATCTGTCTTTGGAAGTGAAAGCACCAGAAAATAAATTAAGTCATTCGCCGCTGTCCTCCGTATGCAAGGAAGTAAGCACAAGATGCCGAACACCCTTAGCAGGATGCAGCGCACCCTCCATGCGACTCGCCGGCTACCTCACGGCGCCACCAAGTATGAGTGCCTGGTCCAGTGAGAACCCGGCGTGCTCCGTCCCTGCTTTGTAGGGATGCGAGGTCCATGGTCAAACGGCTACGGCATGCACGACTATGAGCACCCCCCGCCCCCCCCTAACGCCAACTCTCAACACCGGTGTGTCGACCAGGCCGTGAAAGGTGACGTCCACCTGGCCTCCATTTCGGGCGGTACGGACATCCTGGGATGCTTCGCCCTCGGAAACCCGACCCTTCCGGTCCGGGCCGGGCACTTGCAGTGCCTCGGACTGGGCATGGATGTCTGTGCGTACGGCGGCGACGGGAGTCAGGAGGCGGTCGGTGAACCCGGCGGTAGCGGCGGCGAGGTTGACAGAGATCGTGTTGACCACCCTGTGGTAGCAACAGCACCAGGAGCAGTAGCCGCGGCACTGAAGCCTCCGTCAAGGGAAGCAGCAAGGGGGGAGATGGGGGAGCTCGTGTGTAGGTGAGGACCCTTTCCATGGACGATGGTCGATGTGTACAGGGAACGCTACAAAGGTAGTTTTTTTGTCATATCAATCATATCAATCGTCAATCGTAGATCGCACCGCTTGTTTGTCTCCCACGAATATCTTGAAATCCGGCGCATCAACACACGTTCAAAAATACGTGTTCTTCGTGGCCATCGGCTCCGCTATTGCACGTCTTTCACCCTTTCCAAATGTTGGGTGTGCTGTGATTCCGCGGTGGGTCTGCTGTAAATGACGCGCATCTTCCCATCCCGGATGTGGCGGTATGTAACGCACGCAGAACACCGTTCCCTTCGATGCCGGTTAGCTTCTGGGGCGACTCAGACGGTTCCAAGTACCGGTCCGCGTACTTCGAGGCTTTCAAGGGAGAGGACGTGTGGGCGCACGGGGACTATATCAAGGTGCAACAGACTCTTCGCGACTTAACTGTAATATGCTCAGATAGCGGAAGCTAGTGTTGCTTTGACGATCAACGTCTATTACAAATATTGCGTCTCACACTGTGCTATGCCCTAAATATATGTTGAACACGTGCATTTACGTGCGAGGAAAGCTTCACGTCCACCGTTTTGTCGTTTTCGCCTTGAGCCTCAAAGCGTTTGTGTCTCCCGCATGAAATAGCTGTGCTTTCTATGCCGCGTGATGAGGAAAGAGGGACGATTTTCCTCTATTCCAAGCTTGCTGGTACCTGGTACAGTCGAAGTGGACTCTGCTTGATGCCACTGTCACGTGAACATGCAAGGTGAAGGTACGAAAAATATGCAACAACCAAAGCAGCCGATGCAGGATACAGCTCAACAACCCGTGGTCAGCTTAAGGCCACTTGATAACTTCAACCCTTTTCGGTGCGGGTGTCAGATAACCGAAGAGGGCGGCGTTGTTATCTCAGGGCGAAGCGACGCTGTGCTTAATCCCGGAGGCGTTCGCATTGGCACGGCCGAGATTTACAGACAGGTGAGGTTAAGGCTAGCTCCAGTCAGTTTTACACAAGCGTGAACTAACCTTGTTAATGATAACGCTGGGTGGGTCACGTGTAGTGAGTGCAGATGTTGTACTGCTGCAGACACACTATTCTGGTGTGGTTGGTAAGCGTGAGGGTGACAACAAAAAGAAGAGACTCGAACAACAAAGATGGCGTGTTTATTGTCGCGCTGTTCATTCTTCTGTGCTCGGTGATGCGCTTCATAGTCTAGTTGAGTACATTCTTATATCCAGCTCCTCCAGATATCGTCTTCGAGTTTCTGCGGCGTCTTTCAAAGTCGCCGACAACAGCGCCGACCGCAACCGTAGCTGGCGCTCTTTGGCACGGCTTAGTTTTACATGGATATTTCTTGTCCTTCTGTCATGCAGACGGAGATGGTGCCGGAGGTGGAAGATTCTCTTGCCGTCGGTCTTCGGGTGGATGGGGACGTGGAGGTGGTGCTCTTCGTCAAGCTAGTGCCCATGGCAGGGGAAGGAGGAAGAGGAGGAGGAGGAGAAGGACACCCTTCCCAGAACGTGAGCGACAAACGTTTTTGCGATTGTGCGCGTCGTTCCTTGGAAATGTTCCAAAATTTGTATGTACTATCTGTGCGATCCGACTACGATCTGTACGATGCGCGATTGGTACGATGCAACGGGGGCGATGATTGAAACAATATGCATAGAGTGAAGGATTGCCACGACCTGCACGATCCTACCGTTTTGGGGCTATTTAGCGTATTTCGACACGGTGACTGGTGTTTCATAAGCATCAGAGATGAGAATACCCTTGCTCCGTTATGAGCAAAGGTCCCTGAAGTGGTGAATAACCGTTCACCAACGGAGGTAATTTCGCTCTTTTTGCAATGTGGCAAGGAATGGCCAAGCGTGACTGACGTTAGTCAGCCTTGCTAGGGTGAAAGGTGAGAGTGAGCTTCAGGGGCTCGCTTCCACCCTCCGGCTGGTCACAGCAGACGGAGGGTCTTTTCGTTGTAAAGATATTCAGACCTCGGGAACTTCGTTCCTTGGGTCACGGAATTATGCGGTTGTATGTGCGCCCCTACTTCTGGGAAGATACCTTTATCCTGGTTTCCACAGAGGTCTTGAATCTGTTCGATATTGTAGGCTGGCCTGCCTTCATTCTGAATTCCTGTAACGAGCGATGACGCCAGCGCTCTGCAAAGTGGCAGTGACGAGACGGTGAAAGTCGCCAGCGCTCTGCAAAGTAGCAGTGACGAGACGGTGAAAGTCACCTGGTCAAGAGCAGGTCAAAGCTCACCCTCCATTCGACGTCGTATTCTTTCGATGGTGACTCACCGGTCTCCAGTGTTTGGCGGGTTGGTTACGTTGGACCGACGGACTCTCTTTCGCAGGCACGTCATCATCGATGTTGTCCTACCAATCGCTCCGCTCTTCCTATTGGCTTACCCGACCCGTTCCGTTCCATGTGATGTTGCTCCGAATTTGCAGCCCAAAAATCACTACGTTCTCACGGGCGAGCTGGAAGGGAAAATCAAGGCGATTATTCGTTCCAACCTCACCTCGCGGCACGTGCCCAAGCGGGTGATCGTTGTGGACAGTATCCCATACACAAGAAGTGGGAAGAAGGTGCGCTGTGTTGGCATCACATTGAGCTGAGTCGACTTGTCCTCGTCCGGTACCCGAAAGTCATCTTCTTGTCTAGCAAACAAGAATGTGGAGGTAACCTCTAACACGAGTCCCACATGCGCAACATCTGTCGAGGGTGATTCAATTTCTTCGAACAGCGACGCTCGGGTCTAACCCGATGAACTTTAACTTTCAAACGTACAGGGAAAGGGTGGTTGCATCTCTTGAAATGCAACGAAAACATGGTGTGCGGTATTTTGCCTGGCCCAAGATTCGCGTGAGTGTATTGTCTTTCCGTTCGCGAGAGTGTAAAATACAAGCGAGGCGAGATTACACGTGCGTGACACAGCCGCTGCTGGTGCAACCGACCGAACCTGTGCTTGACAAAAATGAGCACCCTCCTGCCCCTCCAGCGAGAAAAGGCGTACGAGTCTCATCGCTTCGACCACCCTCCTTCAACCCTCCAGTATTGACCGTCACACCTCGCAGTTGACCACCACCCCGTCGTGTTGGGTTTGTTGGAGATGACCCTTGCGAGTCTAGACATTCACGAGTTACTTCTGTGTGTGACCTCCCTGCCCTTCCGCTTCCCTCCTCCCCGTGGTTCTGTTTTTATCCGCGTGGATGTTGGCAGGTTGAGGTTGCTGTTACCAAGGCCATCCATGGCGAAACCGTCAACAACCTCTCCGCTCTGGCCAACCCCGACAGCCTGCAGCAGTTCCACGAGGCTGGGAGAGCGTTACGCGGTTTGGCGCCCTTCCCTCCACCGCCGCCACCCGTGTCGCGACTGCAGTAAATATGCAAGGACAGAATGACTACCTTCCTTCGGAGCGGTGGGTGTGCTTCAGTGACTAACCCTCCCCACACATGCGTCAGCCGGTGGCATGCGTTGACGACGTATTTTGTTGTCAAAGGGGTAGGTTTTGGTGGTTGCTGCAGATGGCAAGCGAGAACGCGGTCACACCTACTACGAAGCTCATCGACAGCAGGAGGGATGTGTCTGATGGCATGAACCACGCAAACCTTGGCTGGGATTTTTCTTTCGTGACTGGTCAGCTCTCTTTTGTGGGATGCAGCGCATGCTTTCCCTTCTGTGGCCACCTTTCGCACCAATGCCAGTTCTTTCACTGCCTAGTGTCTCGCCCCCTCCCAAATTTGCAGCGGTGGTGTTAGTCAAACACAGCCTCCGAAGTTGCTAGAGGAGCCATTACATGACAGGCAAAAGTTTGGCATGCACAAGATGTGGTTCTGCCGAGGAGGCATTACGCGTTTTTCTGATTCCGTACAAAAACATGCGTAATAGTTCCTGCTTAGTTCGCACACCGAAGAACTTTAGTTTCACTCTCTTCTCTCTTCTCACCCGCGTCCAGAGCGCTCACATATTTACACAGGATAGACTCTTCGTACAGATCCTGCCGCTCTACAAAAGCTAATCCAAACGGTCCTCTACGCTACCACCACCGAGGACGTCTACATCCGCCTGCAGTTGTACCACAACACCTTTCAGCGGCGACCCGTCCAACGCCGCGCAGAGTGTCCTTGCGCCCTCACGCAGGACGCCGATGTGTCGCCGCCGCAGCTGCCCTTGCAAGCCCTGGTCACGCACCACGGTCTGCAGACATCGCAGGATGGGCTCCAACGGCTGAGTTCCCCCGATCCCGACACTTCGGTCCTGCATGGCGGCACCCGCTGCGTCGTGCTTCGCGGCCTCGACGACCTCACACGTTGTTTCCACAATGAGCGCCACCATGAGAGGCAAGAGGGCCGGCCAGCGCTTAACCAGGACTAGCACCGGACGCAGGAGGCGTGCTCCGCGAGCCTTCTCCGCTGCCTCGGCCGTCCCTGCAGTTTTCATCGCCCACACGCACGCCGCAGCCATCGGCTTCTCTAGGGCGGACAGCGGGGTTGGTGTTGGTTTGGCGTTGCCTGTACCAGTGTTGGTGTCGGCCGGGGCTGGCGAGCGAGAGAACTCTGTTGCCACGTCTAGCCCTTCCCAGCAGCAGAGCACACACGCCATCGCCGCCCGTTGTCCCTGCAAAACTGCGGCCAAGGAACCTTCATCCTGCGACCGCACGACGGAGACATCGCCGCTGCCCCTTCCCCCGGCCGTGCCTTGCGTTTTCTCTCCCTTTCCTGCGCTGCCCCCGCCACCCTGTCGAATGCTTCGATGTCGCAGTAGCTGCAGGAGCGTCGGCTGCAGCGCCTCGAGCACAGTCCCGCCGCGCGTCCCGATCATCGCGAGCGAGTTGCACACGGCACCTGTCACCTCATCTCTCCCGAACACCGTTTCCCACAGCGTGGGGGGCGCAACCACCGCCGCTGTTGCTGGTTCCTCGCCATGCGTGGCGCCGTCACCTCCCCCAGTCGCACCTGGCCTCTGTCGGCGCCGCTTTCCACTACCACTACTACCCCCTGCTCGTTGTTCGGCTGTTCTTTTGGCCCCACCCGTGTTCTTCACGCCGGCGGATGCTGTCAATATGCTCACCAGAAAGCCAAGGTATGCGCTGGGGCTGAGGCTGCGGCGGCGGTGGTGCATCACCTTGTTTCATCAGCCGGGAAAACATGTAACACAGGAATTCGATTGGGATTCAAGACGTGAGTGGTGAGAAGTCTAGCAGGGTCCCTCTCCAGGAACCAAAGCGAAAATCACGGGTGGCTAAAACAAGAAATGTCCCGCAACGATTGCAGTTGGATCGATAATATGCCGTGTTTGTCGTCAGGGTGTAGAGAGAATCAACAGAAATACGGGGCGTAGGACGCTACTTGTACAAACGAAAAACAAAGCACACGAAAGTCAACGAACTCGAATGCACCAATCTACATTACCCGGTTCGCAACGCGAACGCCCCATGCCCCGAGCACGCTGCAAACGAAAAGCAGTTCGGAGAAGTGGAGTGTGCTGTCCAAAGGCAAGTCGCCTAGGCCAAAATAAATTATCCTCTCGACGCTCACCTCCAGCACAAACGAGCGAACGTCCTTATCAAGTGCCGTGGGTTCCGAGCACGCCGCCGCGAGCTCACACACAACTTTGCCCGGAATCGAGGGAAGGTGGTAAAGGAACGAGATGGCATTCCTCTGCGCAGCCGCCGGTAGCAAGAGGAATCCTTGATCGCCGAAGAACTCAACCAGCAGTGCAGGTTCGATGGAGCGCAGGAGCTCCGACGATGCCACTGCCCACGCCCCCCCTCCACACCCCGACCCTGCCGCGAGGGCTGCCCCTGCACTAGTCGTCTTGCCTTTTGCCTTCCCCTTCCCGTTGGAATTTCCGCCGACATTTGTTCCCCTCGTCGCGAGGGGCTGCTGGGGGGGAAGGGCGTGCTTGGCGACCTCCACGAGGACCCCAAGCACAGCCTCCGAGTCTCTCGGAAACTCGCAACCCCAGCGGCACAATAGCTCGGGCAGAGACCGCAGCCAGCGGCAGACCTCGGGAGGGGTCTCGGGGTCATGGCCGACAGCCTCGCCGTTGGCCGCACCCCGCAACAAGGTAGTCGCCAAGCAGCACACGAACCTGATGCACAGCAGCTTGGCCTCGCAGTGGGCGGGCAAGGATTCCAAGAAGTCGCCGAAAGCTGACAGTAATCGCTGCCTGTGGTGGCGGTTACGTTGGTGGTAAACGATCGAAATGGAACGAACGAGGGCGCGAAGTGTGATGACCCGCTCCAAACATTGGTGGTGCCCTCGAGGGGGGAAGGGAGGGCGGGGGCAGACAAGCCAGATGACCATGCGTGGGTGCGTGTTCGGCGCGTTTCGGGCCTTTCAGGGCACTACATCATGAAACGAACATTGGTCCCAAAATATAGCGCACCACCGGACTGTTCATCACTAAACAGTACCGGCACGCCATCAGAGGTAACTTTCCTATATACCCCCCACACGAGAAAGTCTCACCTTTGGGCTGTCCAGTCCGAAAAGGCGCTTGACGTCCCTGCCGGGTTGTAAGTTGCAGCGCTCAGGACGCGCAAGACGCTCGACATCTGCGGCCCTACCACGCCGCTCCTCCTAACCTCATCTCGCAGCACCTCATGGACGTGCGCCAGAACGGGGGCAAGCCACTCAGACGGGTCCTCCCCTCCGCCTGCGCCGCTGGCATCGGGAGCGGAAGCGGCAGCAGCAGTGATCGCCCCGGGACCGGCGCAGGCCGCTACCACAAGCTCGCACAGGCCCATGTTGAGCCCTTGGATAGCTCGCAGCCGCTCCTCTTCCACGTTTCCCAGCAACTCGCCTTCGAGCGGGCGAACGGGAAACGCTTCAAGGACTAGGGGCACGAAACGCGAAAACCATGCGGACGCGCCACCGCCCGCCCCTTCGCCACTTCCGTGCCCGGTGGCAGTGTGCCACTGGACCACCACCCCTGAGTTGATGCCCCTTCCGCCTTCATTAATTCTAACGTCATCCGCGACGCCCCCTCCAGCAGCCGTCCACGCAGGGGAAGCGATTGCCTCCAAAAGCGCGTGCACCACATTCTGCATTAACCCGATGTCTGGAGGGACGGCCGCCAGGGCTTCTATCCACACCTCACGCAGCCTTTCCAAGACAGTCGGTAGGATAGACGCTAGCGCTTTGATCTGCGGCGAATCTGCATTCGGGCCAGCTCCGCCTGTGCCGCCGCCACGGCTATCCGCATTCCCGGCTAACACGGTCGCCGAGCAAGGGCATAGCATCAAGGCGCCATTTCTCCGAGAGCCTTGCTTCCACGACAACCTAGCCGTCCCCAAACCACCGCCGCCACCACCAACACCAGCACCAACACCACCTCCAGCCTTGCCCCCGCTGCGGCCACTACCATACCGCCGCGACACAGCCCTGAACAAGCTCACGAGGCTTTGGAGGGCTTCCGCCCTTCCCGCTTGCTTCTTGGAGGCCGGATCGGCAGCGAGTAGGGTGGCATAGTTAGGCGCCAGACGCTCGGCCCGGTCAGCTACGGCGGCGGGGAAGCGGGCTAACAGGAGGGCGAGCAGCGTGAGGCTGTCGCGCCGGACGCCCTTAGTTAGGCTGGTCATGGCGCTGACCACGTAGGCCATGTACAGGTTCGCGAATGGAGAGAAGGTCCGGGCAGATACACAATTCAGCAGCGTCTCCTGAAATGCCAGTAGGCCTCTGTTTGACGGCAATAAATTCGGGGGTGGCGGGGAGATGTGTGTTGGGACAGGCGGGTCAAGGGTTTGCGGGCTTCATATATACCCTTGGAAAGCATCTTGTCCAATACCGTATTCCCACAATATCTTTCATCGCCGCTTCTCCATGCTGTCCATTGACAAATAGCCCAAGATGCGTGTCGTCATCTCCATGATTCAGCGGGTTTACCGTGGCTCGCAGGTGTTTCCATATGCATATATAAAAAAAATCAATCCTGTGCAAAAGCGTCCAAGATGGGTTCGGAGAGAGCAGAAACCCCTAGCCGTGCTCGACAATTATGTTGTTTGGCATGGCATATCCACGGAGATCAGTCAGCGCTGCCGCACACGTGTTGCCCCCTATGGAAAAATTACCATTTTTTTTTTTTACGCAGACAATACAAATCCTGGAATCACATCCCCTGGCGGTCCCTCCGCATAGAGTTTTGAGTTATTCTGCTATACCTCTCGCTGTAGTGCTGATCCCTAATCGTGCACATCCGATATGCCTTGCCCACACATAGAGACGCACACACCCCAATTTCTGTCACGTTTGGTTGGGGTTAGGTCTTCAGCAAACGGCGTTGAAAGTCCGGTGCGTGCTTCCATGGCTTGGATTTCTATATGTTTTCGGAGGTAGACGCATGATCGTTCTGGAAGCCACTTCTGCTGACTACTGGAGTTTAGACTTGAATTTGGGCCGACTTTCGCAGGCCAACCGCGGACGCTGTAGTGGAGATCCCTAATCGTGCACATCATGGATTCGTTCTATGGTCTTTTATCTCTACGATAGGCCAAGTATAGGCCGAATCGGGGGACCGTAGTGTTTCAGCAAACCTCGGTGAAAGTTGGCTCCCAAGAGCTGAAAAGGTTGCGCGCAGCAGCAGAAAGCTGGTTCAACTCAGATGTGATCGTGAGGTATTTCTCGCGTCCAAAGCAAAATCAAAGGGTGAAAACAGCTTTCCGGTGGAGGGTATGACCTGCTTGAGGTGCCCGTGTACTTTGGTGGCACGCCGAGGTCTGTGTGAGGAGCACGAGGTGGTGAAAGAACTGGGCTCAGCCTTGTCCAATCTGGGGAGGGGATGAAACAAAATTGACCCCGCTGAAACCTGCGGCGTGATTTTTTGTCCGTACTTTTTTTCAATTTCCTATAGGCGGCAACACGTGTGGCCGGCAAGTGACTTCGGGGGAAATGGGGGCTCCGTGTGAGGTAAAATTTCTCTGCTCGACTACGGCACGGTTCGACACAATGCACAGCTACCCCAACGCATACAAACAACCCCCGTCTGTTCGGAAAGAACGCCGTTCTGTTTGGCCCAACCGTCGGTACTCACTTTCGAACGTCGTTGTCGAAGCAGACGGCCAGCTCGAGGCTGGCTTCCGCTAGCCTGGCGAAGTTTACCTCCGCGAAGGACCGGTGTCGGTCCACGATCGACTTCAGGCCCGCCAATGCTTCGCGCTTGCTGGCTGGGCTGTAGTGACGCAGCTGGACCAGCAGCTCCTACTCGTTCGGCGAAGCAGCCAGTTTGATGGCGGGGTGGGGGGGGGGCGGCAACAAAGACGAAGAAAACGGAAAGAGGGAAACGGTGGTTGATACCCACTCCAAGGTTTTGCAGAACGAGAGGGTCAGTGGTGTGCATGCGCTGATATTGGATAAGCGATGGCGGGCTCCGACACATGGCCCACATCTTCCGACTCATCCCTACAGACTCCCTCGCCTATAGAGAATGGGATACTTGCATATTGCACTTGATACAGCTTTCGTCACGAGAGATTACATGAAATTGTTTAAGCAATTGGGGGCTTCGTCAACGGTAGAAGCCCCGAAAACGGTGCCTAAAAACGTTGTTACCTGCACACCCTGTCCCCTCGCGGTAACAGCATCTTCATCGCCGAGGTCATGAAGGATGCTCTGCGCTGAGACTTTAACGCGTTTACTCTTAAAGGAGGTGTCGGTGTGGCTGGCCGCCTGCGGGGCTCTCTTCCCGACCTGCATTCACAGCAGTTTCGCGCATACCATAGACAACAGGCGTGAGTACGACGATGACAACGACGGCCACGACGACGACGACGATAAGAGTTCTAAACAATGCAATACCTGCCATCATCATGTGCGATGTATGCGAACAGCACACTGACGATACTGCGCGCGGGGAACTCAACCGTACAAAACAACGCGAACAATGTAACTACCCTTTAAGCAGTCAGTTCTGCTGTGAGCATTAGGGCACCAGTTTGACGAACACAGGATCATGTGCAACACACAGCTTTCGTAATACCTCGATTGAGTATCAAATTCAGCCAACTATTGAGCGTACAGCAGCTATACAGTATTTAGTTGCGGGTGTGAAACGGACAGCAGTTGTTAGATTCCACATATTTCACAGCATACACAAAGGCGATCAGGGGGTAATTTCCTGTTCATTTTGGGCATGCACGGGATCGGGGGCGAGAGCTTGTGTTGACGGTGTACTTCTAGGTTCACCCCAAAGCTTCATCATCGCGCGGCGTCATCACATGCTCATGATGTACGTCTGGTGTACACATCGTTGGTCTAACCCTCAGCATTGCAGCCCCTAAATCGGTAGAAAATGGGCGGGATGTTATCCGAGTCAAGGTCGATCTGAACAAATTCAATAATATAGCAGAGTGGAAGTCCGAGTACATGCATGACACCGGAACAACCTAGGCAAGAACTTCCCACAAAAAACACCATCTTCTGAAAAGCAACCATGGGTAGTCAGCTGTTGGGTGCTGCTTTCATGAGGGCTGGCGAGCAAACCTGCGTGGTACTGCAGGGTGTTATCTAACGTCACGAAACAGAGCCCACCAATCTAACGGTACCCAATGGGTGTTTGGGCGTGACAGGGCAGTCCAGCCAGGACACACAATGTACGAAATCGTGGGAACGAGATGACGGTCCCTGTCGTGCCGCCACACACCCCCCCCTCAAGACAACTGGTACGACTTTCGCGCTGACTGGTGAAACCTGGATGGGGATCATGGGTTACATCCTTTTTTTTGGGGTCCTCTTGCGGTATGCTGAACGGCAAGCGAACCGACAAGGGCAACCATTTAGCCGACGAGTTTTCTGCATCATACTTTGAGGATAGGATGTTCCACACATCGTAACGTGGTGCACTGCAAGCGCTTGGAGGTACACATGACAACCCCGATAACACAACATCGGCGAAGGAGTGGCCATTTCGCCACACACGCCACTCTCTTTCGTACGAATTGGGCGGGTGTAAAAGGGGCAACATGGGTCCCCACCAACCTCACCTTCGCCTTGAGGCGTTTGAAGTCAGCTGTCGCCCCGGTTTTGTTCTTCTTCCGTAAGAAGTTCGATTTCGGCATATCTCTCTCCCATGCGTCCCCACGACGCTACTGTGTGTGTCTCGCTGTGCAGTGCGGTGTGGTGTGTCCAACGACAGCGAGTCATGAAGGGGGGCCCTTCCACTGAGAACTACGTCGCACTACGCGGGGGGGTGCTGTATCCAACCGGGGAGACCCCCGTTTAAACAAAACGAGCAACGGCCACATCGCACACACACATCACACCTGATCACACCTCACGAAGCAGCAGGTGCTGTGCGCAGCGGTTCCCCGGCGACGCTCCAGAGCACCACAGCAGAACACACCAAAATCCACGGCTATGTTGAGTTGGGACAGCGAGGAGTTCAACTTTGTCGGCCTTGCACGGAGCCCTGTCAAGCGGACGCCCCGGACGTACTACGACGACGATGGCGCAGTGATCAAGACCGAAGAGCCTTTCTCCGGCTCAACGACTGACCGCATGTCCACGGGGAGTGCTCGCTCGGCCGGGTACTCCTCAGTTGGACCTGCAAGCAGCGCTCGCCATCGCCAGGCTCTCCAGCCGATGGCCGAAAACAGCGTGTACACGCCCGCTCCTCCTTCCGCGCTGGACAGCATGGTCAACATCATCTCGACCTCCATTTCCTGCAACAAGAAGGCCCTGACGGCAAGTCGATCCGGCCTACCCGTGTCCCGGACGCTGAAGCTGTCGCCTGCGGACACCACGCGCACCACGGCGGGCGAGAAGAGAGATCAATCGGTGTTGGTTAGGGCGGGCACGCCTGCGGCCGCCGTCAGCAGGGGGCACCAGCGGCAGGAGCAGCAGGAATCGGTGTCGCCGGCCGGCAACATTCCTCACGGTGATCACACTCACCGCTCGATGACCCGGTCTGCTCTCCTCTCCGCCCTGGATCACTCACCGTACACTCCCCAGCAACAGCACCAACAGCAAGGATCTCCTGTTTCACGCGACGACAGTTCGCGAAGAGCAACACAGGCCGACAACAACGCGGCCTCCCCGTCTTTCTCTTCGGACATCCCCACCGGGATCAAGAAGGCCTCATCCCCGTCTTCTCCGCAGGCCTACGCCGAGCACCACGACCACGATGGCCCCTTGACACCGTCCTTCCTTGCGCCGGCAGCGAGACTCGGCGAAACGGGCTTTACCGACGACGAGCGCAGCCGTACGTGGTCTGAGTGCTCCTTCACCAACGCGGTGTTCTCCCCAGACCCGGCCACCCCCACCGTGGCGCAAGAGAGTCGAGGCGGCAACACCGCCGTGGGCAGCGGCGGCAACACCACCGTGGGCAGCGGCGACAGAGGTGGGGTGGCCAGAGGTGGGATGGCCAAAGGCGAAGAAGGTCAGGGCGCTAGGGCGACGCCGACTCTGCTGCAGAGAAGGACTAGCAGCCCGCCTGCGTCGGAGATCGCGTACACCCGCGACCACACCACTACCGCTCACACCGCGTGCACCCCGGCAGCCGTGTCGGCACTCGTGCGAATGGGCGGCCGCTCCGTGGCAGCGGAGACACCCGGGAGCGGAACAGCTGCGAACAGGTACCGCGGTTTCATTGCGCAGAGCCCGATCGCGCTTTCCGCCACCGCGAAGAAAGAATGCCCCGAGGAGGGAGAGGCGGAAGTGCCGAGCACCCCCGCCGCAGCGGCGACTCTCGCGGCAATGATGAAGGGCGCTAGCGCTGGCGTGCGTGGTTCTGATACTACTGCTGCTGAGGAACAGGGGGTAATCGCGGGCAAGAACCAGGGCTTTGCCTCCCAAGAAGCTTCAGAAGTACGGCCAAAGGATGTGGCGGTGCGTATTTTGAATTGTTCCGTACTCTCCGCAGCACACACATTAGAATTGAGAAGACTTTTCGTTGCGCCGATGTCGGCTCCGCGGGCGGTCCTATATCCATGGGATGGACAGCGGTAGGTGCTCGAAGTTTTCTTTTAGTCCTGAGCGTACAAGCGCCCAACCAAAAACGCACTCTACAGCAGTAGCGACCGCCTGCACTTGTTCGCTTGAAACGACGCAAGGTTTAATGTAGACTTGGCTGATCGGCGCCCGCGATGCTGAACAATGCAGAACTTGCGCCAGCGGAGGACAGCGGCTCCCGAGACACCATCCCGACGAGAGGGCATGAGTGCCGGGCTACCGATGATAACCCCAAGGCGCAGGAAGGCGGCGTCACAGCTTCTCGACCTAAGCAAGGCAACTCCGAGGGGAATGATCAGGTATATAAATAGCTTGTGGTGGCGTGTTTGACGGCAGAGAGAGGTAGAAGCGCCGCAGCGTGGCTTCGTCTCTGTAAATGTTGTCCTGTCTGTTGCATGGAACAGAGCTTGCTTCGTTTGCGGAGATTGAATTTTGTCCGGTTGGTAGAGGCAACAGCGGTAGCGCCCAAGCGGTTTGGTGGGTGGTATTTGCCAGGACATGGCTTTGATCTCTTCTGTTTTGAAAGATGCATCGGACTTTACTCAAACGAAACACTGCTCTGTGTGTGGCCGTACCGTCGTCCGTGTCGGCGTAGGGGATTGCTGTCGGGCAACGGCCATCCCGCCCAGGCTTTGCAGAACAAGCACCAGTCGCACCAGCGCTTCGTGCCCCAGGTGGCTAAGCTGGTGGAGAACGTTGAGGAGGAGACTCCGCGAGCGCTGCTGAAAGGAGCTTGCGTTCGCGAAGACAACCGCTCTCGGTGCAAGTCCACATCCGTTGCAGAAGCTGCCGCCGCTGCCGCTGCCGCCGCAGCTGCTACCTCGGCGGCTGCTGTTGCCGCGGCGGGTTCCGCGGACGGGGCAGGCGGCTTCGTGGAGGGTCGCGAGGCGGGCGACACTAGTGCCGAGCTAGTCGCGGTGAGTTCAACGCCGTGTCGGTGCTAGGTTTCGGACTACCGTATGCTCCCATCGCTTTACCCATAGAAGATATATCGGAGTAGCCGACTCTGCGTCAGGTTGCAAAGAATGGACATTCGCACAGTTAACCCCAATGTGGAGCCCGTCAGGCAGGTCACTGTGAACTTTTTGGAAATACTGCTCCTGTGGCTTCCCAGTTTGGCTGAAAAGGCGGCATGAAAATCGCACTCACGCACAAGAGCCATCGTTTGCAACAATCAGCAATAAATGGTAGAAGTAGTTCGACATTTGCTGCTGGTCATACGCTCCGGTCTTGGCCGCTCTTCACATCTAGCATTGCTCTTACGGTTGGGTCTTCGTTCGTAAGACATGGGAACTCCCAAAAAGCGTATGTGATTGATTACAGTCGGGTGTAACATCCCGTGCATACACAAGAGCAAAGTGTTGCATTGTTTAGACTCAGCCTAGCACAGAGGCACAAAAAGTGACACCTTCCACCCTGAGGTTCTCCGTGTTCGACCCCAGCCTGCGACAAGCCTCCTCCTTAAAGACGACCACAAACTGTGGCGTTCCAAACGAATTGTGAAACGTGGACTCTGCGAACCTTTGCCCTAGTCTTGTGCAAAAACTTGCACCGTGTTAAGATATACAGCATATGCACTACTGGTATGCTACAAGTCAGCGCTGACTTATTGTAGTCAGCGCTAGTCAGCCCCGAGTTGTAGCATAGTGGATATGCTGTACATCTTAACAAAAGTACAACCCGTTCCCCATACCACCGGTCGTCTTGCTCATGAGCAAGACGGCCGGTGGTTTAAGTTGCCGTCCGTCCTCGTCTTCATGACAGCCGGGTCAGCGAAAATTACCGTCAAGACCTTCATGTATTTGTTAATTTGTTTACAGCGTATCCACTATGCTACAAGTCAGCGTTGCCCCATGCGGTTTCGTCGACTTACAGGCGGGAATACGTGTCTTCATTTGGACGACTGGAATGTATGCCGTGACTTTCAGGCGTGTATCCCAGACTTTTTTCCCGGAAAAAAGGCGTCTCAAGTGGCTTTACACGAACAGTAGCGTACCGAATGTGCAGCAGCGTACTCCAGGTGATCAGTCTGGGCCCAGTAAGCAAGCGGGTTGACTCAGCGCAGAATCTCCTGCAGAAGAAAACTCCAGAAGAAGGATCTCCCCGTAGAATCGTAGAAGACGATGTGTGTGCAACCACGCCACAGCACTCGACGACGGCGGCAGGAGTCGCAGTCGCCGCAGGCCCCCACTCACTCACAATCGAGGCTTCAAAACCTGTTGTGGATGTTGTCTGAGATACCCTTGACAAGTGGGCAAGGCTGTGCCTCTCGCATGGATCTCTCGCAGATAGTCATGGCTCTTACCTTTCCTTGTCATCTCTAGGAACTGCCGTCATCCGGACTTCTGCGTTCTCTGTGTATCTATCTGTGTGTGTTGGCCAGCTAAGCGCCAGTGTTGAACATATCTTCACGCCTCTACACAGCACAAGAAGTAGTCCTACTTCTGCTCTTCAACCACTTGCGGTGCCAACCATCTCGAGTAACATCGAGAGGCACAGCCTTGCCCACTTGTCAAGGGAATCTTAGACGATATCCACAACACACCGTCTCCCCCACCTCAACGCCCACGTTCGTTCCCGTTCTAAATCTTCGACCAGGACCAAGCCCCGTGTTCGGTACCCGCACACCCTGCGGCTTCCGCACCCAGCCCCCCCTCCGCTGCCTCCGTAGCCGTGGTTCACCATGGTGTTTCTGCGATGAGAGCGGGGAGGGTGTTCGTGAAGGCGGTCCTGGTTCTCATCCTGCTGGCTCTGCTTTGCGGGGCTTTGGTGGTCGTGGCGGATGTTGTTGTCTTCGTTTGCCTTGCTTTCACCGACCCGACACCAACCCAGCCCATCTACTAACAGAGAAATGAGGTGATGCTGGTGTGAAGGTTGACTACTGTGCAATAAATGTTTTCGGTGGGAGTATGCGAAACACACCCATAGGACAGTGCGAGCAACTAGGTTGTCAAAGCTACTCAATGCGTGGCATTCACAGGTCCTGCGCCAACGCTACCCCAGTCGTTGTGGTTTCATTTAGTGCGGTTGCTTGCTGAAATTAGGCTTGACGGTTGCGTCGATGCCGCCTCCATGTTTCGATTTTGCTGAGATGGCTCGTTAGTCGCGTGGGGTGTTGGTTGGTTGTTAGCTATACAAAAGCCGCTGCCGGTAATCTGTTCGGACAGATTGGTCATTAAAGTGCTCACTCACGTTCTAAGGGGACAGCGGCTGACAGCAGTACCGAGCTTTTTGTGTTTCGGAGCGGTCGTACGCCGACCGCAGACCCCTCGTACTGGTGGTTGTGGAATTGGTTTAGCTGTTAGTTTGCTGACTTCGCGCTCATGCTCGCCGGCCCGCTACATAGACTCTAAGCTGGTGGTAGCTCTAAATATCTCATGTTGTGTACCAGCTACGGTCACTATACAACGTTCACCTTAATATCCGCCCGCTTGCCTGACTGGAGGTGTTGGAGTGTCGGATGTTGATAGAGGGAAGCCAAAAGAGACGGGGACCCACGATGGCGATCATATCTATTCTTCGTTTAAATGAGTCTGGCACGAGGTCATTGGACGTGCCTGATACCATCCGTGTCGAGTGTCGAGACCCACATACTATGTCAAAAAAGGGGAGGTTCTACCAACGTGGCGAATAGGAGGGGTGGGGGAGAAAAATAGATGTTGGTGGTATCTGTTAGCGTTGGTAAAATGCGTTTTTCTTGCACTGTTTGGGTAGGACGTGTAAAGGGCCGAACGGTAGCGAACGATTTTGCTGCTGCAGGGCATCGTCGTGTCAGGAAGGGGGTTAGAATATCTAACATCGAGTGTATTCTCAAGTGTGGTGCTGTAGCTTCAGGACCATTTCTGGCAGACATTTCTGGCAGACGTGCCACGTTAGGTCAGTAGGTGACTGGCACGTGTAAGCACTTTGCGAGATTTGACTGCGGCGCTGTGTGTGTGAAGGCGTCCACTTTGTGGTTGTTCCACATCGATCGATACGACTCTCATCCCATGCTGCATCTTCCCAGTGCGTGATAGCGATAGTGCTCACCATGCGGTACGCACGGATCTTTACTATGGTACCAATGTTGTAGCAATTGTCATCTCCATCAACGGGTGGCAGTGCGGCTGGCCAGCCGCAATCTTAATTGTAAAGAATTTAAAGTTTTTCCACTTGTAATTTTACACACAACTTTACCTAGTTTTTGTGGACATTGATTCTAAGCGGTGTCCTTAAGAGGAAAGCGGGGGTGGCGTTCGATATATCGATCGTGGTCTTCTGTAGGAGATGGAGACACGGATAAAATCATGCCTTCACGCGCCTGCCTTGCCAACACTTGTGGTTGATATCCCAACAACGTCGAGAGACAGCACACACCCTGCAGTAGACACAAACAAAACATCGCAGGTCCGCTCATTCAGTACTTCACGGCTTCCCTGAGCGGCTAGAGAATCTCAAGCTGTAGCTGACATGCCAGTGCTGCTGTGGTTGTGGCGTTCTACGGGTAGTCGATGCCCCCCTCTGGCCTCATCCTTCAAAACGCCAAAAGTTGTGAGAGAACTCAAATTACGCGCCCTAGCTTAGCCAACCGATTTCAAAATGGTGTGAACAAGATAACCACCGACGATATTCGAGGCTCAAGCGTCTAATTCACCAAAACCACACGAGTAGTTTGATTCGAGACCCTAGCAGTCAAGTGAATCCTTCTACACATTTGGTTCCAGCAGTTGCACGCAAGCACCATGGAGTCAATCAATCAACGAGGGAGAGAATCAAACTTGAACAGCGAAACATCTGTAACTATTCGTTAACCATATTTTTACAACAGGTAGGTTCCGCCCGTGCTTCACAAGAGTATTTTTACCTCTTTTTCAGATCAAGGTCAACAGTTCAATGACCCAGGCCGACAGATGTTCAATGCTTCAGCACCACGCAGAGTCAAGAAGAACGACACCAACCGCCCGACCCTCAACCCTGGTCCCGTGTGGCCCACGCTTGATCCCGGCAAGGGCACCCCTCCGGTGCCTGGGTGCACCTACATTCGCCACCATCCTCCCCACCATCCGCACTTCCAGACCCAGACCTCCGTCTAATGTCGGTCCTATCCGTCTGCTTGGTACCTAAGCCCTCCAGCCGCAAAGACCTAGCAACCCCGAGGCTAGGGCCTTCGATAGGGTTTCCCACGGGGTCGAAGGCCTCGTTGTCGCACACCGGGAAGGTGTACGTATCTTGACAGTACCCCTCGGCAACCAGCCAATCGCCGACCTTTCCGATCTCCGCGAGGCACTCAGACGTGTACTCGGAGAAGGTCTCGGGTGTGGAGGTCACCTGACCCCGGTAAGTGACGTCGCACGCCTTGCACATGCGAACCTTGTTGTTGGCAGTTGCGCAGGCAGGGGTAGAATGCATCAGATGGGAATGGAGGGAGAGGTGGGAGCACCGGGAGCGGAGCGGGGTCTCATGCGTATGGGCTTCCTGTGTCTGAAGGCGCGCTCAAAACTACCAAGATGAGCAGTCCTCGTACAACCACTCGGATTCGTATCTAAACTCGGAGAGGGTTCCGACGTGGAGTTCGGGAGGGGTGAGGTTGGGGGCGTCAACGGCGGATGCGACATCAAAGAAGTCGAGGCAGTCCTTCGGAACCCAGTAAATGTACGGTCAAAACAATTGCACGCATACCTTGATCTTGGTGTTGAGCCTTGTATTTGAATCAGTCTTGTTGCCCCCCAACCCGGACAGTTCGCTCGCGCACACACTCTCCACAGCCGAGTAGCAAAGGGCCTGTTGATCCTGATCGACCTGTATGACCGGGCTTTCACACAGGCACAGGTCGTGCGCGTCGCCTTCCTCGAAGAGACGACACCTGTTTTTCATCAGCACCAATTCAATCGGGATAACGAAGGGAGTGTTTTATTCTGGTTCAGGATGAACGCACAGCCCTCATTGGGCGCCAATCCTCACACTCGATATCTACTTGATTGTCACACTTAGGACTACGTCCTCCCCCCAATACCCGAATTGCTGTGTGTACCCACGGCCGCGCACGAGAACTTTGGCGTCCCGGAAACGAGCAGAAGCGGCGCGGGGTTGTACGTGGGTGACAACGACCACCGGCGATATTGCATGTTACTTATCCACGATCAAACCTCCCTCCGGTTGAACCATTCCCAATCAGCCGTACCCATTTGGGCCGGTAACTAGCAACACCTTCGCGTGTGCACCCCAACCACCCAGGCGTCCTCTGACTTGACCCCTGCGACGGTGACGCTGAACCCGAAGTCGTCAGGGCCAAGGTAGCCCTCCTCTGGCAAGTACCACAACTTAGCCCCGCCCCCAGGCGCGGCTTGCACCCGATTCCTCGCCGCCACGGCCCCGAGCGACCTTGTTGACAGGCTCGGGCCTGAGCCGAACATGTCCGGACAGTTACGGGAACGATCCCCGCGGTCGCCGCCGCCGACCGCGTGGCAAGCACCGAGGTGGCGATCGAATCCATCCGCAGCGGTAATGTGATACGCTGTGCTGGTCTCTTGGTAATTCGTGGCGGTGGTGGTGTTGGTGGTTACGTTTGTCGTTGTTGTTGATGCTGCTGTCAGGGCTTCCGCGGCGTTGGACGCTCCTGCGAACAGCCGGCCGTACTTGGGAAGTGTTTCCACCGTGACAACGGAGTCCGTCGTGAAGCGGAACACGTTGCCGAAAAAGTCCGTCACCACCAGCTGAGTAGTGTCGTTCATTTCGTTTTCACGGAGTTCGTCCATCACCGGCGGCGGTGGCGGCAAGTCGGTGGAGGCAGCGCACGATTGTCGTTGGTATCGTTTCCGGGGGAGAGGAAACCGCTCATCTCTCAGGTTCGTTTGCTCTACAACGAGCTCTGTCATGAACTTAGAACTACATTCGTTTGGATCATCAGCGATGACAAAACCGAGAGAGCTCATAGCAACGAACGAAAGTACGGCACGACACCCGTGACGGGAGTCATACTCGGCGGGGACGGACCGCCAAAAATTAACCCCGTCTACACGAACAAGCCACACACCTCCCAACCAGCGACGCCTCCGTCCCCGTGGGCGTGCCGATTCGCGGCCCTGCCGATACCGGTGCCCACTGCCATTGCCGTCGTGTCCCGGAGCCGAAGCGTCCACTGTCCACTGACGGTGGTACCCATGAAGGCGGCCGTCAGGCTCTCTTCCGCATGGATCGGGTCCCACTCTTCTCGGACTGGAACAGGGTTCGACCGCGTTGGCCTTCAAAGGAGTTCGGGATTTGAAAATTGAAGCTATTGAAAACTCTTGGAAAAACGATGGTATGAAGGGAACAATCGTTCGTTCAGGTTGAATCGATCAGAATTGAGAGGCCGGAGGGAGGCCAGACAGAGAGGTGGGCGAGGGGCACGGCAGGGGTTCAGCCGCGTTCTTGACGATTTTCGGGGCCGTTTGATTAGGGTAGGCACTGAAAAATTCCTCTCACATACCGTACTAAGTCTCACTCCGCGTCGGTCCACACGCGGTTCATGGAGAGCGAGGATTCGAAAAACGTTTTGTGCAAAATATGAGCGAAATGTGAATAGATGCAAAAGTTGGAGATGCCTGCGGTATAAGTAGGAAAAACTCTCGGTTTCAAACAGGTCACACGATTTAGGGCATGCAATCAACGAGCCCCTTCCCCCCCTCTCCGCGTACAAGAGAGCCTGAAAATACACCGAAGGTGGACCCCAAATCTGGCCTGGAATAACCGACCAGCAGCATTTTGTAACAGCTCTGCTTGAACGACAGCATAGAGTTGACACACCTGCAGCTCGCTGGTGTGGTGGAGCATCATTAATCACTCTAAAACGCCCGCGCTGTACTCTGTCTGGATGACGAAACTCTTGGACGGAAACGCTTGCTTGACAGAAAGTTCAACACCAAAGGCTAGCCGCCAAAACCTCTCGGTTATTGGCATTGTTATATTTGGGAGTCGAGTGCTTTGTCGCGGTAAACGGCGGAGTCGCATCTGGATGGGATAAGGCGATACGGTAAAAGTATTAAATATTAATCCCAGTCTGTGAGCCCCAATTAACTCCCAGGCGTCAAATAGCATGGTTATTTGTTGCACTTCTTCCAAAAATATCCACCCTCAGTAGGTCTATCAGGATTCTCCAAAGCAGCATGACTCCTGTACCCCACCATTACCAAAACGTTGACGCTCGCTTACTTGGATAAGGGTAAGAACGACAGCTCGTACGCCTGTAGCTCCGAGATAGATAGGTAGCCGGTCCCTTCCAGCTGGACGCGGATGACGCGACCAACGATCCCGCCCGGGATGGGGATGTTGACCTCGGGCTCGTTATCGGGGAGGTAGACAGAGTAGCTGGCGGCGGCCTTGGCTTCCTCGAGGGTCTCCAATCTGCGTTTATCCGCCAGAAAAGCAGCATTGAAAAATAGAAGAAATAGGTGCTAACGTACCCTTCGCGTCTAGAGGAATCTAGGTAAAAAAACCTCGTCGCAGTACATTCTCTAAAGAACAGCACGTTTTCTTCGTACTTCGAGGACTGCGATTGATTTCCACCGCACGGGTGGATCTAAAAATCGTGTGAGATTGAACCTAGCAACAACAGACACCATCTCGGCCAGAATAAGCAGCGGTGAACAACATCAACTATGACGTTCCAAGCAACGATGATTTCTGACCACTTTGTTGTTGTCGGGTATAGACCCACACGCTCACCCCTCCGCGGCCTCCGTGGAATTGAATACCATCACCCAGCTAGGCCCATGCATCGCGTTGATGGAGTGGCTGACCCCATCAACATAGACCCTGAACGAAGGGAGAGAAAGAGTGTAATTCTTGGTTTGTCTTGTCAGCTTTGAACAAAATCGTTTTCGAGGAGGTGTGGGGAAGAGGGGGCATACGCGTGCATAGTTGATAATTCAGCAGTGGAACGTTGACCATGGCGACAAGGGCTCCCATCAAGGGTGTCGAGGGCCACGCCGTACCCCCGTACTGACCGTAGAAATGCTACCTATGTTGACGTAGAAAACCAGAACCTGCCTATTCGTCAAACACAGCACGAGAAAACACGAAGAACTCGTGCGGCCGGTGCTGCGGACGGCAAGGCACCACACGCCTAGGTGGGAAGTGCGTGACGTAAGGGCGAGGTATTTCCCATCTATCCGTCCAAACATCAGTACATACTTCTGTCTGATGGGAGTCGTTAATGATGTTCCACATCCTCACCCTCCTGGGGTCGTGCCATCCTGAATCGTGGCGAAAGTAAAAGTGTTTCCGAAGCTGGTCAGGCCCTCATCAGACCCAAGCCCTATCTGAGGAACGTCGCCAGAAGGAGACACAAACGTCACCGTCCACGTCCGCTGGTACACGTCCTCATCCTGCGAGGAGGGAGAACTCGACCGCGTCACCTTAGGTAGGAAAGGTCGGGAAAAGGGACAGAGCACAACGGAGAATGATGTTGTCGTCGATGTTCCTTTTACAGTTGTGGCTACTTAACCTGCCGTGGCTGTTGACGTTTACCTCTGAAAAGTAAATCTGGAAGCGCGTACCCTGGCATCGCGCAACTCTATCTTCTTTCGCAGGCGAACCCACGGAGAAACAAAGTGGTCGCGCTTAAACGAAGGCGGGGCATGGGGTCAGCCATGCTCCTCGTGCCGAAATTTCGTTGAGAGTAACACGGGGTAATGTCGCAGCCGATGTCTTTCTAAAAACATCAATAGAAGTATATCATCTTTGCAAGAATTTCGATATTTTTTTCTTCGGGTGTCGTCCCCCAAACCTCCGTTTCACAGCAGTGTACTCTGTTGTTGTGCGAATGGGACGCTCGAAACGACAACCGCCGCAGATATCCTGGCAGGACCATGCGTATCTACCTCAACCGAAGTGATGCCGGAGAGCTCCTCCAGCTTGGACTCCAACGATTCCCCCGAACCGGTGCCCGTGCCGTTTCCCCGTTCTTCTCCGAGCGCCCCGACCGCGTTGTATTGTATATCATCTACAGTTTTCAACAAGGAACGGACGGGATACGTAGAGGGAAAGCTTCGTGAACAGGGCGTGGGACACTGTACGTTTGGTAATGCTCCCTGTTCCGCATGCGCATATGTAATATGAACTCTCAGCATATCCACTAGCGGACAGTAGTCAAGGCGGGTTGTATGTTCAGGTTCCAAACTGTGGCGATGGGAAGTGGAGGTTTTCTCGTGGAGCCCCAGAGAACCGAGGTTGACACGTCCATCACAACGAACAGAACGACCTGCTCATCAACTAAACGAAACCTCATCAACTCAACGAAACGGGCAATCGCCTCAGGATGGCAACCTTCTCGATGCGGCATGTTCACTGTTTATGAAGACTGTGAACTGAACATGACGCGCTATCACAAGTTGTTTGGAGGTTGCAATAGATTCTGTTGTTGGCGTCGTGGACATATGCATAGCTGTTGTGGATGTTTTACTGCTCAAGACATTTGACGACCTCTTTTCACCCGAAGACAAAGACCAAATCCACCAAGAGAGGAATAGATAATTGATGAGAGGAGCCCCGGAACGGCCCCCAGCATGACAACGCACTCCCCGGCCCTCGTTCACCGGTCAAGCTGCTGGTGCCCAGAGAATCCGTGAAGTTCAGCGTGAAGCTTCCTCCCAGCGCGTTGTTGCTCCTGAGTGTTATCGTCTGGACCTCGGGTTTCACCACCTCATCCTCTCGCCCGAAGAGGCGGACGTAACCCAGGGTGTACGATTTAATAAACGTTACCTGAATGACGATATAATCAGGATATTCACACGCGTGGTGAAGGAACAAGGTGAATATTGACAGAGCAGAGAGATAAATTTCGTGGTGTGCATTGTGTGCATGCACTCCCCGGCCCCGCCGCACCTCTCGCACGCACCCACACTTGGGGATCAAACGCAACCCGCACGCACTCGGGAGGGTGGAGTCTTAACCTTGGATGTTAGTTGCCGACAGCTACGCTCACTAACTTCCTATGCACATTTTTTTTCACGATTCATGGTATTCACCAGCAAAGCCAGGACAGCATCTATTTTTCGTGTAGTGCACGAACTGAACAACCGGCTGATGTAGTACGGTCATGATACCCTGAATGCTTCCCTTTCTGGCCGTACACATCGCAAGATAAGTTCATACGCTATGAAGATGGCCAAACCGTTGGTCAAGCAACGAGACGACAATCCCCGCACACCACGCCCCCCCCCCCTGCTGCTGACCTGCCACCACGGCTGCGTCTCGAGGGAGGTCATCGTGGTGGATCCGTCGGAGAAAAATCGGCTAAGCTGGCCGTCAACTGCTGCCCCCGACACGCCCCCGAACATGGTGGAACTCTGCCTGGACACCGCTTGCTCGTGCTTGGCCTGATTTTGCATCATTTGTTTCGTCGGGTAGGGTAGGGGGAAGGAGTTCGAAAGGGTGGGATTAGAACGGATTGGCGAAACATTGTCGTGACATGATTATTCAGCAATGTCGTCTCTTTTGAGTCTCGAAGGAACGTGAAACTAAGGTTGGCCTCACATACACATAGTACAACAGCAGTGCGAATTGTTTAAGATGTGTAGTGAGGCCTGCTGTGGCGGCCGGTGATGTAGTGCTTTAACCATGTTGGCCTAAGCCCGCATTGAGGATCGCCCCAAACGTACGTTAAACGATGAAAAGTTCTGGAGTTTGTCGAAAAAGCAGCCTCAAAGCTGGCCACAATGGATGGCGTATCGGAAAACAATACCCTAGATCTCCTTTGCTCTTAGTCCTCATATGTAACCTAAGGCTAATGTTATCCCCAATGTAGCGCTCAGCCACCCTTTGAGTCTTCCAACTCCTTTGACGCACAATGCACAATCTCATCCACCGCCGTTTCCGCGAGAGACTGGCTCAGCGAGCCCGTAAATCGAAAGGGTGGCGTTGCGAAGCGGTGGGGCAACTCCCCAGCTCGAGTAGTACGACTGCAGGGTGGCCGTCATCAGCAGGGCTGACAAGGCGATACCACCCCACCCGCCGTCTGCCGATACGGACAATAGATACCCTTTAGTCAGGTCCCAACCGATGCTCTCGGGGATGTACTCGATGACCGCGCAGATAGTACAGACTTGTGGGTGTTCCGTATCTGCTAAAGCAACCGCCGCATCGCTCGAACGCCTCCACGACGTCCCAATGGACAACAAAATCAGTCCTCTGGATTACGGCAGACGAAAATACGCACGTGACCCCAACGTGAACGAAAGGCCGAACTCCGCCTCGTACAGCACAGAGTAATACCCTTAGTAAGCGCGATAGACTCCGCGTACGTAGGGGCGGCTTCACTTCCAGACCGTCCAGAGATCCGCAAAGGTATGCCATTGCTTTGCAACCCCGAGCGAGAGTCTTGCTGCGTGCATTTTAACCTCCGTTGTGTTGGTCACCGTGCACAGGTGGATTTAAACCTCGTCTTCCGGCTTCACACATTGATTGTCAGGCGGCCTTTTTCCTATTTGTGCTGTTCGACATGCAAACACTGACCACATTCTCTCCGACGACGTCAGCGAAGGCGTAGTCGTAGCCTATCCCTCTGTGCCAGTACGCTGGCCGCGAAGGTGCGCCAGTCGATGCGGCTAATTTGATCGGCGGATCAATCAAAACAGGATAGTGGCGAGTGAGGGCGGGAGGGGGGGGGTATCCTTGATTTCGGTTTTTAGACTGGGGAGACAGAGGGCACCAGGTCACTTTTTACGCTGTTCCCTACGAAGACACAACCGCCGACGCTATGCCAACCCAGGTTTGTTAGGGTATCCGCACAGTAACAATTCGATAATACATTATCTGCATGCAGAGTCAGCACCCGGAAGCTGACACATTATCCACACAGAATTCGCCCTCGAAATGTGGGTTTACCAATTCGGAACAAAACGCACCAGTGAAACAGCAATCAATCATGCCATCCACCTACGTACGATCCCAATTCACCCGCCCACCTGGATTCGGTCCAAACCCTCGCATGTGTCGGCGTTCCTCGGGAACTCCGAACTGCACTCCGGCGGGTCTGGCGCTGTAGCTGTTACTGTCCCCCATCGTCTCGGCCGAGGCAGACAGCACGCAAGAGTGCTCCTGGTGCAACACGGTGATCTCAAGATCCGACGCGTCGGCGTGGTAGAGCCCGCGGACGATAACCTCGGTCTTGGTGACTAGGTCCAGAAGGGATCCTGCGGAGTTGGATGGTATGTTGTGTGTTGGGGGTACTCATGATATTGCTTTCAAAGTCGGGCAAAAACGGGCTTCACATCTCAACAAGGCCAGAGAAGGTCGGAGTTTTCAGCCGAGTAGGCTTGGGGGGGGTCGGGGTGGGGGGGGGGAGGTCGGGGGGGGGAGAATCGAGCACAAGTCTAGGTGGAAGAGATCACAACCAAACTACAAGAACGATGTGACTATACATTAATTTGTCTATACCGGATCGTTCTGTAAGCTGTAAAAACTGTTCAAAGAGCAGCGCATCTGATTTGGAGCAGCTATCGACCTGTTCAATGAGAAGACCGACTGAATAAGTTATTTTTGCGTATGGAACAACGCACCCATATCCAAGAGAAACCCCACACGCGCAGACAGTAGTTTTGCGTTCTGTGTCAGCGAAAAAATTGGGCAAGACGTCTGACAGATGGGCGCCGTCCTGCTTCTATCGCTTCCGCGGGTCGGTTATGTTGTTCAAACACCCAAGAACCCACCCACCAACAAAGAAAATTGATTATACAACGAACGATGGTCCGATATTTGTAGACAGTGAAGTTTTTTAGGGTGGGACAAGCAACTAACTGATACCTGCATACAACACAGCCTTCGGATGCCGCTGTACACGGTAGGGGAGGACAATGTCGGCTCTTTGACCTCAGCCAATGAAGAATCATCCATGTCACAAAAGAAGGGACCGAACAGTTTCGTGTGGTTCCAGGTGTGCGCACACAAACCCGTTTCTGAAGCAGGGAGCAACCACACAGCACAATGTCAGAAAAATATCAGGTCTGCACACACGCACCCCCTTCTGAGGTCGGCAGGTTGATGAGCGCGTCCGTGGTGGCGGTCGTGGAGGCTCGTTTGATGGTAGCGTTGTCGTACAGCTCCAGTGCATCCGATCCTGTGTACTTGAAGTGCGACATCTCATCGCCGTCTCTAACCATGTATACGAAGGACAGGGCTCTGTGCTCGTCTGCTAAGCTGCATGAAACGGTGGGGTGAAGCGCGCGCGCGAGGGGGGGGGGGAGTCGTCAAATCCTGTGTGATCATAGAGCAATGCGTCTCGCATCCATTCACAAAGCCTGAGCGGAGAGCGTCATGTTTCCTCCAAAAGGGGAAGAGGAGTGATCAACGCTTACACCCTCCAGGTTCTGGTGTTGGTATCAAGGAACTGTGAAAGGAATTTTCGTGGTCATTTTGATTTCTTTGCGTCGCCCGTGACCCGGCAGAACTGGCTTTATTCGTACCACGGAGATGAACAGCGGGGCCCGGTGCTCAATTGCCATACGTCTGTCCCTTTCCGAGAGGAACACCCCCAGGCACACCCCGTAAGGTGACGCCAACTTGAACGACGCACTACCGTGAACAAAGGGCGCAAAACCATGGTCGCGACCAAATAACTGCAGCGTGGAAAATGCCTTGCAAGCAAAGCACTACTGTTACAGGTGTTGTCGATGATGCAAGCTTACGCCACACAAACTACAGTCAATTGAGCGTCTCTATTGGCCTTGCGGCGTTCGAAATCGTTTTTTCAACACCTGCCGATGTCGAACGAGGCGTCGTAGTAGGCGTAGGAGTAAACGAGAGAGTCCGATGACGATATGGTGTTGTTGGACGAGTCGAGGACGAAGGACACGCGGGGCGTGCCGGTGACGTTCACCGGCTTGTTGTAGATAACCTGGAAAACACACGGAAACAAAAAGTAACAAAATTAACCCCCGCGAAGACAAAATCGGGGGTGTCGACGGGGCCACAGAATGGAGAGGGTTGCTTGAAAATGAAGCAATTCAATCTGTTGCACGAGATATTGATGCTTTTTCGTGAGATGACTGGCCCTACTACATCGTACGCGTCGAGCGCCCTTGGATAGAACGCGCATCGGGCGCTGCTGCAGCTCCTATTCCGGACCCTTTGGATTGAAACAACACGCGTGTGCTCGACGTAGAGCAGGTTCTCCTAAACTTGTGGTACCTGCAGGTCGACGATCTGGCCCACGGTGTAGACGCCTTCCCTCAAGGACAGCACGGCGATGACGTAGGGCGCGGTGGTGTCGATGATGATGTCGTTGTTCACCGTCAGGCTGCCGTCCTCGCCGGACACTGGCAGCGTCGTATTCGCCTCCTGATGTGTTGTTCATTGCTTGTGTTGTTCGTTGTTTGTTTCGATGTGCAGCCGATGTTGCCAATAGGCCTGCTTAGCACACCGGTAACACGAGTTCTATATTGTAGTCTAGCTCTCAAAACCAACGTGCGCGAAACCAACAACATGTGCGAACCAAGAGAAAATGTGGAGTACAACCGCTGCGGATCAGCCTCGCCCGTTCGCACATGTGCGGGAACAGCAACTAACAGTGTCACCAATTGCATGCATACCTGGCACATGCGCGCTATATATCGCCCTCGTTACTATCTCATGGCACCTGAGTAGGGTTGTCCGAGTCACGAAGAACGGTTCCGTCCAGGCCGCCGCCTTCTCCGGCGTCGCCACCCTCGAAAGTCCCGAGGTCCACCGACTCGTCTCCCTCCGACACGGTGTAGAGGAAGGTGACCGTGGTGCTGCCGTTGCCGGACGAAAAGACGGCCTCGGCCGAGGTCGTCGTTCCGCCCGTGTCGATCAGCAGAACCGCGCCGGCTACAACCACGACCGGGTAGTCGAAGGTCACCGTGATCTCGATCTCCTCTCCCGCACCGTACTCCTCTGAAAAGGTTTTGCATGGCGGGTGATGTTTGGGTGCTTAGTGTTGGCGAAAATTCGCAGGACAGCGTAGACCGTATAGATAGGCGAGCAAGGTTTTTGTCTTGACGTCAACTCGCGAATGAAGTATCAACACGGGGTTATCTGTAGGCAGCTGGAGAGATACCAAGAACGAGCGGCATCACAAGCGTGTGTACTTGTAAAACTGATTCGGGTTGGGTACCCTGTGCTCATCGATTTCCCTTTTCAAGTGCTCCTCGAGATGTGCATGCGACTGAAGTGCTACATTTTTTCAGTCAGGACGAACATTTACCATTTCGTTTGCTGGACGCGACGTCGAGCACGTACGGAGGAAGGGTGTTGATCGTCAGGTCTTTGTTCATCCCTAACGATCCCTGACCGCTGGTTTCGGTGTCCAGAACAAGCACCATCGGCGTCCGCGCTTCGTCAACGCTCTGGGCGGTCGGCAACCCATAGAAGGGGGAAAAAGTGGTTTGATCGAAGAGGCAAAGGTAAGAGTGAAGTCGGGGAAGTTCATATTCTTGAGGTGATCAAATCGGCGTGCTTTTTTGGCACCTTTTAGCACCGCGCAGCAGTTTGGATACGTCGTACAAGGTAATCCATTTGTTCGTGTTGTTGTTGGCGGAAACAGACTTGTCCGTACCACCTCGCACAAAATCACCTACAAGAATCGATAGCAACAGCCGGGAGGCATGGCCACGTGGTAAACGCCTCCAACATGATCGTTTCTGCGCCAGAAGTTATGGCAGCCCTGGGTCGTCTATTGGAAGCACAACAGTTGCAACTGCATCTGGTCTCCTTGTCTGTCTTCCTGTCTATGGGGACATACTGTACGTTCGACCGTGGTGTGCTTGTGTTAGCCAAATACGCGTCGTCTGTCTCGGGTTAAAGGCAGCAACGCCAGTGTCAAAGGGAATCTTACAAGCTACCCCAAATGCTGTGACCCCGGATAACCCGGGGGAAAGACGCATGGGAAAAACAAAGTCACATTTGAGGCGGTGGTCGACCCTCTCTCTGGTGTTTCCTTCTTACCCGGATGCTCGAGCCTTCGGGAACCACGACAGAATTTTGCCCGTCGGTGTCTAGGTTGGGCGTGGCATCCCCCTCCGAGACGGTGTACAGGAACGTCAACACGCCGTCGTCGCTACTACCGCCGGAAACGTACACTCCCACCACTTCGGGGCCTGCGTTCAGCTCCAAAAAGATCGTGCCTGCGACGGTCTGCGCAACAACAACCCAAGAGAGAGCGATGCACACATTTCATGGCGATACGCCTCAGAGGTTTGTTCTTGGTTGGTGTACGTTGTGTCCGTTTGGAACAGAGCTTTACCAAGTGGCATCCGTGTCGTTATATGCGAGGTAGTGCAGTTTTCCGTTCTCCACCGCGTATCCAGTCTTTGTGGAACTGCCTCAGTCTAACATTTTCCTCGTGAAAGTGATACCGTACGCAACGCTTTCGTTGACAGGAGCGGTCTCTCGCTCGCTCGTTCGCGTACGCCCACACTCACCACAGGTGTCGAAAGATAGACGTCGATGTAGATTTCCTCCCCTATGCCGTACACCCCGTCCGGTTTGGTCGAGTTTACCTGTGGGGTTGCCAGAACGAGGTAGTTTCGCAAGCATTGGAGGTGGAATCTCTGGATCTATGTCGTCTTTTTCGGCGTAGTATTACGCGGAAGGATTGTTGTCTTTGTTGGAGATGTGAACGCCCTCGTCCATCCTAGTACCAGCTAAAGACATTTTGAATGACCTGTCGACAACTCTACCGATCACCGAGATCAACCTATATAATACGTCCCCTCCGACGGATCACATGAGAGCGCAGGTGCCACCTTGCTGATACTTGCGGTGTCCGCTCGCCCAAAGCGCTTCAAAAAAGGAAACGTACATGTCGTTGGCGGCTGCCATCCGAGCGCTCACCGGCATGGGATCGTTCACGATGTGTAAAATATCTGGTTCGTGTAAGAAACTTACCACACCAATTCACCACCATCACCACCACCCACACCCATAACTTTAACCACCCCGTGCCCACCCAAAAACTCGTCAAACAACCGCCAACAACGCACATCCAAGATGTACCCCGTGGACGAGTCCACGATGATCTCTGACGACCAGCCCAGGCTTCCCGCGGTGCCCTTCGCCGGCAGCGAGATGTCGGCCGGGGTGGAAGGGTTAGCGCTCGCGCGAAGGATGTCCCCAATCCCTGCAGACAAGGCGGCAGTGGATGCGTAGTCGAGTCGGCTCGATCCGTCTCCCTCTGCCACCTGTGGCGTGTGTTTTTTTGTCGTTGCCGTCGGTAAATCGACAACGTCGCGAAGCACGTGTTGCATGCGTCCGGATCGAGGGTGTTAGCCGATGCCATCGATTGTTGTTGTGGACAGGGGGGAGGGGTCGCTATGGAGGTGTGCATGTGCTTCGGTGGAGTTGGCACTGGCAGTTATTTAGCACACGGACAAGTAAATTTCTCGTGTAGTATTTGGACTGCTGCAAAAAAGTCTCGGACGCAAGGGACGAAAAAGTTTTGATGCCCACCAACAAACGGTAGTTTGTGCATGGCTTTCCTCGCCGTGTTTGTTTTTCTTTTCGAGCCTGGCAGGCCGGTAGGGAAACAGGCAATTGAACCGACACACATCAACCATCGTCCTTTTTTGTGTATCTACAAACTACATTGCACACGTGCCTCGTACTCGAACAAGAGGTCGGCGGTCCCGTTCCCGCCGGCGTACGTCGCGTTCTTGTCCCCGTTCTCCCCGCTCGCGTCGAGCTGGAGCACCGGAAGCCCCTCACACCACGCGACATCGCCATCACTGCTGCTACTACCATCACCGCTACCGCCGGCGGTACAGTTGGCCGGGTAATCCCCGCCGTTCACGACCACAACGGGGGAGCTGAAACGGACGGTTATGCCGATGACGGCGCTCGTTGCATACGTCCCGTTGGGCTGGGTGCTCGTGGCGTTCAAGACGGCGGGCGCGGTTGTGTCGATCTCGATGGTCCGGTCGTAGCTCAGGCTCTCCGGCTCCCCGGCCTCCGGGAGGGTGATGTTGATCGATGACGTCGCGTACCTATCGTGGTTTTTCGTGTTGTGTTGGAGTGACTTGTGGGTTGTTGGGGACGGGGTGTTCTTCGCAGGCCAAGGCCGAGTCATCTTACTAGTGATGGGTGCACTTTCTAATGTTCGGTGTGGTCCACTGTCTGTCATCCACTGCGAGAAGTCTGCTCCCCTCTCGCCTCTGGGTAAACTTGCCAGTTTCTCTCAACCCCGTCTTTCGTTGTTAACCACGTCAGGAACCCTGCGGTGTTTCGTCTAGAGCGGGTGCTATTTCCCGGACGATACGCTCGAACTCCATAACTCTGTTCGTCTCACTGGTGTTTTTGCCACCTCGTTCGTTGCAAGCATTGTCGTCCTGTTACCGTCAACACCCTATTGGCGTTTCGCAAAAGGGATTGCGCAACCCCTTGCCTCACTCAGTATCACAGTAAATCACACCTCTCAGTGATTGTCATGTCAATCACCACGCGGTATTGAAGCGCGCGCACGGCGTGCTTGCCGTTCACTGCAGCATTCCAAGCGTGGTCACAAAGATTGTATGGTTTCAGGCGTTTGGGATGTCTCCAAACGCCTAGAAAACCATTTTCCATGTTCAATCGCGCAAAAATATTGCATCTGAGCAGCAACGCGAGTGTACGCAACACTGTCAGCACGTTTTACCCCTGCAAGTAGGAACACCTTCGACGCATGAAATCGCTTTGCCTCACGTGGCATTCAGGCGCACTGTCCCGTTGAGAGCGTACGCCGACGCCACCTCCAGCGCGGCGGTCTCGTGCCCTTCCTGCACCGCGTACGTGAACACGAGAGCGTTCTCGGTGGCATCCAGCCTGGATAGCTCCACCGGATATCCTCCTTCTCACAGAGGACCAACAACGAAAGGAGAAATATCACGAATTGATTCCTTCAGCTCGGAACAATTGTATGCTGGAGTTCCACGCTGAACCTGGTCCACAGATGGCGAGGACCAACGAGTGGCAATCCCGAAATCTTGTGGCACAGGGGCGAAGGTTTACGATTGAGGCCGTTTTCCTTTGGCCTTGCTGTTTTCTGGCTCTTCGGAGTTCGAATTCAAGAGCGCCATGTCACAGAGTTCGCCGATTGGCCGTCACAGGTCCCGGCAAAGAGACGTCTCATGAAGAGGTACGTCGTAGATGAGCATTTGTTCTAGGACTCGTGTGGGTGCCCATATCGTGATCCTGCGAACACAACCCCGCCTAATGGTCTTTGAGGCCACAAGCAATGGCGGTTGAACAAAATTGAATCATGAACCTTGAAGCGGGGCCAAGGCAAAACCGGCCCGGCACGCGAGTCTTACACTACGACGTGTGCTTCCCCTTCACCCTTGCCGTACGTCAACCCATGTCAGGGCATGTATGTGTCTTTGTACATGACCCTCACGGTCTGCGTAATTTTGCTCTGTGTTCGCTCACGGATCGATAGCCACACCACATGCAACAACTTCACGCAACATTGTTAACGTCCTCCGAACAAAAACTGCGTGTACGGCCACCCACTCATCCGCCAATCTCCTCACGTACAAAACTGTGACGTAATCGTCGTCGCACACTCTTTTGCTCACCACCGCCCACGGTATTGACCGACAAGAAAGACGTGTCGGATTCCAGCAGTATCGGAAATCGGAACCCTACGTACAGGTCGATATTTTCCCCCGCCCCATAGGTGCCCTCGGGCGTTGTCGACCACACCTGCTCGCAGACAGGAACGGGAGTTTTAGGTTAGTAGGTGCAGCGTGCCAACGTGAGCAAGGTCACAACCCCACCGTCGGATACAGCGCATATCTTTTACCTCTTGCCCCGACTACGCATGTCTTCAGAGTACCTTCCCCCCCCCCTCTCGATCATAACACTACAGTACCGCGTTCCACCTTTCAGCCTCGATTGTTTGTTCCTGTATAGGCTCCCTTCACAACACCGGCAAGGGCTGCAACATGCACCCTCGGATCGTGTATGTCCACCTCGTACGACCCCTGCTCCAGTGATAGAAGGCGTCAGTATTTATGGTACGGGACACGACCAGACAAAATCGGGAGACACACCGGAAACACCCTGGCAACAGAACTGTAACGTGGCGTAAAGCGAACTAACGTACGATCCCTCTGTGCTGGACAACGCCAAAAAGGATACTGCACACAAGAAAACAACAGAAAGGACCCCAGGGGGAAGAACGAACGCTATGCGGTCAAGAAAAAACGGACTCATGAAGCTGCTTGCGAATGGAGACCAACAACACGCCGAACGAAAGCTCACCCGCTCCACCAGCAGAACCTCGTCACTGATTACAATGTCTGTGTTCCAGCCCAGAGAGTCCTCCGCGCCCGGCTCCGGCAAGCTCCACAGGTAAACCGGCCACCCGAGCGTAGTGTCCTTGGCGACGATGGCTCCGAAAGGTGCCCAGAGTGCGTCGGCCGCGGGGGAAGAGTAGTCCAGGCGGTCTGTGGCGTCGCCGCGTTCCACGGTGTACGCGAACAGGAGCTCTGATGTTCCGTTGCCCGCCGTGTAGTTGGCGTAGGCGGTGCCGGTGCCGCCCGATGGAGCTATTGTGGTCTCATTGTCGTCGGTTGCGGCGGTGTCACGCACGTTGAGCAACAGGGACGGGACCCCGTACATGACGTACACCTGTAGTTTATGGATGGGTTGGTAGTCGAGGGGAGGGAGTGCAGGCTTTACATTGCCCAGAAGATACACACTCAGTTGTTGACGCCTAAGAAGGCCGCGCAATTTTCGGCACCAATCGGTCGGAGGGCAGGGTGCAGCAACAACAAGAATCGTGTCGATTTTCAACGAGAACAAATTTCGACTTAGGAGCCGCCGCCTCGTCTTCTGTGATTATCGAATGTTACCTCCACGCACATTGGCATATTTTCTCACTCATTAGGTTCCGGTTCGAAACAATGCAACACCATATAGGAAACGTAAACCACAACATCCGGGAAACTCAGACCACACAAACAGGAACTTTGAGCGGTGACAATGGGTGCGATGTTGAGCAGCAACATCAACACAGCGGCCCGCCCGTACCTCGACGGAAAACTTGACTGTGATGGGAATCACGCTTCCTTCCGGGTAGGTGCCATTGGAGAAAGAGCTGGTCGCTCCAACCACTCGAACGCTCTCCGTCTGCACCGCCACCTTGCTCCCCATGGCGGCGATGCTGAACTTACCAAGGACCGTAAGGGGCGACCCCGGCGGTGCTAACGTAAGGTCGGCGTCCTGTCGTGGTGGAGCGTACGCGAGGAGAGAAGGACCAAAGGAAATCAGCGCAACGAAATGCGGTAGGAACGCGCGTTTTCTCATGTAGCTCATGTCATTCATGGCTTGTGCAGGATGAGGTGTACCCGAAGGCAGGAACCGTCGGGGATGCTCCCAGAATGGATAAGAAACACACGCAAAACATTGTTTGTCGAGCTGTTGTTACAACACTTCTACTCTCATTGACATATGCCTAACCTGCTGGCGATTTCCGTCAAAGAAAAGAGTAACATTGAATTTTTGAATCTGAATATTTGACTAAAGAAGAGGGTTGGTGACATTACACCCAAGCATATGTTCGGTATCCGTGATTGTAGCTACATATAATGGCCGGCGTTCGGGTACCTGCGAGGGGTTTGTCGAGGACCGCTTGATTGCTGCCCCGCTCCTCTCCATCGCCTGCTGCCAAGTCTGGAAAAGAAGGAACGAGTCCGCCGACTCGTAGTCGAGGAGCTCGGTGTAGTCCCCGTACTGAACCTGCAATCACCAACACGAAAGAACCCAAAAATTGTCATGAGCGGTAATTACTGACCAGATGAGGAAAGGCTGGTTGTACTGCATGAGGGGCTGCAACCGTATCGAATCACGCCACGGGGCTACTAACCATCAATGCATTCGTACGGAGACCCGATTTTATTCTCGTAAGCCTCTCACGAACTCGGAACCCGCCCCCAACTCCAAGAACCACGCCGGCGCACCGTGTAGGACAGCTCGAAGTCCGCAGTCCCGTTCCCCCCGGAGTACACCGCTCGGGAGCTCCGGTCCGACCTTCCCAGGCTTAGGCCGATGGACGGTGTGCCCTGCGCCTCTCCGACCACCACGACCGGCTGCGAGAAGGCGCAGACGAGGCCAATCGTGTCCCCGGTGCCGTAGACACCGTCCTCACTGGTGACGGTCACGGAGCGCACAAAGGGGGCCTCGGTGTCAAGGGTGATGTTCCTGTCGAAGGAAATCGTGCCGGGGTCCCCGGGGACGGCAAGGAACAGGAGAGCGTCCACTGAGGGCCTGTCCGAGGCGGCCTTGACCTGCGTTTTGGTGGGGGGGTGGGGGGGTTGGCCAAGGAGGATGGGGGGAGGAGGAACGTGCGGGGGCTCAGCCCTTCAAAGCAATTCGCCTCTTGCAGGCTTTGCGGACGAACGACGACCGTCACAAGCAGGTGGTTTCCTACACCTTCAAACTTGCAGTCAGAACCTTGTCAAATTCGGTGAGCAACGAAGTTTACTTGTTAGCTCTTTCTGCAACGCGATGGAATCCCAAGCGTTACCAGCATGAAGTTCTAAAGGTTACCATTTATCTAGGGGGAACCTATTCCGTAACTCTCTGGAGTGGCAACAACAGGGCGTCGATCGGTAATAGTAAGATTTTCGCTCTGCGGAAGACCTAAGGAAGACTCCGATGCCCACCTCTGCTGCCGGCGCTTTGACCAGTGCCGTGGAGAACTTTTGGCGACCGTTAGTCCGCGTGTCCAGGATATCGAACCTGTCTGTGCTGTCGCCCTCCACCACGGTGTACCGGAACGTGAGCGTGTCCGTCATGTTTCCACTCAGGTAGTTTGCCTGCAACATACGAAACACACGTACGCGTATGGGCAGGGATGAAGAAACATAGGAAAACGTCGTATGGTCGCGGCCTGCCCCCCGAAACGTCGCAGAGGAGGCACAAATACCACACATAGATGACTTTCAATAAACTCAATCGTTTCGGGGTAGATTGCAGTGCATTTTATGAGTGCTTGGCAATGGCGACTCTCCCAACACATGAGTGACCCCCCCCCCCCCCCTGTTACCCATGGCACACCTGCGCGTCGCCTCGCCGATCCTCGCCGGTCTCGACGAGCAGGTAGGGCAGCGATATCGATTTTTTCACGTACACACGCGTGGTGAACAGCACCTCCAGGTCGATCACTTCGCCCACGCCGTAGGCGACGCCGCCCGGGGTCAGGGGGCACGACACCGACACCACCGTCGGCGTAACGTCTCCGGCAATCGTGATCGAAACCCTCGCTCCAAGCGTGTCCGGGGACCAGACGGGCGGCAGGGTGGGGTCGGCGTCTATGTCCTCGTCGTACTTGGACCGGACCGCCGATACGGGTTCCTCGGATAACATTGGTGACGATGAGCCCTCCGTGGTGGTGGGGAGGTAGAGCGCGTTCGTGCCGTCGTAGTCGAGGCGGATCGTGTGGTCGCCAAGCTGTGTTTTAAGTGCACCACGCGTGTTTAGGTTTGTTTGTGTTCGGGGGGGGGTGACGGAAGGAGACACGGGAAATGATGTTGGGTGGGATGCGATGTTTCGTGAGCAGTGGTGGCAGCAACAACAGGGAGGAGGAAGGCGAGGAAGCCGGCATCGGATAGTACAATAGTGATTGTGTAGAGGGCGGATGGCAACGCTTATGCATTAAACTCGTTCCTCGACAGAACGAAAATCTAACCCTTGATGACCGACGAAAGTAGACTTGAATCCAAGCTAGCGCGTATGCCAGACCGTCGAAATACCACTCGATACGTGCCTCTATTTTCGTGACAAATGTATAGAATGAGGGGATTCATCTAAACGCGCACCTCAACAATGTACTCGAAGACGAGTACAGACGTCCCGGATCCGCTTGAATACACGGCCCTGCGGTTGTAGTAAGGAGCGTCGCCTACTCGTAGGGTCAGCAGAGGAGTCCCGAAGATCACAACATCGTTGTTGTATACCACCTGGTTCAACGATGACGTCACGTTGTTTCATGGGAAGATTCGTACATACAAAACGAAACGCGGCGGGGAGCAAGACAAGGGGTAGACACAAAAGGCACAAAAGGTTAATAACGTGATCGAAACAAGTCATGGAGTTTGTCAAGTTTCTGTCCTCCCAAAATATTTTTTGTGCTCGCAGCGTACTGTATGAGGTCCCACCGCACATGCGCGGATTTTCAAGAAGATGGCTTCTATTCCGTTGGCATTACCGTCCCAGATGTCCGCATGGTTCCAACTGGAGATTCACAACTCCCGCCCCCCAAAGGCTTATCTTAAACACGGGGGTCAGCTTCACGATCTTCGCCGCATCTGACTAACCTCCCCGATGGGATAAGTGAGACCTTTAGCTCCCGTACAATGCCCCACTCCATGAAGGCATTGATCCCACATGGCCCACCGGTTTCGCTCTGAGCAGTGTTGAAATCCACGATGCTTGTAGGAAGGGGAAAAAACAAGCATTCACCTGAACGAAAATGCTCTCCCCCGTGTAGTAAACCCCGTCCCCGTTCGTGGACGTCACGTACAGGACGACGTTCGACGTGTCCACCACGAGCGCGCCCTCGCCTTCCCCCTCCTCGGCCTCCAGCCTCCGCCACTCCTCTCCCCCCGTAACCGACAGCTCCGAGCCGACCGCGGGGAGCGTCACGTTCACGTCGTTCCCGGACTCGTCCACGATCTCCGTCGTAGATGTCGTAGATTCGCTGTCGTTGGCGGACGCGGAGACTAGGAGGGAAAGAGCGCCAGAGTTGGTGTAGGAAAGGTCTGAAGAATAGTCCCCGGGGGAAACGGTGTACGAGAAGGTGAGCGAGTCGGCGAAGGAGCCTGCCGAGGGGGACGAGCAGGACACCACGTCGAACGGCGTGGCGGTGGCGAGCTCAAGCGTAGGGGGCTCGCCGGTGTAGCGCACCTGGTTTTTTGTCGCGTTAAGGGGTGGCGTGGGTAGGAACAGATTATTGTTGTTCTCGCTGAGATTGAGTCGAATATGCTTTTGGGACGTTTGGATTGGGTCGTTGTGTTGTTTCTCGTACCATCAGAGGAAACTCAGGGAGGTCTTGCCAGCAATTCTTTGGGAGCAGTCATGGAGACAGACTGTCATTACACAACACCATCGCCACGAGAGTCAAACACCGGAGAATGGCTCCAAACACCTGTCTTGCAACTATGCAAACTGCTGCCTCACGCGTCGGGTAAACCATGCCAGGTTCATTGCTGGCGGAAAATCGCGCCACACGCCACGCATGTTGTAGTGGCGTTTGTATTCACAGCCGTACCATATACTGCATACCTTTCGGGAAAAATGTGCCGTCAGGGTCGCCTCGTCGCCAATGCCAAGGAGTCCCGTTGAAGGGGTGCGGGTCACGTTGTGTACGAAAGTGTCCTGTTGCCATGGTCGTGGTCGCGGTCGTGGTAGGGGGGTGGTGGGGCGGGAGACACACAGAAGGTGGGGCTCGGTTGAAACACGAAAATGTTGCGAACAGATTGACTTGTCCTCGTGTGCAGTTCGGCGATAGCTACGCTGCATGCGACCTGGATTCAACCATTCGCCGGTATCCTGATCACAGGTGGCGATCAGTCATTGCCAATCTGTCGGACACCCCAAGAAAAACCTGTTGTTTTAGCAACACCACTCCCTATCGTGTGTAGATGTGTGACCAATCGTACTCTTACTTTTCTACTGTCAAACAAGAGTAACAAGAACAACTATCTATGGGTCCGTCTCACACGACAAACCTACAGGGTTGACGACCCAACGCAAAGAACCGTGGTCGAGATTCACATTTCGTCCTTCTTCCTGTCTGTCCTGGCGGAATATGCGGGGCAAATCCCCATCCTGGTTGATCCTTTCAATGCCGCCGTCGACCGACACGCTAGTGTTTCTGCCAAACGTTTTTCTACACGCAAAGCTAGCAAACCAGGACTTCAAGATCAATCCAGTATTAACACCGTGGACGCCACCCCAGGCGATATTCTTACTTGATCGGCAGCGTGAACGACAATGTCTGCGTTGTGGCTGAGACTTCCGTTGTCGCCCGGCACCGGCAGGGCCAAATCGGCTGCGGTGAGAGGGTTGGAGCTCAGTCTTCGGATGTCCCCCACAAGAGAGGACGAGTCGAGGTATCTACGAACACGTGCAGCCGTTCGGGAAGAGGATACCGGAGACATTGAGAAAAAGGGGTAACCGTGCCGGGCGTGGTTGCCCTGTCATTGTGTTTTTCGCGGGTAGGTTATCGTCCTATAACTTTAGGAGCGATGCTACGGTAGAGGGTCACCTCGTCTTACACTTTCGGGTGAGTAAGGAGACAAACTCTACGTAGTAAACCTATTGGCCGCGTCCTGTTTTGATACTCGATCACCGAGGGTACACGCTTTTTCCCAAGAGTGCACCCCCCTACCGGAGCATCAATCACTATACGAGAGCAAGGTTCGATGGCGCATGCAATACACAATACGCATAAACAGTTGAATGAGGCCCTCGAGCGATACCTGAGGTCGACCGACTCATCGTCCGCGGCAACCAGGTACTTCAAAAACACCGAGCTGGAGTTGTGCAGCGAGGCGTTTGCTAGTGCTGATGAGGTAGCGTCAGTCGACGACTCGTCTTGCGTCGCATATACAGCGGCCGCCGTTAGATACGTTGTCGTCCTTGCCGTTGACGTCGACCCGATGACGACAGAAAGCACCGGTAGCGATAGCTCGTCTGTTGTAGCTGCCGTAGCAGTGGTGGTGGTTGTGGTAGAAGCAGCCTCATCGACTTCGGGAACCGTTACCGGAAGCGAAAAGTCGACCCGGATTTCAACTTCTTGGTTGTATCCGAAAGGTCCTGCTCGTCGGCACAAGACAACGATGCACGCACAGGTTCTCTGCGGAGCTTGTTCATTTTTCTCTCCTTGTTGTTAGACGTGTGTCCTGCGTGGTTTTCTGCTCGCACAAACCAAAGGGGGCTCGTCATTCACTGTTGTAGGCCCTTGGTGTCCAATCGGTACAAGACTGGTCTTGATCGTTGTTAATGTGAGCTGCTCTCTCTCTCTTTCTGTCTCTCTGTCTCTCTCTTCCTCTCTCTGCCTGTCTCTCTCTCTCCCTTCTCTCTCTGTCTCTCTCTTTCAACCGATCGCTCTCTCCTCTGCCATCTGTCTCACTCCATCTTTCTTCGCCTCCCTGAGGTTTGTGCGCAAAGACTACAGGGTGCGCATGGCCACGATTACACCTCGCCCTCCCACCCTCTTACCGTTGCCGTTTACACCGTACACGCCGGTGACCACGGGCTGCGTTGTGTTCACGACGATATTGCTCCCGCTCGCCCGTAGCGGCTCGTCCGGTAGGCTCGTGTTACCGTCTGTAAGGCTCCTGGACTGGTGGCGCCTGATGTACGACGTGGATTCATCAACCTCAACGGTCGTGTCGTTCCCGACATCCAAGCGCCAGGCCGCGTCAGATTTCTCCACCTACGGCGCAATGGCAGAGGTTTTTTGTGGACGGAATCAAAACATTTTTTGGCACTTGGCTTGAGCTTGGCTTGAGAATGTGGCCAGATTGTCTCCAACGTCTCTTTCAATTGAGGTCTGGGTTTATCAAAACGCCGAGGAATGTGAAGGGAGACTCGAACTGGTTCACCTTGAAGCACTCATTGGGGACCATACACGCTGAATCACGTGTTGTTTGGGTGGGGAGCGAATGGGGAGCGAATAATAGTTGACGACAGGACTGAAGTCGGCACGGTGCACGTGTACGTTTGGTTGACGGGTATTTAGCAGTGGATGCTTCGACCGAACGGAGGCCTGTGGAAGAGAAGCTGCCCATCCACCGCACATATACCAATGCCGAAGGGTTTGTATTCACCAATCGTATGTCATTCCCCTCAAAACAATATGGTCAACATGTACCAGTACCTGATATAGGAACACCAACGTGTCTTGAACGATACGAGTTGGTTTCGCGTTTGCCGGAACGAACGCTTCGCAGCCCTCGTAGAAGTTCCACGGCACCTCCAGCGCGGACGGGTAGCGTTCGTACGCCGCGTCGCCCGCGGTGAACGATACCTAGCATGATCATCAGCAGCAGCAGGAGCAGGAGTTTGTAGGGCGTACGAACTTATCGCCACACTCGTCTAGGCAAGGTTTCATGATACATACGGACTCGCGCTCCAAACGTTGATCAACGAAAAAAAGTGTTGTAACGAGGCTCGGACACTGAACGAATGCTCGTATACAGGAAACGTTGCACTAGACCAGTTGCCCAGCCTAGGCTATCCAGAAGTATACCTCAAAGTTGTAGCCCCCCTTTGAAGCTGAAACAGTAACGTTGTCGATGCCGCCGTCGGAAAAGGCCTTGAGATTTCCCAGCGCCAGTGTTGCGTCCTCGCTCGAGTTGAAACTGCCGCATCGCATCGCGTAACACACACGTGCACCACGAATAAACCAAACAACCTAAGTGGTCACCGTCTAGCATCTCACGATACATCACATCACATCAGACCATTGTTCACCACAACCTTTTAAACGGAGAGATCAGGGTATCTGTGCCATTTGCTGTCGCCAGAAAGAGTTTTGTCACCCTGTTTGGCGAAGGGTGGGTGGGAGGGGGGTGGGGTCACGTGCGTTTGAAACTAGTAGCATAGCCGTTTGTCTACTGTGTCGCCCGTGCAAGCTAGACGCAATCTTCAACAGGCGGTGGTGGTTTCTTTCTCGGCACCAACAACGTACGTACGGGTCGTTTGCACTAACAAACAGAAACACTATGAGTTATAGTCTTTGCAGGGAAAATAGGAGGCCCACCCGATGCAATCCGTGGTCTCGCCCTCGTACTGAAGGCGAAACGATCCGGCCGTGACTTGGGCAACTCCGAACGCGAAATCGGCGTCATCGTCGCCTGCCACAGACACAATCTAGTACGGCGGCAGCGTTGGTGGTGGTCAGTCCTGAGACGGCGCAACGACTGGCGAAATGATAGGGATAGCGTGGACTATGGGGTAACTGTAATTCGCTGAAAACGGGCGCGTGGGACGTGTAAATATCTCCCGACAAAGACGCGACGTGAATTATAACTGTTGAAAATGATCGCAAGAGGAACGACGGAAAGAGCTGCTCGATCGTGACTGACTGCGACGAGTTCCATTGAACGGAAAGACGTTGATGGCGCTTTCGATTACGCTGAAACGGCTGCTTGATGGCGATTTTGCTGTTCCGTCTTGGAAGCAGTACAGTTCGATCTCCGAAGCAACTGAGACCTTCTTCATAGATTCCACACATGGTACATGCTAACTTATATTCAATGTTGTTTTAGAGTTATTCCGTGCTTACCAGATAGTCTAAAGCTTCAGAAAAACTATCAAGGGGAAACATGTGCAGCGTGGTCTTCCCGACGTTTGGCGATAAAATACACGTATACATGTTCCTACTCTTCTAACCGACCTGCTTCCGCCCCCCCAGGGTGAACGACGCCTCCCCTCCGGAATTCAGGGGCACCGTTGGCGTCCCGAGGACGTCCATAGGGTGGCTGTACACCACGTACAGGGCCACCTCCTCGCCCTCCCCGTACACGCCGTCCTCCTTTGAGGTGAAAACGGAAGTCACCTATGCGGGTCCCGCGAAGTTGGTATGGGGAGTATGCTGGGGTAGTTGCAACGGAATCCGACATGCATGTGAACGGGCGTGACCTGTGGTTGTTTGTGTACTCGGGGGAAGAGATGTGCGTGCAACGAGGATCGTGTTTGATGTAATTGTAACGTATCGGCCACGGAAGTCGAGGCGTGCGTCGTGCACCAGGAAGGGGCTGTCAGCATGGAACCATACGCTACGTACTCTGGAGCGCTTCCGGCTCGAATCTCAACGGATAGAAAAATAAAACAGTTGTACTGAACGGCAACAATCTTTCCGTGTGATGTGTGGTTCTTTCAGTTCCACGCCTACCCTGCCCCAATAACACCTCGAAATATTCCATTGCTGCTCACCTGCGGAACAGAGGTATCGATGACGATCGCGCCTCCGTCTGCAGAGTAGTTGAAGCTGCCGGATCTGAGGGCCAACCAATTCCGAAGACATGGTTCAATGATTAATGCGTGCACGAGGAAAGCACTTGCCGGACTTGCTTTTCTTACTGTCGCTCGTCAACTCCATGCTGGCCACATCAAGCACGGTACGAGCAAGCGGATAGAGAAACAGCTTCTTCATGTTCCTGAGTGACAGCCAGCAAAGAGCCAACGATGTCCATCCGAAGATGGGATGAAGACAAAACATCATACTTCCTCCATGAATATCCTTGGCAAAATTGAGCCCAACCAGCACAGAACGCTGAACGAGAACCGAGAATAGCGAGAAAAGGTGGACTTCGTTGCCGAGATAATATGACGGTCACGAAACTTCTGCAATCACACGCTCACGTACCTGCTAGGTAATCGGAGGTCTGCATCTACAGACGAATAGAAGCTAGCGCTCCGCACGAAGCCGCCGTTCCTTGTCAACGCCGTTTGAGAGTACGGGCCCAAGGATGGCGTCGAGTCTCTCTCCTGACACCACATGGCAGAGCATGGCTATGTGTTCAACAAAGCATCAACAAAATTTCACGCGAACTACTGCTCACAGAATTTGTGTTGCGGTTGTATGGTCGTGAAAGAGTGACATACGGGAATCCCGAGGAGGGGGAAGGGAGAACGAAGATACACAACATCTTGCTGATCATTACGTTGTCAACCGTGACAAGGGCAGCCTACACGGAGACAAAATCCGGATAGATCCAGCGTCATCAACAGCCGCGACCGGTGCAATGCTGATGTTGCGCTGATCTCCGTCGCGAGGGAGGGGAGGGATGGAGCGACGTGCTAAGAAACGAGCGCGAACACCAACCTGCACAGTGGAACGAAACGTCAACACCGACGTCCCGTTTCCCGTGTAGAATTTGGCCGCCCTGTCTTCGGCCCCGGTTTCGAGGAGAAGCTGTGGAGACCCGTCCTCGTCGACGATAACATCGCCAGAAAATTCCACCTATAACTCGTGACACCAAACAGGCCAGCGGCGTTCGCAGATACTTTTACACAAGGTGATTCTATGAATGGAAGAACCTGATCACTACTGCTAACGTCATGGCCGGGGGCGGAGCCAACGGGTGTATTCCTATGTGAGTGTACCACTTTCAGCCACATTTTCAACGTGAGGGAGGAGATGTGGGAGAAATGAACAAGGCTAACCAGAATTTGTCATCACTTTTCAAACCGTGATTTAAAATGCCGGTCGACTCTTAACTCGTGCCACCACAAGGTATGGTCTACACCAACGAGGCCTCTCTGCTACGACATGGGACAGTACGCAGAGTACGACCCACGAACGTATGTATCGCTACAGCGACCGCACCCAGAAATAGATCCTCTGCCCCGCGCCGTACTCCCCCGCGAAGGCCGTCGCCGTCACGTTCAGCACCACGGGAACGTCCGAACAGTCCACGACCACCGGTGGTAAATCAAAAACAGAAACAGCACCGTCGTCGTCGCCGCGAAGCGAGAAACCGTGGAGCCCCAAAGTACCGCTAAAAACTTCTTCTCCCTCTTGGTTGTCGTTGCCGCTGCCGCTGGTGCTGGTACTGGTGCTAGTATCGCCGCTGTAGAAGGTCAAGTTAGCCGCTTGGGAAGGTGTGGTGGAAACACGCAGGATGGTGGAGCCATTTAGCTCTAGGGCGTCCGGGCCGGCGATTTCGAGGCCGTCCGAAGTGTCGCCCGGCTACCGTATGACGTGTCAATGGCGTCCCAATACCATACCGATACCGTACCATTTTAATGCCATGCCGTGTGCCGGGTCGTGTACCATGCCAGGAGGGATGTCCACGAATACGCCGTGCAAAGAGAGAGGGCCAAATGGAAACAAAGGGAAGATAAAGCGGAGGTGGTGGATGTAGCATGGTCGAACTAACCACGAAAGGACGTTTGCTAAACCTACATAGGTAGCTGATTCGTTTTTGTGTACGCTTTGAACTTTGCTGTAACTCTCAATGACGATATATCCACCGAGGATGATATGTGCTGTTTTTTCCGACTAAGGGGATGGCACTACTATTAATTTGACACATCTGACAATGAACTTGAAAAGGTGAAAGGGCTTGATCACAACGGAGACGCATGGAAGGACGGGTCAGCTACACAGCCACGGGAAGCAGAAAAGGAGTAGCTAACCAACGTTCATACCTGGAGAGCGTAGAGGAAAGATAGCCGTTCGGTATCCGGTATGGAAAAGTCGGACGCTTCTAGAGGTGGATCAAAGTTCACAAGACAGCCCTGAAGATGAGAAGAGCGAAGACAGACAGGCAGGCAAGCAGTAAGAAAGACAGACAGGCAGATAGACGCCTGTAGAGAAGAACTTCTTCGTGGGGAACAAAGCACAATATTGCATGCCTACTTTTGTTTTCGTTATCGATAAAGGTCTGGCCAACAGCTCCTTCGGTTCCTTCCTTTCCTGGTACACACGACCAAGAGGAGAAATTGCCTCGTTCGAGAAAGACAATAACCGAAGGACCGCTGAGCTCTGACGAACCCACGCGTCTAACCGCAGGAATGCTGACCCGCGCCCCATCACTCTTTTGCCTCTCCCAGACCAGGTGCCCTACTGGCGCCCTTTGACCCACATCGCCTTGCCGAGACTATCTGGTTCGCGGAAGCTAATGTAGGCATTTAGTATTTCGCTTATCCGCGCCCCAGAGCGCAGTCAGGAAAAGAAGCAATACGCCTACGGTTAGGGCAAGTACCCCCCTCCACGTGCCCCCTCCCCTGCTCGTCACCGAAATGCCCAACGATCGTCTGTTCCGTATTGAAGCAACCCTTTATAAAATTGCCGCCGAAGACCAGACAACCACCGCCCCACCGTCATCACCGCTGACGGACATGAAATATCTCAACCACAAGTATTACCTCGGTGATATTTCCTGCAGGCGGCACCTCCACGGCGCTGGGGTTGCCCGCGTGAAAGACGACGGTGAACCGGAAGCCGTTCCCCCGGGGCTCGCGCGTCACCTTGTCGACCCCGAGGATATTTATCTACAGTATCCCGAAGAGTGAAACAAAGTGTGAGAGCAAAATTTTAGAGGGGGTGAAGCGGGGGAGGGGTTAAGCTGGTTGAAGACAGGTATTGGGGCGGTGGCTTGTGTTTCAATATGATCGGCATATTTCAGTACTAGTTAAGGCAGCCGCTGGCTGAAGTACGACAAACGTCACAGCGGCCATTACCGCAGGCGGCGTGGAAGGCGGGACGAGCAAGCAGGTCATTGTCGGCGACGTCGGGATAAGGGTGAAACCGCGAGCTGAAGCAACTGAATGCTGTCACCGGAAATGTGACACACTCCGCCACCCGTGATATTGAATCTCAACACAATTACCATGCAACAGATATAGCATGTGTCCCTCCGCAAGACCAGTTAGACACCAAGAATTTCTGTGATTAAACACCATGTTTGGGTTGAGCTCCAATCCAAGTGTTGGACATGAGGGTTGACATAAAACCAAAACTATTAGACTACACCTCGCTGATTCCACAAGTGTTCCTGCTGCTACTTCTATCACTACAAGAGTACTGCTGCAACTACTGTAGTGCACGATTTTTTACCTCTCCGAGCTCTTGGAGGCGAGATTTCACGCTGAAACCACCGGCGGCGGACTCGGCGGAGTTCACATCCATGCACTCTGACACCGTCCCTCCGTAGGACAATCGGAAATGACCTTGCGTTACGGGGCTTTAAACGAGGGGACGACAACAACGGGCCGGACCAGTGGCGATATCAGAAAAAGGGCAGCACGACGGGAATTTTTCAACAAGAATCGGCGGGGAAAGTTATGCGGGTTCTGCCTAGGTAGGTGAGCAGGCGGGTGGCCGTGGTGGCTTGAGGTGCAGGTACAACACGATTTTTTCTCTATCGCCACGTTCTACACGCAGACACGCGAGTGGTGGGCGGGTCATCCGCTTTTCAACCCCCACGATGTTGCCCCTTCGCATCCCTATCCCTATACCACGCACGGCTGTACCAGCATGAAAAAGTCGCCACGAGTCGACGAGGCTTGGCGATACCTCTCTCTCGATATCAGAGGCAATTCGCAGACCGTTCAATAACCAATTGCACGCATCTAATATACAGCGCTTTCTTCACCAAGACTGCAAGCGTCAAATCGATCCTTACCGTGGAGCATCCACACCCACGTCCACGAACTGGGTCAAGCCCGGGACGTGTTGGGCTGCACGTATTCCATCAGAGGTGGAGTTGACGACGCTAGTCGCAGAAACGCCGTCGGATGCGGCTGTATCGTTGGTTGGATCCACTCGCAGGAGCAAAACTGGGTTGCCTTGCGTTGTGTTGACGGTTACAGGGGCCGTAAAGTGCAGGACAACCTACTCAAGGCACCCACAACGGACGGTGAAGTGTAGCCACCGGAGGGAGAGGAATCGTGAAGAGAAGCGTACAAATGGGTCGGGAAGGGCTTGTTGTATCATATCGAACGAGGGCGGAGAAAGGAGATAGCTTGTGTTGGTTGGACGGCTGTTGATCAACAGACTGCGGCCAACACAAAGAGGAAACCCGCTACAAAATTGACATCGGGTACGGTTGCGTTTTCATGAGCCCGTGCGATTGAACCTTTATTGTCTTCGCGTTTCCAGCAACAAGTATACAAACATACCGCATACACAAGCATCGACCACCAACCAACGACCTACTACTACATTCTTGCAGAAGCACGCCATATTGGAACAATCACAAAAGTGTACATCACAAGACAAAGAGCCTAGTCAATGCATATGTAGTCAAAGCATGCACGGAACGAACTCGATGCAAAACAAACTGCATCAAAACCATACCTCGATTGCCCCCTCTTGCAAAGCTACAGACGCATCTCGATTAATGATGACGCCAGATTCGTCGCAGTCTCCGACCCCGTCGCCCTCAGTATCTTCGCACTGGAGCCACCCGCAGTCGTCGTCGGCGTCAACGACCCCCAGTGTACCTACCCCAACCTCCGGCGTGTCGAACTTCACCGCAAATCTACGCGCGTCGTCGAACGGAGAGTCTTCTTCCGTTATCGTTACGTTGAGGAAGTCATTCGACGTGGAGAGCGCCGCGGCGACGGCGTCGACCGTAAGAAGCGTCGAGTTAGCGCCTATACATGGCGTGATGATGGTGCTGCTTGTGCTCGTGCTTGTGCTGCCACTGCCGGTGCTGCTGCTGCTGCTACCTCTGCTGATGCCGTCGTCGTTGCCATAGGACAGGCGAAAGCCGCCGGAGGCTAGGGGTCCCGGGGATCCGTAGACGTCGACCGTCTGCGAGCGGCCGGCGACACCGCGGGGCACTCCGTCCGCCGCCGTTGTCGACACGCGCTCAATCGAAGGCGGAGTTGTCTGATGCCGTCAAGGGTGGTGGGTGATGTTTGTATTTGATGTGTTGTATGCCCAAAGGCGGGGAAGCATAGGCGCATGAGCCCTAGATTTAGATCGAATCTGGATGCGGGTCCTGCTAGTCACGTTACCTTGACAACGGTTGTCAGATATCTTGTACGCAAGTGAGATTCACCTCTGGTCACGATTCGCGGCGTGAGCTACGGGCTCACCATGATTTGACCCTCGAGTCGACGAGCAGACGATACGTCTGCACCACGACAAAGCTTGTACTTGCTATTGGCGAAATAAGCAGGCCTCGGACGTTGCTGACGTGAAAACAATTAAAGAACCCTAGAAACAGGTGCGCCGAAGAGCGCGCAATCGCTTGCCGTCTGGCCCGTTTTTCACAAGCGCTTTCTACGGAGTGTGTGCCTACAGAGACGTGCCAACCACCGGCAACAATAAAAACTGTCGTGAGTGAGAGTTGTCGTACCTCGATCCAAATGTTGCCGCGAGTTCCCAAGGACCCTGGTCGACCGTTGGTTGGCAAGACTAGAGAAACGTTTTGAGACGGGTTCGTGGACGACCGCAGGATGGACGACGAGTTGACCACCGACACTGCGCCGAGGGCGTTGAGGGCGGTGGTGTCGTTCTGAGGGAGCTCGAGAGCAAACGGCGACGTGTAGTCCAGGTCCGCGGTAGAATCCCCTAAGAAGGCGCGTCACGTTGTTCGTCCAAGGGAAAGGGTAGGGTTGCTGATGGAAGACACACTCGAGAGTAGTTGGTATTGAGCCAAACCTGCGCGGGGCATGGTCTCTTGATAGCAGTGTCGCCCGGGGTATATTGAATAGGTACTTTCCATACACACGAGAAACCTGAAACACGTCCGTAACCCCGGCAACAACGCAAAGCACGCGCACCTTCTCGCACGACGTAGACAAACACCAGGGTGTTGTTCGTGCCGTCCTTCAACGCTTCAAACGACGCGTAGCCATCGGCGTCGCCAAGGTCTAGTCGCAGCCGCGGGACGCCGTAGACCACTACCGGGGCGGTGTACTTGATCAGTATCTCGACTTCGTGACCCGGCCCGTAGTACCCGTCGGCGAGGGTCGATGTTACTTCCAAGACAAGTGGCGGCCTTCACTCGGTTTCGGATGGAACAAGCGTGAGCCGTGTGCACAGGGTGGATGGAGACCAATGCGATTGGGTGGCAACGAAAACGTTTCGGGGCCAAAAATTTGCTCCATGTTGTGGTGGGGAAAATGGGAAAGGGGAAAGCAAAGTTTTATGTGCCTTTGGTTGGTGGCAAGGAACAGTACTTCTCACATAAACTGATTTGAGTCCAAGTACATGTTGTGCACGTATGCTCACGGCACAGGAAAGAAACAAAAACAGCAAAAGTTGAACAACCTCGGGGCTGAGCTCACTCTACACTTGCCGACGGTGGCTCGCAATCCTTGGCGGGGCAAAAAGAAATGCAACTAAATAATTATGGCAAGCTCTCTCTCTGACACACTCAACCTCAACGTCACTCACTCTGTGTCAATGATAATATTCGACTCGCCCCCCGGCTTGGGCAGGGTCACCACCGCCGGCGCCTCTAGCGCGGCGTCGAAGATGGCGCCCTCGGCGGGCAGCAAGATCGTCGTCGTCGCCGTGACATCGCTGCCGACCACCGCAGTGTCGAGACCACCCGACGATTCGCCCTCCCCGACCGTGTACAAGAACTCAAGGACAGCGGTGCCGTTCCCCCCGTTGTATAAGGCGGTGCCGCCGCTGTTGAGGAGGATACTCGGTAGGCTCTCGTTCAGGGCAGTGCTAGTTTGGGGCCGCGGGGGGGGAGGGGGGGGAGGAGGAGCAAAGGGGTATGCGGGCGATATCACGGCAACCTACGGGAGGGGGAAACAGAAGGAATACGGACACGCTGCCATGAGAACCAAGAGAAGGGCGAGGTTGGGGGCACGCGTCAATGGCGACCACGTGTGGACCGTGAACATGTCGTGTGCATTCTGTTGTGTTGACGGAACATAAACAGTGTGGGTACGCCCCCGTTCTATCTTTTTCCTCCTATCCTCGACCGCAGGCGTGACAACTAGATACCATCACTATCAGCACCACATTCCCCATCGCTGACGTGACAAACAACTTTTGTTTGAGTTGAATCTCAAATCCTTCCATCTCTTTGGCAGATACTATCGCAGATCAACTTCCACCCCCGTTTCCCCCCGACCCCCTCGCGTGGCTCCTCCACTACGTCTTTTCTCAAATACTTAGCACAGCCCACCCGGTAGACACCCACCTTGGCAACCCCCTCCCTCCCTCTTCCCTCGCCTATAGTAGATACCGACCTGAGTAGCTTACCTATTCACGCTGACGGCGGACGTGAAGGTCACAAGCAGAGGTATCTCCTCGCCGACGCCGTACACACCGTCGGCTAGGCTTGTGTTCACGGCGATCACCCTCGCGACCTTTGTGTCGACCACCACCACGTTGCCGCCACTAAGACTGCCCGAGCTCCCCGGCTCTGGGAGGGTGAGGTCGGAGTCGGTGGTGGGCCAGGTGGAGGTGCGACGAAGGTAGCCGAAGTTGCCCGCATACCTCACGTCGAGCGCCTACAAAACGTGATTACAGTATCAAGGTCATAATACATCGTAGACAACGTGTTCTTGGCTCTTTGCTACTATTATAGATGGAAAACAACCAGTGCATGGTTACATAGCCACAAGCGATGTTTTGCTGTCCCTGCTCGCGTTCGTGGGGTCGGATCCGCGTTCCATGGTGGGTTGTCAGGTCGGACATTGCACGCGAACCTTCGGCGTGTCAAACGCCTGCGGCTCCATGTTTGATTTGGGCAAGGACTTTGATTGGATATGTTGAGATTTTCGCTCCATTTTGGGTAATTTCTTTGCAAGAGACGTCCTGTTGACACACCCCACAACACAGCTTAGCCAAACCGGCGAGATCGAACACTCTCACACGGGCACATCATAGAACGGCATTCTTGAACATGAGTGAAAGGCAACTTATAAAGTTATTGGACTACCGTATATTGAACAGTTGCAAAAACCGGTTCTTCGCTCGGTAGGCCAACAACGTAGCTAGCCCGGACACGACCAACGCATGCCAAGAACACACCGACAGTTCCCCGTGCGCGGGCGCATCCCAAGCGTCGAGAGCTTCTGTTTCGTCTCCCTCTTGGACCGTATAGATGAAGGTGATGGCTCTAGTTCCGGACCCAAAGGCGTAGTCAGCAAATTTTCCCGTGTCCATTCTGGACGGTCCATGTCAATGAAGGCAACGCGGCAGCAAGGGGGCGGGGGGCAGCCCGGGGGGGGGGGGGGGGGGGGGCGTACTCTTATGTTTTGCATGCCTTTGCGGTTAGACCATTGACCACGCGTCCTCGAGATGACGGAGCGTTGCGCCCAGAGGACTGATCTCACTGAGGGCCAATCGTTTGTTCCTACTTTGTCAAAGGTGTCTCAAAAATGTTTTCCCTATCCTATCGATATCACTTCCCGCCTTTTCAATCCACTTCGTCATGCATCACATCTTTGAGCAAATACATCGTCGGTTGTCGCACTTTGACTAACGGTCGAACACCAAACACCTACATTTACACTAGTATATTTCCCCCCAAACTCCGCCTTGGCAAGCTGTCAAGGGAGCGACAACCTAGGCAACATAAACAACAAAAACGTCCTCGTTCCGGATAATTACGCTTCACTCATCCCTAGGTTTCGCGTGTGTGGTTGTGGTGTGCCGACAGATTAATCCCTGGGCAAGGGATTTCGGAAGTAATATCAGAGACGATTCAACACCAGCCGCCTATTCTTGCGGCCGACCCAAGGGCAGGCCATTACCGTCTTCCTCCAAGGAGTGAGAGATACAGCTGACAGTTACCGGTGGGGTGTGTTCACCGGGACAAAACACACCCCTCTCAAACAGCACCGCAAAGCAACACGTCCATGGGAAAGTAAGTTCCGACCCGGTCCATGGTATTTAGTATGCCATTCTCGGGTAAGTTGGCCCGTGACCGCGGGAATCGACGCGTAAGTGTTTGACTACAAGTAGTATTACGGACAACATAAGGTACTGGGTAGAGAGAACGGAACGGTTTTTAATGTAAAGACAACAACAACAACAACAACAACAACAACAACAACAACAACATGCCTTGTTGTCACGAAGCTCATACTCACGTCGGGACACCTTGCCCAGAAGCCTCGCCCGACAGAGAACGCCTTTTTCTTCTCCGGCGACGATAACCCCCGCCGGTTGTGGCCCCCTCGTCCCACGCCTTCCTTCGTTGGAACTCCTCCAACGTCGTTGCAGCGATCGGTGGCGTTTCGCCCAGAGAGCCCGAGAGTGCCACAGCCGCAACCAGGGAGAGGAACACCGCGGCCCCCATCATGTACCAACCATACTGGCAATTGTTGCCAGCGCTTGTGGTGTATTCTTCTAGCTCCTCCTCCTGATTGCCACCGTGTGGCCGGGGGGTTTCTGAGGAGAAAGAGGAATAACGTGGAGGGCCGGGTGGGCTCTTGCTAAGTTGTTAGCCTTAAAGTTCGGCTTTGTCCGCGCCCCGCAGAGCTACAACCACGAGAGCACAACGTTCAATTGATCCTGCGTCCTCCATGGTACGACAAAATAAAGTAATACTCATGATCAATCGAGTGGTCTTTTCGCTGATCACCTAGAATGTGCTACGAGCCCCCCCCCCCCTGGTGTTTGCCATCGGGGTTGGGTTTTCGTCGCTTGGCAATGACGTTGTAAAACAAGCCCCCCCCTCGGTGTTTGCCATCGGGATTGGGTTTTCGTCGCTTGGCAACGACGTTGTAAAACATGCCGCCGCCCCCGGTGTTTGCCATCGGGGTTGGGTTTTCGTCGGTTGGCAACGACGTTGTAAAACAAGCCAGTTCACTTCGTGAACCCGGCAACCAGGTTGCCGGGGGTTTTTTTACCTCTGTTTTTTTTTGGCGGTAACCATAATGGTGGTCGAGTAGATCATGTTGTGCGGGGTCGAGAACCCTCACTCCGCGCAAGGGGGATGATCGCACCACGTTGTGTTGAAATGGTCAAGCACCCTCGAGGCAGTTACACAGTGCTTACTACTGTCTCTGGAAGTGAAAGCACCAGAAAATAAATTAAGTCATACGCAGCTGTCATCCGTACGCAAGGAAGTAAGCACAAGATGCCGAACACCCTTAGCAGGATGCAGCTCACCCTTCATGCGACTCGCCGAATACCTCACGGCGCTTCGCGCTTGGTGATGTGAGAGCCTGGTCCGGTGAGAACCCGGCGTGCTCCGTCCCGGCTTTGTAGTGATGCGAGGTCAATGGTCTAACTACTACGGCATGCACGACTATGAGTACCCCACCCCCCCCCCGTAGCGCAACGATGTTTGCCATCGGGATTGGGTTTTCGTCGCTTGGCAACGACGTTGTAAAACAGGCCGCCCCCCCCGGTGTTTGCCATCGGGGTTGGGTTTTCGTCGCTTGGCAGCGATGTTGTAAAACAAGCCAATCACTTTGTGAGCTCGGCAACCAGGTGACCGCTTTTTTTTTTTGCCCTTTTTTGCCTTTTTTTTCCGTAACCATGAAAGGTGGTCCAGTAAATCAAGTTGTGCGGGGTCCAGAACCCTCACTCCGCGCAAAGGGGAAGATCCCACGTTGTGTTGAAATGGTTAAGCACCCCCGA